GGAGCGAGGATGAGTCGCTAGTACTATTAATTAGTAGTATAAATCAACACGAATGCTCGTTCGACTGTGCAGTCTGGTCACACGCGCGGTCAACACCGTACCTTTATTGCCTAAGTGTATACCGATATTTCAAAATCATATAACAACATTCTTAAAAGTGATTCTTAATCGATTAAAATGGGGAAAAGTAAGTGATAGTATCATTTTTAATTATATTTTATTATTAATTAAGCACAAAAAGATTTAATTAAAGGTATACCTGTTTCCTTTAAATATTTAAAGTATATTTTTTTACAAAGGGGTCAAAAGTATTATAAAAATATCCCACTTTAAAATCAATTTAGATTAGTTGAATAATTTTTTAATATACCAGATGAAAAAGATCACGCACTTGGCCTTATTTTACACAAAATTCATGTAGTAAGTACTTTTAATTGCTTACAAACATGAATTTATAATAATAACACATGTTTTTTTTCATTACCGACTTAATATAAGTTTTATATTTTTATATCTTAAATTTTATCGGTATATTATTGTTAATTTTACTAAATTATCTAATTATAATATTTTTTGCATTCTATCGTAGGCTAGGTCAGTTATTTCTACCCGCCTTTCATTTATTAATATTAATGATCGTAAAGTTAAGTTTAGTTCTGATTCATATAATTTCAACATAATTGCACAATTCTATTGCATTATATTTTGCTAAAAAAATTTTGAACTCTTAAATAATTACATATTATACTTAGACAAAATTATATGACAAAATTATAAAATATCTATTGTGTCTTTTTAATACTTTAAGGATAATGGATTGAAATTAAATATTATTTTGAGGAAAATATGTATATGTTGAAAATTCTTGGGAGATTGCCCATTACATAAAACTGCAAAGTCATTACTGAGCTTGCAAAATCATAATTAGTCAGACATACCTGTGATTCATTAAATGTATCCCTAAGTATAGTATATATATAGTAGACTGGCAAATATTATGAGTTTGTTTACTTTTGTTCGTAGAAGTTCTTAGTTCGATCACAGTCTATAATTTATTATTTTTTTGTAGACTATGGTTCTATGTTTGATAAACTGATAAAACGTAATACTTTCTTAGATTTACGCGAATACTGACATCTACCTATACATATAATAAAATTCTAACTGAGTCGAATCTGTATATTAAATATTTTTTTGGAAAATCTTATTGAACTAGTTATTATTATCGATAAAGAGGCTGAAACTATAGTTTTTAGAATTTTTGTCGGTCTATCTGCCTGGAAACGCATCACGAGAAAACCACTGGACAGATTTTGAAGAAATTTGGTATGTTGATAGCTGGTTATCCGGGTCAACATATAAGATATTTTTTACTGCGGGAAAATATCTCATTTCTGAGAAATCTATATTAAACGTTAAAACGTAACTAGGGACTGAGTGGCGCGAGGGTGAGTCGCTAGTTTTAAATAAAACTATCGTTTCGAATAAAAAAAATTTTATTACTACATATTTAATGGCCTTTGAGCGGTCTAAAACCTTAGTCTCCCTCGTGACAATGGTTGCTGTACAGCATTCGAAACATGGAAAACCAAAATCAAAATAATTCTGCAGATGAAACGTGATAGATATCCACTAGATATGTCGGTGCATGTTCACTAAACATCTTTGTTTAGACTTTATACGGATATTTCTTTTTTCAACCAGACAGATAAATGAATCAATTGTCAACAATATTCATCTCACGCGGGAATCGATTTTGCAACCTTCAAGTCAGCATTACCTGATATGCCACAATATGTACCTACTTATAAATTATTCAGAAATGACTTTGCATTGATCTTCATATTCAATTTTGATTTGTTTGTTTGAGAACGCTGCATCTAATGGTTTGAGTATTATTCCGATCGGTTCAGTAGTTATCGCAGTATAACCGAACAAAAAAGTCGGCTCTTCATATATTAGTATAGTATATAATATATTATAGTATACTAGCTTTGCTCGCGGCTCCGCCCGCATTTAGATGTCCAAAAACCAAATTCTTAGGTTTTACATATTAGTATACTCTTATATTGCAGTTTTTGTATTTATTCTCAAAAATGAGATATTTTCCCGCGGTAAAAAGTATCCTATATGTTGACCCGGATAACCAGCTATCACCGTACCAAATTTCATCAAAATCCCTCCAGTGGTTTTTCTGTAATGCGGTAACAGATAGACAAACAAACAGACAAAAATTCTAAAAACTATATATTCGGCCTCTGTATTGATAATAATGTCTTTTTCAATAAGATTTACCAAAAACTATTTAATGTACAGATTCGACTTAGTTACAATTTTATTATATGTATGGATATCATCATGCTACTATCTAACGCAGCGGAGCAGTAGTAATAAATGTCAAGAAATCGGGCTGACTTCCATAGATTATTGTAAAACTGATGTTTATAATATGTTTAAGTGATTTAAGCTCAGAATATATAATATGTATTATTTAATATATTTATTCTATACTAACCGTTAAAACATGCCTAGGGGCGAACCCGAGCGAAACGAGAGTGAGCTGCCAATCTACATATTATTATATGAATATGTGTATTTCTATGCCTACCACACCTAAAAATCATTATCTCCAAATCTGCCGTGTATATTTATATCATACGAATGAATATTAATTAACAACCTTCAAAATATAGCATAAGGATTTAGGACACACATAGACGGATGGATGGATACCGTAGTCTTAGTAATAGCACGGTAATGTCATGCATAACATTACCGTGGTAATAGTTTAGGTACAGCAAGAGATAGAGTTAGTGATATTGGTTCAAACAAAACAAGTCATAATTTTTTCTGAAAAAAAAAATCTATTTTTTCTTAAAAATTCTATTAGAAACACATTCTTCATGTTTATTGTATTCAAATTTGTTTTTTTTTCTCGCTTTTCTGCCATGCACTTTAAGTTCAAGCAAACACAAATCTTTGAACCTTGAAATTGTACCTTATTTTTAGTAAATCTATAGGTATTTATCAAATATGTTATTTATTAAATACTAGCAGAACCCGCGGCTTCGCTCGCGCTAAAACTACAAAAAATCTCTAAAAAAGTTTCATACAAACTTTCATCCCCTATTTTACCCCCTTATAGGAAGAGCTTCGAAAAATGTTAAAACACGTGTTTATTTAATTTTATTGAAAAGCATTAATACCAAGTTTCAAGTAATTCTGGTCATAAATATTTTTTGGATTGTATTATAAGGTGTTTTCCCATAGGAATTAGATAATTTACTGCGGTAAAAGTATGCCTATGTCACTCTCTAGCCCTCCAACTATCTCCACACAAAAAACCCCCAATTCGTCACTCCGTTTAGACGTGAAAGAAGGACAAACAAACAAATTACACACTTTCACATTTATAATATTAAAAAAATATGGATTAACGTGGTTTTTTTGTAAATTATATTTCTAAATAATCTCGTAGGCTAATAAATAAAATAAATATCAGTTTTATATATTTCTTCTTTTGTAGATTAACATTTTCTTGCAAAATCAGCAAATCACCCACGTAATAAGCCAAATTAAGTACCTATTTGAGTTACATGGTACTACATGGTACTTAACATTAACCTACGCATTACAAAGTAATAATCGTGAAGAATTAAAACAGTTTTTATTTTTAATACCACGCGTCAATATTTTATGCAACATTCAGCTACTTCGGCACTTTTGTTTAATAGTTTTGGGTATAAATTAAGAGCAAATATTTAGTTTATAAGCATGTTCTCAAAGGACATGAACAGCCACAACAACACTACGCAATACCTATATACTAACCTCAATCTCCCGCTGACTAGGCTAACATATAACAAGAAACTCGTATTATAACTCGAATATATGAACGGTAATTAACTATTTTTAAAAGAATTACTTACATCATAGGAAACTTCTCTAGAAATTCGTATAGTGCCTTAATCTATGCTTAAGTACGCGATTACAAATCAAAGAAAATCCGCTAAAACCATTGCTACGGCTTCTATTATAACCAAAACATACCTCAATCTCTTCATGTTATAACTTGATGTTATCGACCGACTTCAAAAAAGAGGAAGTCTCAATTCGGCAGAATTTTTGAAGATATACTTCTTTTGGCACGTTTGGAAAAATATATGAGAGAAACTTTTTACGATACGCGCGCACTCCGACAGCCAAAACGCGACATGATGAAGTTAGCTACATTCCTTTTACAAACAGAGAGTTGTGACATACGGGATGATATCTTTAGCTATTTTTGTTCTGTTACGCCAAAGAAGTATAACTTCTTACGTGCGTACATAAATACACACACACACGTTTTTGTTTAAAAACCGATTTGGACAATTTTTGTTTCGTTTGAAAGTGTAGATATATGTACTTATGGAACTCTTCAACAGCTAATTGTACTCATAGATACTTTGAGTTTGGGCTTATTTTGTTTGATTTGGCAAGCCCAATACGTTAGAATTGGATTTTAGAGCTAGATTTTTAAGTGTTACCTACCAACAAAAGCGAATTTTAGTTTGTCAGTCTTCGTATAAAAATTGGCACCAAACTAACTTAAACGGCTTAAGCGAATATTTTATTTAAATACATTCTTACTTTGCTACTTCTATGTCTACACTAAAAGGGGAAAAATAAAAACCACCAAACCACAAAACCAGTCGGTTTTAATTTTTTCAAAAATATATATAAAACAATAGCTATAGTCTATATATACCTAATCAAATGTGCTGGCACCGTCTTCGAAAATATTTGATTAGGTATCTAGAAAATGACAAGTACCAATCAGTTATTTTTACTTTTTAGTGTTTTTTTTGAAGTCGGTTTTTATTTTTATTTTTTGAATTGTAAGATTCTTCTCTAATATACATATTTTACTTAGGTGTGATATTAGTTATTTTTAAACTCCCTGACAGTATGAAGATTTTGGTCAGTATATAATATTCATTACCTATCATCCTTTACAGTATCACAGCATATGCTATCAGAAGTAACTACGCTACCTGCTGTTCAATTGGGTGACTTCTTACTACAATTTGAGTTGGAGGAACCACGGGATTCTGTAAGAGAAATCGCGAGATGTGAATTGCGAGAAACACCAGAAGTTGTTAAACCTGCTGTGGAAGAACTGAGAAGACTTCTAGAAGGTATATACATATGTATATCATTATCTACTCTAATATTTTATTTTTAAACAAAAAATGTTAAAAGTCAGTGTAGCATGTGTCAGGCATTACTTTGACTTCTTTAAAGCTGTGAGCACATATCCTTACGCACATCGAATGTTTATTATTACCATAAAGATTTCTGTTTTTTATTATCTCTGACATTGATAAAGCAATAGTGGCTTTCAGGATAATCTATCTATACATATAATAAAATTGTAACTAAGTCGAATCTGTACATCAAATATTGTATGGTAAATCTTATTGAAATAGTCATTAATTATTATCGATGCAGAAGCCAAATCTATATTTATTCGAATTTTTGTCTGTCTGTTACCGAATCATGAGAAAATCACCGGACAGATTTTGATGAAATTTGGTATGATGATAACTGGTTATCCGGGTGAACATATAAGATACTCTTTACTGCGGGAAAATATCTCATCTCTGAGAAATCTATACTAAATGTGAAAACATATCTAGGGACGAACCCGAGGGAAGCGAGGGTGAGTCGCTTGTTACATTATAATTTGGACCATTTACCCACTTTACTTTTACTGAGATGTAAACTGGTTAAATTTTTATTTTTGAAATATGGGTATGTAGTAACTATTTAAAATACTACCCTGTTAAACGAGTGACAAATTAAAAATTAAGGTTTCAAAAATAATGAATACTGCTTACTGAAATACTCTAAGTGAGCTGCGAGCAACGTATCCGCTAAATGGTTGATTATATTCTTTATCTTTTACTTACTCTGCATTGTGCTGATATAAAGATGGTTGGTTGATGATATAGATCAGCCATACTCAACCTTTTTTTTATAGGAGCCACAAACACGTTTCAGTCATGGTGTCGAGGACCGCAAGCAAAGATTATTTAGGTCTTCATGAAAACGTATTTCTAAGTTAACGATGTAGTAACTTTTTTAACAAAGATATGTTATAATGCGATTTGTGGCCCGCGGGCCACAGGTTGTGTAAAGCTGATATAGATGGTTAATTAAAAAACCTAATTTAAAAACCACGTCAAGAAATGTTTTGCTAAGCAGCATACGCCATACAGGTCTCATAAAAAAAAGAGACAAATTGTGTATAACATTGTTTTTTTACCCGGAGTTTTTTGTTGGTTTGTCGGAGTTGATGTTATCTTCATAATATTTTTGATATTTTTATGCTTGTTGGTTTATAAATATATTACATAAAATTCTATAAAGCCTTACTAATACGTGTTCATTTGTCAATTCTTTGTAAGTTTAAATCTTACTAGGTACAGTACTGCGGGTAGTAATAGTTCTGAGTTTAAGTTCTAACCAACGAGACTAAAGGTCATTAGCCTTCTCGCCTTCTATTTCCGACAGCCACAAATACTCGTTTAGTATGTCTTATCAGCTAATCAGTATTTCAGCCATTTATTTATAATTCTAAAATATTAATAATCATTGTTCTAAAATACGCAAAAGTTTAATATGGACAATAATAATATTGTTTTCTACTTTTTGCGGCTTGTCGTAAGGTTTTTTAGAAGGTACCTATATATGAAGGCCAGTAGTTTTTTTGCAACAATCATAAAACTCAGTTCGTTCGTTAAAAAGTTCATTAATGTTTTTAATCTACGAGATATTTTGAAGTGATTTGATAACCAACGGTTCCTTTGAATTATCTTAACTTAAGAATAGCAAAGTTTAAACAATACTATACAAGATATTTGAACACTGTTTATTTAATTATATTAAAATTTATTCAACTTTTTTGTCTTTATACTCTGACTCTATAGGGAAAAACTAAAATCCACGCGGATAAAGCCCGATATAATTTTTTAATATATTAGCGACAAGCAGTCATAAACTTGACTGATTAACTATTAATAGAACGTAAAGGTATATATAACCTTTGCAAATAAGTTTAATTGCTATTTTACAAACAGTAAGAAGCGTTGGCTAAAATTTTAAATGAGACGAATTCTTTATTAGCTACGTGATTTTTATATAAAGATATTTACTTAACACACAAAAAAGCCTTACTTATAAAATTCTTAAATTTATTCTAGCGGACAAAGATCTACAGGTTCCCCTCGAAAGCGACGCGTGGCTAATCAGATTCCTTCGACCTTGCAAGTTCTACCCAGAAAGTGCATACGATTTGGTATGTTATAGAATATAGTTTAAACACGAGTAATATTATTTCTTCTGGAATATTTTTACTTTAAAAATGAAATCATATCACATAACAAAAAATATAAGCTAATAGATAACAAAAAAATCTAAATTCATATACGTAGATAAATATAAGAATTTAATTGCGATGTGCACTGATAAAATATTTTATTTATCTTCTAATATAAAATATTATTTTCTAGATAAAAAGATACTATGCATTTAAATTGAAACATCACAAACATTATGATGGGCTCACACCAAGCAAAGAACAGAACATCTTTAATCAGAATATCCTCCGAGTTCTACCTAACCGCGACCAGCACGGCCGACGAGTGCTAGTCCTCGAATTAGGCAGTAAGTATATGACATGTACCTATAGGCAGTGCTACCCCAGTCGTAACGCGCTCGCTTGGGAAACCGAGTGAAACGGGTTCAAATTCTGAGTCATCTCTGATATTTACATGCACGAATCATTTTCAATGATTACGCCACTTGTCTTACGGTGTATACCTACGTAGTAAGGTACGGCGAGAACCTAGCAAGTTTTCGAAAGACATGTGCACTTGGCCGGCGTGATGGACTATGAGCTGATCTTCCTCGTATTGATGGGAGACCTATGCAGATTACAATATTTTAAGATATGAATATCTAATAGATAAATATGTATGTGTTTTACGTATTGAAATACATTAGATTTGCTTTGCATCGGCTGGCACCGACTTCGAAAATATCTGATTAGGTATCTATTCTAAATGAAAACCTCCGTTTAGTTATTATTTACATTTTAGTGCCTGGAAGTCGGTTTTTATTTTTTGTTAAAAAGTTTTTATTGAAAATTTTCATTGAAGTAGTCATTATTATCGATACAGAGGCCAAATGTACAGTTTTTAGAATTTTTGTTTGTCTGTCTGTTACCGCATCACGGAAAAACCACAGTAGGGATTTTGATGAAATTTGGTATGCTGATAGCTGGTTATTTTTTTTAACGTTAGGAAATGCATTTACGCACGAAGTGTGGGACTCACCGGCAAAGCCAGTACTACCCACTAAAACCCAACAAAACCTTCCCCCGTCTTAATGGGGCATCGCAGGATCGCTTACGCATTCAACTACGACGCCCTGACGGCAGGTCTGCCGAAGCAGATCACGACAACCATGGGGTTGCTCCAAGGTCCACTCTGCTATCAGAGAAGTACCAGGAGCAACCCGCATGGTACACCGCCCACCGAAGAGGGCCACCTCCCACCGCCCATCGAAGTGAGCCACCTCCCTGTGCGTTTCTTGGTTTCGCGCCCGGCTGGATTGCCGGGCACTACTGAGCCCAACCACCACGATAAGGTGAACGCACGTTGGGGGAGATAGCTGGTTATCCGGGTCAACAAATAGGATACTTTTTACCGCGGGAAAATATCTCATTTCTGAGAAAAAATGCAAAAACTGCAATGTAACAGTATACTAATCTGTAAAACCTAAGAATTTGGTTTTTGGTTATCTGAACGCGGGCAGAGCCGCGGGCAATGCTAGTAAGGTTATAAGGAATATAAAATTTAAATTTTTCTAATAAAACAGATGGCACTAATGACTTTTAAATGAATCTAGTATAACGAAATAATGTCGTACCGGAAAAAGTGTTATCGAAACTAATCTGAAGTAATTACACTCATTTTATTAATTGTTTGAAAAAATATCTAGTCACGTAGCGTTGAGACCAGTAATTATCTCCCAAATTACAAAGCTGCTAACAATAACGCGCACATAGCACAGACAGTAGCTTACAGAAAATTACGATGTCATTATGGTTATATCCATCCTACCATTAACCTTTTTTATATTTTACGTCACTCTATACAACATTGTAATTAGTTTTAACTTTAGGTTATTTTTAAAATTGGTCTTAATGTATGCAATTTGTTTTCATATTACATTTTTTTTAAAACAGAATCATTGATCATTGTTTGTTTCCGAGGTATGATTGCAACAAAATTATCCTCTTCTACACTATAAATAATAACATACGAATAGCTATTTGTTTTATAACTATTTGATAATATTCATTTCATTATATCGAAATATTTGATGTTAAATAATACTTATCCATAACATTAATTAATAATTATTGACCTGTTGCCGATTGAACTACACATTACGTTGAATTGCAGAGAAATGGAATCACAGCAAGTGTTCATTAGACGAGGTATTCAAAGGATGCGTGCTATTCTTGGAGGCAGCGATGTTAGAGCCCGAAACGCAAATTTGCGGTGCTATCGTTATATTCGACATGGACGGACTCTCCATGCAGCAAGTATGGCAGTTCACTCCGCAATTCGCCAAGAGGATTGTGGACTGGTTACAGGTATTATTATTATATATAACCTTCTTTATTAAATACTAGCGACTCACACTCGCTTCGCTCGGGTTCGTCCCTAGGTTGATTCCCCGTACAAACTTTCATCCCCGTTTTTACCCCCTTAAGGGTTGATTTCTGGGATAAAAAGTTTCCTATGTCCTTCCCAGGGTCTCAAACTATCTTCTGACAAATTTCATCTAAATCAGTTCAGTAGATCCAGAGACTCCCCCTACAACGTCTCAAACCCACAATTCACAAACTTTATCTCTTTATAATATTAGTATAGATTCTATGTAAATATAAAGAATCTTTTTCTATTTTTCCTACGTATTTAATTTTTTTTAACAAGAATGAATAAAATATAATGTTATGTACATTATTCATATATACTTGTACATTCATATTAATTTATGACTTATAAACTTTACATAGACGACGCACGTGCTTACAATACAATAGGTACACAAATTTAATTGATCGAAATTCGATCAAGCCAAAATAGTTAGGGTTTTTGCTATCGCTAGATGAATTCTAAATAACACTGGAATAGTAAGAACTAATGTCAGTACAATTATCCAATATAGCCGAAATTTGGTCTGGAGTGAAATTTGTCAAAATCTACTTTTTTGTATCGACATGCGTAAAATAAACTAGAATACTAGGTATATTTTGATAATATATTTTATTTTTTACAGGAAAGTATCCCACTCCGGCTCAAAGGACTGTACATCATCAATCAACCTTACATATTCAATATGGTCTTTCAACTCTTCAAGCCTCTGCTAAAAGAAAAGCTTCGCTCACGCATCGTGTTCATGGGCTCTGATAGAGACCTTCTATATAAACACATCAGTCCTAAGTGTCTGCCAGATTGCTATGGAGGTACGCTCTGTATACCCAACGTCAGCGGCCCACAGTGGCTGGAACTACTGATGATATGCGACAAGGAGTTTAATGGTACGTTATTTCAATAACTTCTATTTCATTATATTATTTTCATGAGCAAAACTTTATATAATATTATTCCATGGTTATTACGCTAGAGGTCACAGGTTCAATTCTCGGTAGATTGTAAATACTTGTGTAACACATACAGCTATTTATTCCGGTACAGCTTAACCAAATTCAGCTTTGAAATTGCATTACATTACAAATAACAACAATGAATAACATTACAAAAAAAACATTATCAATGATAAGATAATGGCTATAAGTTCTTTTTTTTATTTCAGAAATCAACAAGTACGGATATAAGAAGAAATAACTTCTTACTATTGAAGAAGATATTTTGTAACTCTAATTTTAATAAAGGAATTGTGATATTTTAGTGTAAGATCATCATTAGGTGTATGTAAGCTTGCATGCAATGTGTGAAGGTATATTTCGAAATGCAAAAATATGTGCATGTTACTTTAATAATGTTAATTTTGTCATTATTTTTTATCATTTACTTAAATTAAGTTTTTTTTGTAATAATTTTGTTCATATTACAGTCTATATAAAAAAAAACTTACAATTTGTTTTTATGATAGTATTTTTATTCATTATTATCTCATATTTTTTATTGTATATAATGTCTCCATGGCATGGGCTGTGATATCTTAAATACTTATTACATTCTGAATCATTTTGCTTCTCTTAACTAATAAGCTATAAATCTATATTTAGCTGTGATCGTTTTCTCTGAACAGATGCGGTAAGACAAAAAAAAATCATACACAAATTTAATTGTTATTATATATAATAGTTGGCAATAATATTTAATATTATTGCCAATTATTTTTAGGAAATTACTTATATGGCTGCTTAAAAATCATCGTCTACGTCAGCTGTGCCTGTTAAATTAGCAATATAAAAATTAAAAGCATTTGTATACCTAAAAATAAAAACGGATCAATTAATATTTTCATCCCTTTTAAAATTATTATTATTTATTTAATAATAATTAACAGGGATGATAAAGATATAGAAATATTATTTCCGTCTGTGATGGAAACATGATAGAATAGGTATCATAAATAATTTCTACTTCTCTGCGAATATGAGCGAGTTGTGTTCACTTCCTTCATTACTCGCTACTCGGTAATAGCAATTTTAATTGATATCACTCATTAGACATGTGTAGTTCATAAGCCGAGTACGTACCATAAAATAGCACAATATTCTTGTTGTATATCCATAGTTGATCGTACATATGTAAGTATAATAATGAAATATTTCTATTCAAATAGCGTTTGCATAATTAAATCTTACTATATATTTTAATAGGATATACATACATATTTATATATTTAGTAGGTATGGCATGTTTGTTCAAAATATTGTAAGAGGAAATCTTCCTTAGTAAATTAATAATTTAGAATGTTTTATATCAACTAGATAAGTGGTATTTCATATGTTAATGCATTGTTATGTTTATCTTTAAGAAGCGAAAAGACATTTTATTTTAAATAAAACAAAATATATTTTGTACATTTTTATAAAAAAATAATTATGATTTGTGTAACCTATATTAATATGATGTATACATACGTACAACAATGTGCTTCATATCCATGATAGGTATAATAATTATAGTGCCTAATTGTATTTACCTTCGTTCATTATATAAGATTATAATATAGTAATAACTTTAATATAATTTCTTATATTACATGTTTAATCGTGTACAACAATAATATATAAATAAAATAAATTTTATAATATGTTTGAATTATTTCACCCGATTTTCAGTATGAGTCTTTGATAGATTCTTTTATTCATTCGTCATTATGTAGCTACATTATAATTATTTAATTAATATATAATAAGTCCTTTACCTATGAAGTTGCCGTTTTAAAATACTGGCCATTTGAAACGTAATTTATAAATGGCCGGTTGTAAATTCTAAATTCAAATGAATTTTATTTAAAAAGTATGAAATTCTATTTTCAAATTCAGTCATTTGTTTATTGATTATTGTTTTGTTTTCACTACATTTGTATCTTTTTTATCACACAATAAAAATACGAGTAATTATGGAATACGAGTTCCGTCGCAGTGGCAATGCTGCACAAACGGCTCGCAACAGAGTTTACATTACAAACGAACGTACGACTCGTTATTAGTTTGAACGCTTCCGACGTGGAAATTTTGATCTAAAAATTGAAACCCTTGGTCGCCCGCAAACTACAATCAACAATGACTTATGCGCGATAGTGGAAGCTGTCGATATTCAATCTACACCAGTGATAGCAGCAACTTTCAACGTTAGCTTCAAAACATCATAGGTCCATTAGCGTCAAATTGAGAAATTTAAAATGACTTTAACTTTATGTATATTCAACGGCAATTTCATAGGTAGTAAAGACCTAATAAAAATATAATGTTTCTAAGGAAAATTAGTTTTTATTTTCTACTAACTTAACTAATCGTTTATGTACATATAACAAAATCCATTCCCACATAAGTGAGCTTAGTTAACAAACCAGTACCAAATACGCAAGGTATAAAATAAGATTTATACTTAAATATTTATATATATTTATATATATATATATATATATATATATATAATATATATATATATATATATATTATATATAGTATAACTACATTCATAATCTCATGGACTTCCTAATCATTCTTTTCATTAATAAATATTAAAATCTCTGCAGCGAAGAGTTAGGCACTGTCACTGCTTGGCAAGAGGTCTAAGAATCGAGATTCACACCTTTACGAAACGAATAGGTACATATGTGATACGGTGAAAATATCGTTATGAACAAATAAAGAACGAATGAACGTCTTAAAATTTGATGGAGAAAAATAGTACCTATATAATCCTACTAATATTATAAATTCGATAGTTTGTGAGGATGTCTGGATGTAAAGATATATGGATGTTTGTTACTCTTTCACGCGAAAACTACAGAATGGATTTTAATGAAACTTTATAATAGGTAATATAGCTTATATTAGAATAACATGTAGGCTACTTTTTATCCCGGAAAAATGTACGGTTCCCGTGGGATAGATTTGTATCTGTTTTTCCAGAGGCGAAACCGAGCGAAGCGAGGGTGAGCCGATAGTATTCAATACATTAATTAATAAGTAAGTAGATATAGATTTTAAGACTAGTATTTTTCATTTAAATCTTATGTTACATTAATTACTTTTATTTAGTGATGAAACGATTATCACTTAACGATTACGATTTCGATTACAATTAATTATGTTTTAATAAAACATACTATTAATCGCAATAATAATAATAGACGATGACGATTAATTGTGAAATGTTGATAATCGTCGATTACAATTAATCGTAATCATTTCTTGACTGCTTCTTATAAATAATTTTTATTTGTTGTTATTCGTAATATATCCATATGAATCTGCTCCTGTAATAGAAAATTGTAAAATTAATGAACAACTTTAAATCACATCTTCTCCACGATAAATAGCTATAACGGATAACCATAATAATACTAAAGAAATAAAAGAAGATTTATATGAATCGTGATACCAAAATCAAAACAATCATTTTGTGTCTAATTTTCTATCTATTTACACTCGCTAATCGCTACTGTCTGAAACATCTAAATTGGCTTTAATAGGACCTTTACTGGCGAATAGAAGATTTTATCTACATTAATATAGATTACTTATTATTATTGCAAAATGTGTTTCCGGGAAATAATATATAGAACTTTAATGTTTTTTGAAAAGTTGTGAATGCCGAAACGAAACGAGGGTGAGTTATATTGGAGATAAATAAAACTTACGTTTGAAACTTTCTTCATAATGGTGTAGCATTTTCCATACAGTCTCGCCAGATATTTCGCCGTCGTCTAGAACGCCTCCCATTCTCTTCGTCAGAGCCTCAGCATTAATATGTTTCAATATGGATTTGTTGTTAGACCCATGGAGAAAGACGCGTGATCTGAGTTTCTCGCGCATAAATGGTTTGAATATAGCAAACAGCATATTAAAAATATAGGGCTGATTGATGATATGTACAGCTTTCAAGCGAATCGGTATACAGTCCTGTGGGCATAATTAATTTTAAATATATACAGCTAAATAAAATTGATATGTCTGCTTGTACTGTCAAAAGAATAGCTTTTTACTAAAAACATATGAAAGTAATATATAGTATAAATAAGAAAAAAACAATTTAAAAAAAATTGTCTCTTTGTTTTTTTTCTGTTAATTTTGACGGGACTCTTACTATCAGATAGCTATATATATATATATATATATATATATATATATATATATATATATATATATATATATATATATATATATGTTATAAGAAGAAACTTAGGCTACTTTATTTTTTTTTAAATTAGGTTCTGTTCAAAAAAAATTAAACGTACCGAGGGATACACCCAAGCAAAGCGAGGATAAGTTGCTAGTAAAAAATAATAATCAATGAATATTTATATACTTATAATATACATGTTTTATTCAAAACAAAAAATACCTAAAAACTTAAATTAAATCAAACTCATTTATTACATTACACAATTTATATGATACTAGTGACTCTTCTATCTATCTACCTGTATCCAATCCACGGCCATCTTAGCGAACGATGGTGTAAATTGCATGACTTGTGAAAAAGAGAGCCCCTTCATGTCCATTATAACGGACACGCCGCAGACCTGAGTGCGCGGCTCTACCATCGCAGCCTCAAGTCCTAGTTGCACGCCGCGGAACACTTCACGCAATGGCACCTCACGTGGATTCCAACGTTCTAAAATAATATTTTATTACATAATATGACTAAAAATTAGATTATTTCTAAGTGAAGTTTATATCTATTATTATATAATGTGTTTAAGCGTTGCAGTCTACATTTTGCAAATAATAAATAATGCCTTCCATAAACATTTTAAAAAATATGAGGTTATTACATATAAATATATATTTATATTTAAGTATCTTAAAAATAATTTATTTAAGTAACTTAGTAAAAGTGAAAACTTGGTATATACATATTGAATGAATGTTCGCATCAAAACCGCCTAAACGACAAAATGATGACAATACAAGTGGAGCAGTCTTGAAATGTAAGGAACCGATTTCATAATAATTTTAATACAATTTAACCGTCAATTTACATGTCATATATTCATTTGATCATAGCATCTTTTTATTTATTTAAGTGTGTATTCCCAGTATTTTTGCAGAACAAAAAATATATAACTTCTATGAACCACAGACTTACGTAAAAACGGAGTAATTAAAATTTAAAATCTATATTTAATAAAATTTTACAGTCTTATACTCTATTGCGTTTACTTATTTAGTATGAATAAGTAGTTAAAGTTCATTGGTTTCTTATTGACACAAGCGAACAAGTTGTAGACCGTTCTATGTACATATACTATGTAGAATATAGATAAATAAAATGGACGTATATTAAAATTAAATAACAGTGTTATACTATAATATAACAAACCAATATGATTATAGTTATGATGAGACACCAGATATATACCATGCTTGTCACTTTCTCTTTCAAACTCCCGGTATATCGGCACTGATGCAAGCGCCATGATCATGGTATACCGTATATCTACCCGCTTGGTAAATAATAAATATCACTTTTGACATCATAAAAATATTGTTGGTGACCATGAAACGTTGAAAAATTTCAATTTCACGTTAGAAAGTAATAGAATAAGTAAAATAGCGAAATGTTATAAAAAAATAAGTGCGTGTAAGCTTTACGCGCGGTTGAAGTAAAACTTTTTTGGCGCTGTGGCAGATACAGCAATTAAAATAAAATCGTCAATTAAATAAGCCATATTAAAATGTAATAGTATTTATTGATAACATAATTGATAGTGAGTAATAAAAAGTAAGATTTAAATTACAGTTAAATAAATTTAGTTTATATTATAATTTAAATATGAAATTAAAGGTTTATGTGTGATAGCTAAAACACGACACATAAACTCTACTCTGCATATTTCTCTATTTCTAGAGAAAATCGCATCAATTCTGATACATGGACTGGCGAATGATTCATTTTTAATTTTTGTGATAAAAAATCCATTAATGGTTTAGATTCTTCCAAACGGAAATTGACTTTAAAATCTTCGGCAACAACCATCGCAGGCTAATTGCTATTTAAAAAACCTGAGCCTTCCATTGTCAAGTGGAGTGGTGACTCCACTTGACAATGAAAGGCTCAGGTGGCTCAGGTCATCAGCGGTGGCTGATGAATAAATTTTATCACGTTTGGTATAGTTTTATTTGGAGAAATGTAAAGTAAAACGATAATCAAAGGTCGATCATGAATATTGAATATTGATATATCGAACAATAGCAATGTTCCCTATTTGATATTCGCATCAATTTTGTTGACGGAACATTGTGCACTGCGGTTATTATATCGTTTATTATAACCACCTTTAATAATACCAAATACTAATACTTACCAATTTATTGCTATATTATTATTTATTTATTATTATTTTCATAATTATTATTTTTTGAATATTATCCGCACATCCTATTACCACGACACTCATTTTTCCAATGTATTGATTTACTCTTCTGACGCCTAAAGAAGTTTTATTTCAATAAAAAGTAAAATATTTTTTCATATTAATCTCGGGATACGTGCTATACTATTTATTATATTTATTTTGATGATTTACAAATTTAATGGTTGTGCAAATACTTATAGATCAAGAACAGAACATATTTCTTTCGATATTACTAGGTTACTACGGTCTTTTTTTTGTTCATACATATAGTACGTAAAGTATAATGATAATGTGGTGAAAATGAAATGAAAATATAACGATATTTCATAACAACATCAAGATTTAAAAGTATATGTATGAAAGACATGTAATATTTCCTTTTCTTAAATAGTCATGGACCATGGTATATGATTGTCGGATGATACGAGTACTTATTACTAGCGTTGTTATTGTGAAACATAAAAATTTTTAAAATTTTAGTCAGTTTACCTTATACTTATATATATTTACATATACCTTCATCATCAACATCTTACAAATTAAGCATTCATTAAATACACATATGCAAGAAAAGCGAAAAAAAATTTTTGGTTGACTTTAAATTATTCTATAAAATATAATTTTAAATACACATCTGCTTAATTTCTTCATTAAATGCTAAGGCTTTATCTGCTATTATTAATTATTAAATTAATATTTTACCGCCAGACTCGATGAACATAATACGGCGTCCTTGCTCATCCCGAGGTGAGAGGAAGGAAATGATGGAATGTTCGAATGCTGAACGTATAGAACTGGGGAACAGATCCTGGCAGTAATCTTTGTGTGATAGTCTAAATTTATAATACGCTTGGATCTGGAATTTTAATATAACAATAAGATTAGGTACATATAAGATAGTATTCATTTTATATAAAAAATATCAAAGAGTGCGTGTATCAATCAATTTGTACACGCGCAAGAAGTGAATGTCTGTAGGTTTTCGGTACATACTTTTTATGAAATTTTATTTGTTTTAAATAATTAGGATAAGAGAGGTACAATTTTTTCCGATTTTAAAAGGAAAACAGTATTTTATTATGGATGTTATGTCATGGATAAATATCAATCAAATGTTATAATGATTCAATACATTATATACACCAATAAAATAAATAATAATACAGGCATGCAAATTTTTTTTCTCTTTTTTTGTCTATATCCTAACCTACATAGAACAAGAAGGTCTAACACGCTTAATTTATGTGTATATGTATGTATATGTATACGTCTATGTTATACCTGTATTAGACATATACTGAATGTATATTATGGATCTCTTTAATTGACAATAGTGAAAGAATTTCATATACTTATAATATGCATACATTATACAACACAATTTTGATATCGAATTATATACATTTGATATATGTATACGAAACATGATCATCAATAAGACGAATTCAACTACACTGCTGTCGATTTAACGTACGTATATTCGTATATTGGACGTGTTTTTTTCTAGATATTTCGGTGGAATTTTGTACATTTCATATACATATGTATAATATTTGTTATTTATATTACGATTGTGATTCTTCTATCTGAAACTATTCAATGAATGTATAATATACGTCTATGAAACGTCAATGATTCTTTGTTTTTGTGAATTTTCTATTGATTGAATTTGTATACATAATTTGAATACACGTATTAAACATGCGAATGCAGCCATTACGGTAGGTACTTATGATTTGAAACAGATATGGGATACACGTTTAATATACGCATTTCTGCAGTGTCACCAATCTTTGATCGATACAAGTTCATCTAAGGAACATAATATACAAAATCAGCTATATATTTACAAGTTAAAATGCGGAGCAATATCGTCATTATTGGAGCACTTTTATCAATAACTGTATTTACGCGTTTTAAATAAAACTATCTTTTCAGATTATTTCGCGGATTTATTTGGATTTTTGGTTCCCAAGGTTTCGAATGCTTTACAGCAATCATGGTCACGGGAGAGACCATGATTGCTTTTTGATCGATGATCGATTTTATTTAAAATGTCAAATATTCGCGTAAATCTAAGAAAGTATTATGCATTTACGCACATAAACGTACATGTCAATCGAATAATTCTATAATAATTCTATAAATCCTATTAACTTACTCTTTTAAATGCACTTTCCGCATAAAATTTCGAAGGCCTCAGAAATTTTAAAAGAAACTCGTCGTCTTCTATGGGTAAAACGAGATTTGTCTCACCTGAAATTAAATATTTCAAATATTAATTAATTACATGAACGATATTGTTACCTATCTTTGTTGAGAAGAACTAGGTGTATGTCAATAAATTGGTATTCATGTTGCCATTCAATTACGTTTCATGTACCTCAATATGTGCAACATGCTATAAAGTAGCTATTAGGCCATGATTTATCATCATCATTAAGTCAGTGTTAAAAGGTGGCGTAGGTAGGTATATACCTAGTTATATAACTAATATAAGTAAATAACCTATGTTACATAATATGTATGTATAATTATATAAGGACAAAAACTTAATGTTATTTATATTCAAAACGTGCTTGAAACGTAGGAAAACTTTTTTTAATACAAAAAATGTATACGTGTATGTGGATATCTATTATTCTTTAGCAGAAAAAAATATTTTCCATGTTTTAACTAATTATGAGAAATAAACCCTTAACAAACAATACTACATAATATGTGTTAATAAAATTATCAGCATTTTTTTAGAACTTTACCGCATTTATGACTCTGATCTAACATATAATGTATACGTAATGTACAGGAAAATTTATTTTTAAATCTTGTTTATCTCATGTGTACGAATATTTTTTATGAGTTACACGTAAACTTATGCTATGATAGTACCAATGCAGTCCGATACTATGAATAAGTATATAAAGAGGCTCTCTATAATTAGGGCTTTAAATTTTGCAGGATAAATAAAACGTTTAAAACAAGTCCGACTCACATATCGGGAGATCCACCAGATTATATATTTGCGTTCCGTATTTATCTACCAACAATATTGGATTTTATATAGAACTAACCACTCACGTTCGGGTTCATCCCTAGATAAGTTTTAACGGTTAGTATAGATTTCTCAGAGATGACTGATGAGATATTTTCCCGCCGTAAAAAGCCTATATGTCCATCGTATATGTTGATCTGGATACCCAGCTATCATCATAAAAAATCATCAAAATCTGTCCAGTGGTTTTCTCGTGATGCGTTCCCAGACAGACAAAAATTCTATAAACTATAGATTCAGCCTCTGTATCTACAATGACTATTTCAACAAGATTTTCCATAAAATATTTAATGTACATATTCGACTCAGTTAGAATTTTATTATATGTATAGATGAAGGTTGAACATCTACAAATTACATAAATTATCCTATATATAGAGTATACGTTATAATTATACGAAGTTTTTTACGCTTATTGCACTTTTTGGTAGAGCAAAAACAAACAAATATCCTAAAAGTTAAAACACGTTTTCAAAATAATAAAACATGCAAAAGTATACATTAAACATACTTTTTCTTGAAGTAAGTCGTTGAAGTAAATCTAATATATTTAAACGAGCACTTCTTGTATATTTATTTATACCGGCGATCTCGGAAACAGCTGTAACGGTTTCGCTGAAATTTGGTATACATACAGAAGTAATGTTTATATTTCTCGAAGTATGTGGGGAATTTCTGGGGCCAAAAAGTCGATCTAGATTAGTCTTATGCCTGTGAAAACACGTGTTTTCGAGTTGTCATGCGGTTTTCTTTCGCATTATTCCAACCAAAATTTGGTCGCTAATTTCGCACGCTCGGACATAAACGTTTCTATAGGTATTTTACTATATTTCTTTCACGTTTGTAAATTCTCTTCAGAAAGTCTCGTTACAGAGTTTGTTTTAGATTTTTTATAATAGGTAATGTTTAGTAAATTCTTCTGAATTGAAGTCACAAAAGTCACATTCGAAACAATTAGCTAAAAATGAGATTTCGTGTACTATAAGCTTCTGCGTTATCAGCTTTTAAAAACATAAGTTATTACATTTCTAGAATCAAACAAAGTATAAATTAATTACCGAAGTACTAAAATTACATGATACGTGTATCAATGCACAGATTTATGAAAATAATAGGTTTTACTTGGTTTATCTGGCACAATCAATTACCTTTTATATTATAAATTTTGAAAATAATAAAAAATCCGTCACGTATCAACTTTTACAAGATTTCTAATCTATATATGTGTATATGTACATAAAATGCTTTGTCCTGACTGACTGACTGATCGATCACCGCACACCCTAACCCTCTGGTTGTAGAAACGTGAAATATAGAGGACATATTTCATATACAATTTAGGCATCCGCTAAGAAAGGAGTTTTCGAAATTCATCCCCTAAGGGGGTAAAATAGGGGATAAAAGATGTATGAAACTCTATTATTCTTTACGCGAGATGCACGGAAAGTGGTATTTAGCTTTAAGATTAAAAAAATCATCCCTTAAAAGGTTAAAAGGGGGTGATAAAGTTTATATGGGCAAACAATTATTTATGATCAAAATTACTTGAAACTTGGTATTAATGCTCTTTAATACAATTAAATCTTTAAAACAATATGTTAGTAAAACAACATAATATTCAGCGGTATGGAACCCTCGATGCACGAGTCGAAATAATACTCACATTTGACAAGAAATTAAATTAAAAATTTAAAAAACCCCCCACACAATAAACTTGAGGCCATTTCAAAATTCTATATGCCTAATCACGATAATTCTGCAGCATTTTAATATAGGGTTTTGTATCTTTCAGATTCCAGGTGACGGTGAAGAATCAGAACAAGGTTACCGTTGCAATATCATTGAAGTAACGAGATACCAAGTTTCGAATAAATTAGATCTGTGAAAATTGCTCAAATCCTTTTACCGTCTAGAAAAGAGCTGATAGCCTGCAAACGGCTGAACGGATTTTCTAGATTTACAGTTAAGAACACTCGAATAAGTCACTTTTCAAAAAAAACTAAATTAAAACCAGTTCATCCGTTTGGGCGCTATGATGCCACAGACAGACGCGTAGATACACGTTAAACTTATAAGTTATAACACCCCTCTATTTGCATTATATTAGATTTCATTACGACCGCCAAGTTATTATGAGTATATAACATAAAGCCAAAGAGTTTTTTTTGTAGTTTGAACGCGGCCACTTCTAGTCTTATTTATACCTATAATATTTTAAATTATGCTAGATAAGAATTATCGCAAAAAAATACAAGATTACTTTGTAGAAGAGATTGCAAGTGCTCAATTAAAATTGTCAACATTATTATGTACATATGTATTGCTTATTTGTGTATAAGCAAGAAAGGGTCATTTTTATTAATTTAGCATCATTGAAAAGTTATTTGAGCACAATCTTAAAACTATACAGTTTCTTATGATCTAAAGTAGATAGGGAATATGCTAATGCAGTTTTGTAACACAGCAACTTCGGACGATGACGTGAAATGCTTATATCATAGTATGCAGTATACCAGCTGTGGTAGTTGTGGCAATAATTTAAAGGGTAAAAATGATTATTAAAAAGTAAGATACTTTCAGTACTCACTCCCTCTTGCCATATATGAATGTCTATTGTATATAATATACCCAATATATTTTTACAGAAACAAAACTATTTTTTCGGTTTTTTATCGAAGATTTATTTTTATTTTTGGTTCATTCGAAACATCGGGAAGCAAAAAATAAAGTAAATCTACGAAAAAATCCTAAAATTAGTTTTATTTTAAATGTTATAGAAAGTGCCATTACTTATATTTTAAAAGTAAAAAAATTAAAAATTTTGAAAATCCCCTGACAGTCAAAATGGTCCATCCGATTTGGATGAAACATAGCTAAGAACCCTCCCGGTTAAACCAGCTTTTAATAAGAAAACCCGCATTGAAATCTGTCCATCCATTTACGAGCTATGTTACTACAGACAGACATACAGATACACAGACATATAGTTATCCATGTCAAACTTATAACACCCCTCTTTCTGCGTCGGGGTTTAAAAAACAAATACCTACATGATTTTCAAAAAACAACTAATAAGTATCGCAAATTTGCGACAAAATATATCAAAACCTAACTAGTAAACTACCTACATATATGAAACAAACATTGAGGTAAATAAAATTGTTACTGATTAATATTTAGGAAAAGGTAATAATAACTTACGTTTAATGAGTTCTCTCAATTCTCTAAGACCATTTTCTATATTTTCCGGTGTTTCTCTTAACTCCTTCTTTGCTTTTTCCATATAAAAAACTTCTTTTATCGGTTCTTTTTCTAATTTAATTTTGTGTTCAGCCCAAATAACAAATGGGGTACCATCAGATTCAAACTGTAAAGCCATTTTGCACACACTTTACCTTCGTATAGAAAAGTATTTCCCAGTTTTATATATGTAGGAAAAGAAAAGCCGAAAGTGCAATTGGTTATTTTCTCTAAATATATGTATGTATTTTAAAAAGTGAAATCAGATGACGTGTTCGGAAATCATATAACCAGCTTTCAAATAGCGGACCAATATTATTGTAATCCCTTCACTCAGATTTTTTTTAAATGAAACGAGTTGGCACAGATTTCACTATATTATATTTTGCTAGAAAACGTTTTGTTATAAAATTAAATCGGCATGAAATTTCTACAAAAGCTCTTTTTTATTTCAAATAGAATAATCGCGTCATTTTAATATAGACATCACTAAAGCTAATCGTATTTATGAAAGGCGGATAAAGCGAGAAGAGGCTCGCGCGCAACTGATAGCAAGTTGACCACAGCCGCTCACTCGGCATAACGGGGAACGTCCCACCACCATAAGCACTATCATTCACGTGACATACTTATAAAAACTATAGCAAATTATTCAAAAAATCGTTTAGTTTTATTTAAATCTTTAGTTTCATAACTTTTTACCCGACCGCGGCGTAGTCCAAAGGAACCCTACGTATGTATGCATGTATGTCCCTTCCTATGTTCAGTCGTTTTACTAATAACCGATTCTAATTACTCATACGTCGTTAGATTCGTTTTCATAACGCGAGTATTATATTATATAATTAAAAATATAATTAAAAATTAAAATATAACTTATATGTTTAAAAATAATTTAGGATAATATCTTTGATTATTAACATATAAATAATCTAAGGATAATATATTGTTCAATAAAACTAAAAATATCTCACTGGCCAAAAGTAAAAGTTGTAAATAAAAAAAAGCAAAAGTAAAAAAGTAAAAGTAAAAGCTGTAAATAAAAAAACCCGACTGCGTAAAAAGCGAACATAGTATTATGCAGGAAATTCGTCTCATTTTTTTTGTCCTACTCGATCTATTTAATAAATTAATTCATTTATCTACTAAAAACAACCAAATTAGCATAATAAATGCTAAAAACAACCAAATTAGCATAATAAAAGATTTTTGAAGATGTTTGGATGTTGATACTTAATCAAGGGTAAGCCTTTCATCGAAATTGTATAAATCTTTAGACTACATATTATGTCCTATTTATAAATATATGAGAAAAAAAATTGGGTAATTACAGAAACACTTTGGTATACTCTTAATTTAAGGAGAGTGCTTTGAAATGCTCACATACATATATGTATAATTTTTTAATTATAAAGAATATTATTTTGCTAAAACTAGCCACTAGATGGCGCTGCAGCATATCATGAACGACGATAGTGTATCCCATCTTTTTAGTTCGATACACATAGAAAGCAAGACAGAGATACACGTAACAATATCGCAGCAAGAATAAACACATATGTATGTATTATTATTATTATTAATGTTGGGTGTGGTGCCGAGGTCGGCCCTAGCTACGTCGACCAGTTTTGGTCCATTGTAGCTCCCTTTATAGTGAGTTCAAAGTTCTCCGCTTAGTCCTGTTGACTCCAGGAACTTCCAGATTTTCTGAGCGGGGAGCATCTGTATCTCTTCCGGTTGCATAATATGCTGCCCTAGATAGATACTTCTGCGGTGCATGAGTGGACCGCACGAGCAGAGGATATGCATAGCAGTTTCCTCTGTCTCATGGCATAGTCTGCACATTGCGGTCTGACTGAGGCCGAGGGTAAACATATGTTTATTGAGTTTGCAGTGACCAGTAAGTATTCTGGTTACTGCACTGGTTTTATACTTGTTGAGTTGAAGCAACTCTTTTGTAAACTTTTTGCGATATCCCTTAATTAGCGCTTTAGAGTGTATTTGTCCAGAAGTGGATTGCCACTCTTGAAGTGCTTGGCGATTGCAGTGAGTTTTGAGAATTGAATAGGCATGTTGTTTTGCAATGCCACAGAATGGTTCTGGGCCACAATCTGGGGTTTCAGCGCCCCTTCTTGCCAATGCATCAGCCTTTTCATTCCCATCTATGCCTGAGTGACCCGGGACCCATCTGAGGGTAACTCTGTTGGATGTGCCCAGGACATTCAGATTATCCATACAGTCTTTGACCAACTTAGAGTTGGTCTCAAGAGAATCTATAGCCAGAAGTGCTGCTTGGCTATCTGAGTTGATGTAGATATTTTGGTTTCTAAGCTTCCTCTCCAGGATGACTTCAGCACATTTGTTGATGGCGAAGACCTCGGCTTGGAAGATGGTGGCCTCCTTGCCCAGATTGACACTCATGTCAAATCTAGGCTTAAGGCCATAGATGCCACACCCTACATCAGATCCTTTCTTGGATCCATCCGTAAACCAAACATGACTGCCCTTTTTGTGAGACTCTTGGTTTTTTAGCCACATGTCCCGGTTGGGAAGATCTATTTGGTACTGTTTTGCGAAGTTAAACTCTGTACTCATGCCATCGACTGGCATTTTCAGAGTTTTGTGTTCGAATGTCAACTCCTTGAGTTTGTTCATATATTGCGATTGCAACTTTACATTCGATTGTGTACAGAGCCTGTAGAGGCAAGATTTAGCTTCTTTTTGCACGTGGAGATATAGCGGAGCTATGTCCAACAATGCATTTAGAGCGTCGCCTGGTGCCGAGTGGAAGGCTCCCGTGATGATTAGACATGCCATCCGTTGTATGCTGTCTAGTTTACTCATAGTTGTCTTTTGTTTGGTTTTGTTACACCATACGACTGAGGCGTATGTTATGATCGGCCTTACCACGGCGGTGTACATCCAGAGAGCTATTTTGGGCTTGAGGCCCCACTTGGCTCCAGCCATTCGACAACATATCCAGAGGGCCATTTTGGCTTTTTGTATAATGTTGTTGAGGTGAGAGTTCCAGGTCAACTTTTGATCAATAGTGACTCCAAGGTACTTTACCTCATTTGATAGGTTAAGGGTTTTGCCATTGAGTCTGAGTTCGGTCAGCCTTTCAAGCTTCCTTTTCCTGGTAAATGGTACAATAACTGTTTTATCAGCGTTTATTGATAACTCATTTTCTCTGCACCATCTTGTGATGGTATTGAGAGCTCCTTGTAACCTGGTGGAAATTGTGTTCAGGCAGGGACCTCTACTACTACAACAAGGTCATCTGCATAGCCCTGTGTATCGTAGTCGAGATCTGCCATGATTACAAGTAGTAGGTCTACAGCTAGTGTCCATAATAGGGGTGAAAGCACTCCTCCTTGCGGACAGCCTCTTGTAGTGTAGAAGTTGTGCGAGTGTTCGTTTAACGTAACTTTCGCACACCGGTTGGAGAGCATATATTCCACCCATCTGGTGGTTGTGATATCAACACCTTTTGCATTTAATCCTTTCAGGATGGTTGCCGTAGGTGTGTTATCAAAGGCCCCCTCAATGTCCAAAAATGCACATAGAGCTGTCTGCTTATCCTCTAGGGACCTTCCTGCCTTGTCGATCAGAGCTACTAAGGCAGATTCTGTGGATTTACCCTTTTGGTAAGCATGTTGGTTGCAGGAAAGTGATCTAGCCACAAGATACCTTGTTCTAATGTGCTGATCGATTACTTTTTCCATTGTTTTTAATAGGAAAGAAGTAAGACTAATAGGTCTAAAGGATTTGGGCTGAGAGTAGTCGTTTTTACCGATCTTCGGTATAAAGATAACCTTGACCTTAGTCCATTGTTCTGGTATAATGCCCAAAGCAAAGCTTGCTCTAAATAATTTTACCAGATGCGGGATAAGGAGTTCCATGCCCTGTTGAAGCAGAGCTGGAAAAATTCCGTCTTCCCCTGCTGATTTAAATGGTTTGAATTTTTTCAAAGCCCATCTAATCTGGTTAGGCCTAAAAATGGTGTTGGCCATCTTCCAGTCGCAACTATTTGCCCTGTGGATGTAGTTTTCCTTTGGGTTTGATTCACTGCCGGTGACAGGGTACGATCCTGGGAAATGGGTTGCTCTTAAAAGTTCCAGCGTCTCCATCTCTGTGGTCGTGAAGGAATTGTCTCGCTTTTTTAAAAAGCCGAGAAAGATGTTTGGTGTCTTGGCAAGGACCTTGTGGATTCTCGCTCCTTTATGTGTTTGGGCGATATTCTCACAGAATCGTTTCCAAGATGCTCTTTTAGCATGTATGTATTCCACTACATAATACACATGGCATCATCACAAACAAAGAAAAATTAGTTCAAATAAATGACGTTACATGTATCGATTCCTTATTTTTGGGAAACGAAATAATGCGCTCGATCGAAATATCATAAAATATCAGCAATCAGATGATAGGTTGGTAGTGTGTATTCACAGGTGGCGCTTTTACTTTTTATGAGTTTATTACAGTAAAAAATTGTTAAAATTGCATGATGAATTTTATAATATTTACCATAATGGTTAGTTTACACATATTTATAAAATAAAACAGTTTTACTATTTGCGAATCGACATCTATTATCTAATCAAGCAAACAAAAATAGCTCGAAGAATAGCCCGAATTAGCATTGTCCAATTTCTTTGTATGGAATGAGGCATCTGTACTAGTATAGTATGTATTTAAAAAAAAGTATTATGTGATTTGTGATAATACTATGTTCCTTCGTCAACTTCTTCAACAGTCGGGTTTTTATTTTTGTAATTTATATATTTTTTTATTTTTCGTTATTCAACGACACATTACCGATCAAAACACATAAGATCAGATACAGATCACATAAACCAGTGTTCTTTTTTGCTCTTTGGCAACGAACTATAAAAATGGAGCTGAAGTTTATTCAATGCTAAGTAGCGGCTAAACTATTGTTTCTTTGTTTAAACGCCTCAATTCATAAAGAAAAATAAATGAACTCTAAAAAACCTTGATCTAGATTATTAACTAACAATAATAACAAAGAAAATTAATAATCTGACCAAAGTTAACTGAAATAAATTAATTACAAAAAAATTATGATACATAATTCTCTTCTTCTTCTAAAATATCTCTTTTACCCACTTTTTTATTTTTTATTCACTTTTATAAAAAAAAAGAGTTTTATTTGTACTTATGTAATTTTTATAAATATGTGCCAAATAATATTCTTTGTTATGAATGGTTAAAAAAATATTCTCAATAGGTAACAAAACGACACGTGATGATAATACTAAAGCATCACGCAGCGTTTAAACACGTTTATGAAACGAACACTATATATCTCAGATTAACCTCGAGGAGTACCTCGAGAGTTAGAACTTAGAAGCAATCATACTCTGACTTTAATTAGGACTATTACATTTTAAATACATTACTTTTATAACTAGGTACTATTCTATTGTACCAGTTATAGTTAATGAAGACATGGCTGCAGGTCAATTAATTCTGTACAAGTTTAATATGTGAAGGCCATAAGCCAATATATTCGCTAAATATACGTTATTATTTCAGTGTATTGTTAATGAAAATGAACAGTCTATCTTGTGTCAATTTAGGTCACAACGACTACCGCTTTATATGTGAGCTTATAAACATGTCTACTGTCTAAGTATTTGTAGATAGATAGGTAGGATATAATAATTTGAATCTCTGCTACTTATTTATAATAATAATAATTAAAATATTTTTTAATCCCTCAAGGCAGTCCATTCCACGCTGGCCTTCTGCGGTTTACAGTTAAGGGACCTTACTCTTCTTTTAAGAACTACTCAGGTTCTCTCAGACATGCCGGTTTTCTCAGGATATTTTCATTTGCCTTCGCCCGGCTCGCACAGTGGGTAATTCATGAGACTCTTAAATGATTTATACCAACGAAATAAACCTTAGGATATATTTCTAATAGGATATAACTATAAAATATATACAAGCTTTAAATATGGATATTTAATCCGACAGCCGGGCAACGAGCTTATAAACACAGTTATTTCCCACAGATTGCATATTTCATATAAAGAGAGCAGTCGAATTATAGATGATAATTTTAATAGGTACTAATTACTATACTATACTTTTTCTACTAAATAGAATATTTTAATATCAAGCAAAATAAAGGTTTGACTTTATTGCAACCATATTGCTAACAGGCGCCCGTGTGTGAAATATGCATCACTATCCTCGTAAAAAGGGATGATATGGGGTATCATCCCCATAAAGATGTACAGCTATCTAATGAATAGTACGTAATAGGTAAATACAGAATAAATTACTAGTATTATGGTAGAAACTGCGCAATAAATTGAGATGTACAGAAAATTTTCTTCAAACAAAAGAAAATTCAAAAAAAATAGGCACCTGTTGATGACTTACAAAAAAACGAAGTAATAATAAAATTCATTAATAGGTAAATCATTTATATTTCACAAAAATAAAATTTTACAGACCATTAAATGTTATTCATGTGTAGCACTTCGATGTAAAATGAATATGTATAACATTACAAAATTATTATTTTTATATAAAAATATTTGTATTTTTTTACTATCTATTCAGACATCATATGTACCAAAACATTATAGAGTTAACGAGTATATAACAATTTGAGCAAGTGATCGTTACTAAAAGTTACTAGCCAATTGGAATGTATACTACTATACATACTTCAATTATACCTAATCATATTTTATTCACACTATAAATTATTTTATTGATATTATATGACTTTGGTTGAAATATTGCAAATCAAAACTGTTATTTATAAATAAAAATAATGAATAAGGTTCAGCAAAGAAATTTTAACAATGATTGTTAGATACATAGGTCCTATTTAAGATTTTAAAAAGGGTTTAATTATAATCACAATTCACACATAAAATGTCAAGAAATTCGCTCAACACACTTATCTACAAACATAAAAAAACAAATGAAGTTACTCTATTCCTTAATCGATATTTTTATTAAAACATCAAGTCACTAAAATATTGATAACAACAGTACAAATAATTAGAGCATAGTTATTAAAAGTTTTATATAACTATATAAAAATTATTACATAAAACTTTTATTATATATATATATTTTAAAATGACCAATTAATACGCTTCAATTGTAGATGTTACACTAGCATCAATAAATACATAATAATATAAAACTGTTTTTTTAAACAAATTCAGTTATAGTTAAAAATTCATATTAATATTTCATGTTTTCTTTACAAAAAAGCATTAATTTTTTTATAAGCAATGTCATAAAAAGTGTTTTAAAAGTATAAAATAAAATAATATTTTAAATGAAATCATATTTTATATTACTTTATTCCATTGGTGGATGATTAGTTAACTATATCCATAACATTTTATCTTAATGTTCACTAGCCAAAATATTATTCATAAATAAGTGGGTACAAACATTAAAATCTCTATAAAGCACTAATTTTTGGTTGATAACAAATCGTTTACGATATTATAAAAAATGTCGTGTTACCACTTAGACACACAGATAAGGCTATAATATTTCAATATCTAACTTTTATAAATTAAAATCTAAAATATAATGATTTGTACACAAAATTGTATCCTTAATATCGTATTATTAATTATCCTATTAAATATTCTAAAAGTAAATAATCATTCATTATAAATTTTAATATTTTTTCATAATAATTAGTTATCTTTCCTAATAAGGCACAAAAAGCTCGCGCCAAAATGTAAAACTCTAAATTCTATTTACCATTATGCAATATTGATACAAAATAGCAATACGAAAGTTGATTTTTATCTTCTTCACTCTAGATATGGCAAATAGCTAATTAAATAAATCTAAAAGGAACCAAGACCCCAATGATTAATACATATATTTATCTATAAAAATATTATCTGCGTAATATGATTATGACAAGCTATGAAACTAATAATATTAATCGACAATCGTATATAGGTACGTACATAATACGAAACTTGAACTAAATCAACGGAAATTTCATATCTTTAGACTTTAGATACCTCCATGTATAATTGTGTCATGAGAACACCTATCTTAGCTCAATCTATTTTGCGTGATATCCAAATTCCAAGGCTTACATCAATTTATTTGATCATAGTTAGCCATAATCACACAACTGGTCTTGGCGAAGTATTGCTTACACATTACGTCTTCTTAACAAACCCGTAGGAGTTCCAGTTATGTATATGGGGAAGGACGTCGTTGATGACGGGGTACCAGTCTGCGCCGGAGTAGTCGATTGCATTGAGCTCGCCGCTGTAGTCGGACGGCAGGTGAGAGGGAGCTATGTGCTTGTGGAGAGACGTCATCTTTGAACCATGGAAGAATATCTGAAATTTAACATCATGTAGTTAATGTCATGTAACATGTCAGCCATACATTACTTAGAATATATTCAGGTATTTTTTACAAATGCAATTAATAGCTAGATAGCTATATCTTAATTTGTATATAGGTATAAGTATAAATTAAATAATAATTAATAATATTTCATTACTTTCTAAATTAGCCATAAACTAAGATAACTTCGTAATCACGTAGTAAAATAATCACAAATTATTACAAACTCATATATTAACTTACTCTGGCCTTTAGTTTTTCCCTGATGAAAGGTTTGAACATTTTCCATACGACATTAAAGATCATAGGCTCCTTCACAAAGTGTACTTCCTTCAATCTAAGAGGCATAGCATCTTGGATAAAAGTGAGCAAGCGTTTAGAGAATGCTGGCGTGAGTCCCATCGTCTGTAAATAGAAGAAATACACATAATGCTGTAATTTACCAGAAATAATTAAAATTAATATATTTATGCAAGTTCCAAAATCTTCATGCAAATATCCGTTACTCTGAACAAGTTTCTCTGAACAGGTTACGAAGAGCATCTTTAATTTGCACAATAAAAAGTGGTTTCTTAAAACCTGACTCGAATCTCGCAAATGTAATAATAAATGAAATTAACGTGTTTCTGCATAATATTCTTTTACGGTCACATGGCGAATATCAGAAGATTAGAAGACACGTAATAAACGTGTTAATTATTATATTATGATCAATATATACAATTAATATGAATCTTTCAGAAATAAGAGTCAAATATTGCTCTTCCTTCTGTAGTCTCGATCGTATCTGATATCACCAGAAAGTTGAGGTCATTATACCATTTTTTTAAACTTTGGGAAACGCATTTACGCATACCTCAAGCATACATACAGGTAGTAATGTAGGTATCACCGGCTAATAAAACCAGTATTACCCACTACAATACAACGAATCCTCTCCTGTCTTACAGGGACACCGCAGGATCTCTTACGCAAGGGTGTTGTAGTGAATGCGCAAGCGATCCTGTAACGCCCCATTGCACTGCGGCGACGGGTGTGGGTTTTAGTAAATAGTAGGAGTCTAACAGTACCCTGCCCATTGACGGCCGGCAGAATCCCCATGATGGGTTTCCCCAGCGTAAACCAAAAAAAAGATCTCTTACGCACTCAAAACCACGAGAGGTCATTATACCTTTTTTTGTGTCGGGAAATGCATTTACGCATACCACCTGATCCCCCAGGTGATGATGTGGGGCTCACCGGCTAGAAGAGCCGGTACTACCCACTAAAACCCGACATTCCCCTCCCCTCCGCCTTAATGGGACGCCGCAGGATCGCTTGCGCATAACTACTACGGCGCCCCGGCAGAGGTCATTATACCTAATTTAACAACGAAAATAAACATATAAAAATGCACATATCTACTATACACATACATATAATTTTATCAAGTTGAGTTTTAATCTGTAAATTATTATTTGTATATGATTTTTAACCCCCGACGCAAAAACGACGGGATGTTATAAGTTTGACGTGTCGGTGTGTGCGTGTTTGCCATCGTAGCTCCGGAACCGATTATCCAATTTGGATTTTGTTTGTTTTTTTGTTTGAAAGGTGAATAAGTCGGGAGTGTTCTTAGCTATGTTTGATGAAAATCGGTCCAAGATGGTCGGTTTTTTTATTTTAATTTTAATTTAATTTACAAACAGAAACAATTATTATATTTTCAGTCGTTATGAACTTTCCGACCATAAAAATATTTTATGCCTTATGGGCTAGTATTTGATTAGTGCTATATTATCTTTTAACTATTATTATGCAAGTGACATGAAATATGAGACGCTTATTTATTACAACAAATAATCTATTATGTGCATGTAATCATTGAGTATCACATTTCTGTAACAAAAACATTAGACCATTAAGACGAAACGTGGCATTTGTAATACAAGACTTATCCTAATTGTGGTAGCTAGATGTCGGCAGAGATCGGATGTTCATGTACGAACTTAAATGGAATTGAGACCTATTGCGTCGTAGCTTTGTCAATGACACTTCTCAAGGAAATTCCACATCCTGCACATACTGGCAATGACCGGAAGTTTGACTAAAATATTGATCCATTATCATATGTAAACCGGAAACATACTTAAATGCCTTTTAAGCAAAACTATGCTAGCGATATATTTAAAACAAATTTTACGATTTTTTTTCCTACTTTATAATTATTATACCTACCTGAAATTTTCTATATTGTCTGCCTAAACAACACCTGAATTAAAAACTTGAAAGAAACAGCACCTATTTTCAGTACGATCAAAAATAATACATAACTAAACACGATTTTTAAGTTTTACGTTAGTTAAAGAAGTGTACTTATCCATCTAATTCGATGATCCCTATGTTTTAGAATCTTTAGAAATTAGACGTTTATCCAAATATGTAGTAGATAATACAGTTCTGTATGGTTTGGATATACAGTTCAGACAAAGTTTTTTCTTATTCATACATATTTCAACGAGTAAAGCATGACATCGATGTCGATAATACACAATTCAATTAGAACATAATACCTTTGAAACATCTATCTATAACCGCAAGATAACTTGTATAAGTAAATGAAAACACATTCAAAGAATACAAAACCGATTAACAGCCTCGAACGTGATGTCCCTTGGGCCGAAACCTTGCAACAAAATTTTCCTCTAAATTTTCTCTCTTTATATTGATATATCCTTTTCTTAGCATACATCCTTAAGGGGAATTATGTTTGTTACTTATTTCCATTCGAAATCAATGAAGATAAGGAAGTAAGTTTATTTCTGTTTAATGCCATCAATAATGTTCAATCAACAATGAGAGTCACTACGTGATCCGCAACGAAATTTATCTAATTTGAGCTACGAGTGCAATAAGGTTCTTTGGTCGAATGTTTCGTTGCGATAATGGTAAGGTCAAATGGACGTAGTTAATCAAAATAGATCCAACCAAAAAACTTACTTTTGAGAAAATTGAAGTGAAATAGAGGCTTAGTAAAATTGGTAGGTAGGTATATCAAAATAACAAGACCTTGTTTTTTTGAAATATTGGGTATTTTATCTAGTTTCTGTATATTAGTTGATATGTAGGTACCATTTATGACAGTAACTCAAAGGTTTTCGTGGGCTGGATCCATTTTGCATAACTACGTCCAAATATTTGTTGTTAAATTATTGATGAGCTAAAAAACTCACATCACCCCGTCATTTTGGTACATAATATAATATGTTCCTTCCTAATAATTAAAAGCAAAAACACGTTCTTTTTATTTTATTTTTGAAAACGATGGTACAAATCATTTATAGATACAGATTGTAGACTAATATTCAAAAGAAATAAAAACGTTAAGTTTGAATGTCGCTAAAATTACGATATTCATAGTTACATGACTCTAACAAAAATTACTTTGAAAATTAATGCTATAAATGCATTTTGTGCATAAATAAGTTCATATGTTTCCATGAATTTGAAAGAAATTGGTACATTTTTATACCTAATTATGATATATCATTAATTCTTTACAAAGGCTAATCAACAAATTTTATTGATATGATTGCTTATTGCTAGTAATACTGAATTAACAAATCAAGGCCGATCGATATCAGATCCTGTTCGAAAATTTTACGTCATATATGCTTTATACATAAATTGCTTTTAAACTTGCTTACAAAGTACCTAAGATTATCAAAGAATAATTAAAGAAAATAATTTTAAGATATGTATGTGTAAATACTAAATAATTCGGTTTTAGTACGAGTAAGTCTATACAGAGAAGTCAAGGCACGTGCTCCGGTATACTGAATAAATCTAACAATTGTTTTGTAACTACGCAACATGCGATAAACAGACAATGAAGAATCTTTGTATAATCCGTATCTTTGTCCTTAAATATATGTATGTACCTACTTTGTCATTATTGTACTTTGCTTCTCCCTAAACACTTTGTTACCAACTCCATGAATCATTACGTCCAAAGGGCGTTGATTTTAAACAAAAGATAAACACAGTAAAATAACATACTAGGAGATATGTAAAAAAATGTTTTGAATAATATTTTTTTCACCACAACTGGACTTAACAATATTTGCAGAGCTAATTGTGAATTTGCAAAAAGCCCTTTTAGAGACCTTTTTTTCATAAAAATAAATCGCGTTCAAATTATTACTATATTAAAGTATTTGGTACACATACACATTGCAATAATATATACATAGGTATATAAACATTAAACTATCTTTTGCAATCAGCGCGTGCTATGCACGTGTGGTGAAAGCGCTGATATATGTATGTATGTATATTGTATTGTCTTCATAACTGCTAATATTCATGTCAATGTTTATTAAGCATTATTTATAATTATATATCACTAGCGGCTCACCCTCGCTTCGCTCGGGTTCGTCGCTAGGTACGTTTTAAATATATATAAATAGTTATTACCCAGCGTTAGCCATATAAATTTTAATATGGTTGTTAGGTATTCTTAAATAAGTATTCTTAAATTTTATAATTTTCCGCGCAATTTTTTATTTTGTTTCATTCATAAGAACCTTCTCCTGACAATAACAAACACAACAAAAAATATATAGTTAAATCGGTCCAGCCGTTCACGCGTGATGGCGTGACCAAGGGAAATAGGGATTCATTTATATATATATAGATATAAGATAGATTAATCTCCTTTATAATTGTGTATATAATCAATTAATTACAATATAATTCGAAGTACATACAAATTATTACGATTCACCTTAAAATAAACTACTGAGGTGCGTATATTATTGTCCGTAAAAAAATGTTTTTGAACTATTATAACATGTCTAAAATGACATTTATAGTTAATAACTTTATTTTGATGATATCTTTAAAATATGAAAACAGGAGAGAGTAAACTTCAGCAAACTGTCTAATATGAACATAACACTTTTGTACTAATCGTGCCAAATTTTAAATATGTTTGAGAGTATTATAGTTGGGCGGACAAAAAAAGAATTTTCATGATTCATTAAAATACAATTGCCGTTTTACAAACACTTATAACGTATTGGTACAATCAATATAATATGTTAAAATATTATAAGATACCCGTTGTGGCTTTTCCCAGGTGTACAGATACATGTACGAGTAGGTATACCCAACCTCATACGCACATATAATGTGTATACACCTAAATTACTTACTACTCAGATGATACTTATAATATATATATTATATGATAGTACTTACTAATTGTACTAGTATTCAGACTAACAAATCTCAAATTATACTACACGACTTTCGCACCACCTCTCTCGTGCGCTTGACAACAATTTGTTGATCGTAACCGTATACAAAATTATTAATGTAAATGACAAAAAAAGACAGGGGCAAACAGTTAGTTAGTAAGTAGTAACAAAGACGAAGCTGTATATAGTGAAATATTTATTAAAAACTATTTCTTTATGCTACTGTGGCTGATACGGTGGCTGAGCTATGACGCTATTTTTGTCGAAAAACTGTTTTTGTATGATTATAATATGGCCAATGCCGGCTAAACCTTTACAGATACATTTTATAAAACATTGTACTAGAAAATAAAATGCCTACAGAAAAGCCTGTGATAGCATATGTCTACTAAATTAACTACTTTTATCTAATCAAAAACTATCTAGGCAAGCGCGCTTCAACCTAGACCTCATCAGCGCTTCCCAGCGCTGATTGTAGTCAAGCGCAAGCCTATCTGTCAATAAAAAAAAAACAACGCTCCCGAGCGAAGCAAGGGTAAGCCACTAGTAAATTATAATTTATATAGATATATCGTATTTTCCTTTAAACATTATACCTGCATACGAGTATATACTTCAAGCACCTAAAAGACTTATGGCACAATGGACCATGGCATGCATTAATTCGTTCATTTATTTATTCACGGTCGCAAGTTTGATTTCTGTGCTTATAAATATTCATATTGATTATAAGTGTGTGTAAAATATTCATATTGTTAGAATGAATTCTGGTTAAGAAAACGTGTGTATGGTATACATACCGCACTAAGACTGCGTATTAGCGAATAGAATTTAGGATTTATAAAATAGGTACGTACGCTTAACTACTGCTTAATACTGCTTACTACACGAAATAACATTAGAAAAGACAAAAGTTTTACTTGTTGTCTATAAGTACTTACATTCACTGTTTTTGTTTCGAAAAAATATGGTATTGAAGTATTAAATACTTTGTATTTCAGGCATCGATTTATCGATGATTTTAGGTATTTTTCCGATAGTATTTATCACAAATACCCGGTTGTATTTGTTCTCAGATACTTTCTCAGATTTTTTTATGATTGTGATTTTATTATGAAAGTTATTTATTTTAGCTTATAAACGAGCACCATAAATGAAATTGACGCTTTGCTCGTGATTTCTTGTTAAGATTTCTAATTCTAATGTTTGTTATTTTTATTATGGGAATTACATGTTGTATCTCGTTAAAATATGACTATTTAAACCTTTGACTTTAGCTGTTATTAATAAAATAACCACTTATAACTAATAGCAATGCGAATTGTAAAACACTGACTCGACTTATTATTTTTTGATTTATAGTGGGTACGTCGTAAGATAGATATAATAAGAATTCTATATTTTCAAAGAAATTATAAGTTAAGAGTACCTAGTATTTTTACGTATATATTTAATACTTATAAAATAATGCGAAATAATAATCTATAAATAATATCAAGCAAACTTCTCAGCTACGCAACGGATTTTGATACGGTTTTCACTATAATGTAGGGTGGGATATATCTATATCCTAAGGATAACCCACAGTAACCATCTTTATCTTTTAAATATTACTAAAAAATAATGATTTTACGAAGCTATTTTGTATAGTAATACTATTATAGTATTAATGCTAATACAATTAAATATGTTGTGCGTTTAATGTAGATCAAAATTGCCCTTTACAGCATAATCATTAAAATCAATATCTTAGAAGATATCACAGATTTAAAATTGTTATTCGCCGTCAGCGCAACGGCTAACGCTGGCTAAACCTTTCGAGATATATCAAAACAATGTACCAGAAAATTGTAGGTCTTAAAAAGGCGTACAAAAAAGTCTTGGATAGCAGGTGTCTACCTCCTAAGGTACGTTCACAATAACTATTTTTGTCTATATACAACGTATCTAGGGAGGCACACGAGCGAAACGATCGTAAGTCGCTACTCGCTAGTTGTAGTTATGTATAATGTACACAATAATAATGATAAAAGTCAAAAAGTTTAAAGTGCATATTCTTTTATCCCTTAAATCCTGAATTACAGAAACTATATATGTATTTAAGTTAATTTTTCTAGAGAAATCTTTAAAACAATACACACCTGGGTCCAGCCCATGTTATTGAAGTCCATGATGACGACAGTACCGCGCACTTGTGACTCAGGCTCTAGCATGGCTGCCTCATGAATTAAGTAGAACAGCCTGAACAACTGATCTGCTGTCACTTTTTTTGGGTCCCACGAACCTATATACACGTTTTATTTGTTAATTTAATGTTTTATTTTAAATAATGTAACATTTTGAAAATTCACATTATAATACTAAAACGTTTATGTAGAGAAAATATAAGAATTAATATAATGAATATTATATATAACTCGGAAAATATTTTGGTCAATAAATTAAATTTTCTTAGTAACCGGAATTTTATAATCAACAAATATTAAAGTCTGAGTCTGAAGCCTGACGTTATTTAAAAGACAAGTAATTTTATTTTAGGTACTATGAAATATTATTTTATGATAATATTTTACTTTCTGCTTGTGAGTTTTACCGATCATTAAATAAATCCATACTAATATTATCAACGTGAAAGTGTGTTTGTCTTTCTTTCAGGTCGAAACGGCTTGGCGAATTGTTTTTCAATACAATTAAATAAATACGTGTTTTAGCATTTTTCTAAATTCATCCCATAGACGGGTAAAATAAGGGATGAAAGTTTATATGAAAACTACCTTTTTAGAGATTTATTGTACTTTTAGCGCGAGCGAAGCGGCGGGTTCTGATAGTATAATATAAATTTATTATTACAGTTAATGGCAGATAACTGAATAGATCATAAAGATTAATGAGTTTGCCTTTCCATGCAGTAATAATTATAATTATCTTCTAAAATAATATCTCAATATCACCTCTTTACTACAACTGTTATTACCTACTAATAAATTTTAGAGCAACAAATTAAAAAAAACAATAGTAAATGCAGTAAATAAAAAAAAATGACAGTCTATAGGTATAAAATTTTGCCTACCTCCAACATTTACGATAAGTACTCGTCTTCCCTTATCGTCACGCCCTTTCATGACATTCACGACTTTGTGCTCGAGAAAAGCTTCCTTTTCATGATCCGGTAGGAGCCCGTCCAAAAGGCTTGCATTGTCGCGCTTGAACTCTGCTACACGACGCATCTGAAATACATTAAAAATTTTGAAACCCCCGACCATATTAGACCGATTTTAATCAAACGTAGCTAAGAACACTCCCGACTTATTCACCTTTTAAACAAAATCAAAATCGGTTCATCCGTTTGGGAGCTACGATTCCACACACAGACACGTCAAACTTAAAACACCCCGTAGTTTTTGCGTCGGGGGTTAAAAATTAAATGAAACTATTGTATTTTGAATAATCTATACATATAATAAAATTATAACTAAGCCGAATCTGTACATTAAATATTAATAGTACATGAAATAGACATTATTATCGATACAGAGGCCGAATCTATAGTTTTTAATTTTTTTGTCTGTCTCTCAGTCTATCTGTCTGTCACCGTATCACAGAAAAGCCACTGGGGAGATTGTGATGAAATTTGATATGGTGATAGCTTTTTAACCGGGTCAACATATAGGATACTTTTTACCGCGGAAAAATATCTCATTTCTGAGAAAAAATACAATAACTGCATTGTAAGAGTATACTAATATGTAAAACCTAAGAATTTGCTTTCCGGTCATCTGAACGCGGGCGGTGCCGCGGGCTATGCTAGTAACATGATATATTCGGATGACGGAGTAGGTATTCGTATGTAGAGATAAGGGCACTGTATTTATATTTTATAGCTCAATATAATATAAAAATACATTCGTAGAATGCCATGGCATGAACGTATTTAGATAAACCACTAGTATAGAATATTTTTTAAATATTCTTATCCAAGATCTTTATTATTTTAATATGCAATAATAACAAATTGTTATTTAATGCTATTATAGATGACGTAACATACTAATACTATTAAGTACAAAATAATTATACTTGAGTAAGATAACTTGTACAAAAATTCCAAAGGCAATTTAAGTAAAAAAATAAGACCTTCATATATATAAACCTTTTTCTTTTCGCGTGTCTGTTTGTATTTGATTACTATATAATTAGTAACAAAGAGTCTTTATTAAATTTCAAAATAACATTTCTTGGTAGTTGTTAAAGAAGCAGAAGTTATAAACCTATTAGTCTTCAATAAAAACACTATTATTATATCGAAACTACATAAAGATTTGAAAACGAAGTAAATTATTTAATCACATATAAAAAATTTTATTTATTGCAAACTAAAAGGTTTATAAATACGTTGTAGGCGTATATTACATGATGCTACAGTTCTCAAACTCTATATAAACGAGTCGGACTCGCGCACAAAGTGTTCCGTATCATTATTTACAAAAACGGCAAAAAAATCACGTTTGTTGTATATGGGAGCCCCGTTAAAATATATTTATTTTATTCTGTTTTTTAGTATTTGTTGTTATAGCGGCAACAGAAATACATAATTTGTGAAAATTTCAACTGTCTGACTAGCACGGTTCATGAGATACAGCCTAGTGACAGACGGACAGACAAACAGACGGACAGCGAAGACTTAGTAATAGGGTCCCGTTTTACCCTTTGGGTGCGGAACCCTCATAAAAATGAATCACCGAAATAACTAACTTCCGATCGACTGCACCAAATTTGATAATTGTTTTTTTGGTGTTCGTTATAATTGTCAGGTCAAGCTTTATATAGAAGACTAGCATTGCCCGCGGTTCCCCTCGCGTTCAGATGACCAAAAACCAAATTCTTAGGTTTTACATAGTAGTATACTCTTACATTGCAATTTTAGTATTTTTTCTCAAAAATGAGATATTTTCACGCGGTAAAAAGTATCCTATATGTTGACCCAGCTAGCATCATACCAAATTTCATGAAATAGTTTTTATCCCGGAAATTATCCCTTAAGGGGCTGAGAATGGGGATGAATGATTGTATAGGGAAGCAAGCTAGGAACAAACCCGAGCGAAGCGAGGGTGAGTCGTTTGTCAATAATATTGACAATTGACATGAGCATTGAGTATTTCAACGCGATGTTATTATTAAGTTGTGTTATCATAACTATCGAACAGTTTACATTGGCAAGTCACACATAATGCCCCTCATTTCCTTGTTACTTTTGATAATATGGAAACTGAGCAATAATCAAACTACTGGTGAGTAATTTATTTCATCGTGGGTATACAAAGGTAACTAAGATAAACAATGAAAATTTATGCCATTCAGGTAAACGCTATCATTTCCGTGTAGTTTTCTGAAGACGTCTTTACTATTTACAATGATGGCATACAAAAGTAAATACCTAACTGAGAGAAAGATAAAAGTTCGCGAAACAAGAAAAAAAAAGAAAGAGAGTTTTATTAAATATCACAGTGGAATTAAAGTAAATTGACATTATTGTACCTTTGTTATTTAGTAGACTAAAATAATAAGTATTGAATTTAATAAGGTCAATCATTTATAAAACAATTGTTGCATATGAAAGCGAAATGACCTTCATATATAACTAAGTTTATAATTATACTGCTGCCGTATTCAAGAAGCAGTGCTCGGCGGCATGGATAAATGTTACCTAAGAGGCAGGTTAACGACTGATTGCGATAAACAGCCAACAGCCAACACGATGACCCACTAGCGACTAGCCACTAGCATTATATCTTCCGTACTTCAAACCAGTGTTGCATTTACTTGACCTAATGTTCTTATTTAACTTAATGACCTATATAGGGATATCTAATAAGAAAAATAACATAAGAGTATACGTTAGTTAGTTACTGTTATTAAGTTAATGAACTCTACATAATGCTTGCTGCATTCGACGACACGTTTGGCTCAGTTTGTAGCGACCCTACTTGCTGTGCCAGTGGTCACGGGTTCGAGTTCCGCTGGGGGCGTTTATTTGTGTGATGAGCACGAATGTTTGTATTCTAGCCATGGGTGTTTATATTTATAATATGTATTTAAAGTTATATATGTGTAGTGTATCAACTATCTGGTATCCATAACACAAGCCTCGTAGCTTACCATGGAACTAGATGGTACTGTGTGTTAATGTCCCAACATATTTATTTATTTAATGCTAAACATAGAAGTAATTTTTAATATTTCTGTTCATACATAGCCAAGAATAAATAACATATAAATAACATTTCAATTTTATATTCATAGTGTGACTTTTGAGTAGTTTACCTGAGTCGAATTTAGCAATCAATCTCACTTATAACAAATGCATGACGAAACGAGACGTTGATTACAAAAACGCGTTGTGCTAAAGATTTCTGATTGCTCGATCATATTCCAATGGCTCTAAATTCAATAGGTGCCGTTCCAAAAAAAATTATTTCAACGAACCAAACTGAAGGACTGTAAGAAGTATGAATATTATATTGACCATACCTTTAAGTTTTCGTAAATCTTCCCTTGCTGAAGTTGCAGGGCACACAAAGGAACTAAAAGGTTCTGACTAGTATAACTTGTAGGCGACCGTGTAAAATACACCATAATTCATAGGCACTCGTATTATTTCTATACAATTATGAATGCCTGCTATACAAATTAGCCACCGCCATAAACTAATTTAATTATACGCGTTACCAATAATGTGCCAAATGTGTAATTTCTATTCAATTTCTAAAACAATTAGCCTTTGGTCACCTTAACTTAGACGACAAAGCGTAAGTTTTTGAGATTTAGCTAACAGGCCAGCAGGTATTCACAAGAGATGAGCCACTGTGAACCCACGATCTGTGTAGTAGAAATCCGTGCCATTCAAAGGACACTAGTCTCACTGGGTCCACTATAGATATTATGCTGGTGGCATAGTTAAACATTAAGCAATAATGTAAGCCGGTGTATTATATAAGACCTCTTTATTTTGTTTTGCGCTGCGCTTTGTTATTTTACCTACACGCAGGTCCTATTAAAAAAAACCAAGTATTAAAAATAAATCGGTGTAGACAATACAATTCAATCAATAATTCTTTTATCTGAACGTTTATCATACGAAAGTATTGAAAATTATCTCATTGTTTTTAGTGACGAATTTCAAAACAAGATAATTTCTTTAATTTCTATTGCTAATGCCCGGATGCCGGATCTTGGTTATCAGACAAACCTCGGTCAACTACTATCAGCTGTGATAAACACTAGCGATAATGTAATGTACAAAGTACACTAATCTTATTTATTTGTAAAGATTCCGTAATTAGTACTTAGTACTTTATTTAACTATAAAAACTTTTTAACAAAAAAATAAAAACCGACTTCAAACAAAAGCACTAAAAAGTAAAAAATAACTGATTGGTAGTTTTCATTTACTATACATACCTAATCAAATATTTTCGAAGTCGGTGTGCTTTGCTTTGTATGGGCTGGCACCGATTTCGAAAATATTTGATTAGGTATATATTTAATAGGTAGGCTTTAATTACTTAGCCAAAGCACACCGACTTCGAAAATATTTGATTAGGTATGTATAGTAAATGAAAACTACCAATCAGTTATTTTTTACTTTTTAGTGCTTTTGTTTGAAGTCGGTTTTTATTTTTTTGTTAAAAAGTTTTTATTTTTCCCTTTTTAGTGTAGACAGTAGTAGCACAGTAAGAATTCTAACGTGTTAGGCTTGTCAAATCAAACAAAATAAGCCCAAACTCAAAGTATCTACTATTAGCCGTTGAAGAGTTCCACCTATCTACCTTCTGGCCTTGCCATCAGATCAGGTCAACAACACCGAACCACTGTACTATCAACGGAAATAGAAATACTTGCAAAGTTTCAAGTCAATATGACACTTAGAAGTAGGTTAAATTCATCATTAGTTGTTTTCCCACCCTTAGGGGTGGTATTTTTTTTTGAAATTTAAATGGGACCAATCTGGAAGTATACCCTTTCAAACAAAACAAAAATTTTTCAAATCGGTTAATAAATGACGGAGTTCTGAGGTAACAAACATAAAAAAAAAAAAAAAAACATACAGTCGAATTGAGAACCTCCTCCTTTTTGAAGTCGGTTGAAAATATAACGACTTTAATCGATTATATTATAGTCTAGATAGATACATTTGTCCTTCCCTAATAGGGTTTACTACAGAAAAGATTTCATGTCAATTTCAATATTAAATTAAATAATTGTTATGAGGAACAAACATATCTTGTACACGTACAATGAATAATAGCTACGATGAACTTGAAAAATAAATATTTTCTTGTAACACGTTGTCAGCGTAAGTAACAAATAGTTGAGAGTTGGGACATCCATATTCTTGTAGAGCCTTGGGAATGATTTCTTCAAAATTGCATATTCGGTATTTCGTATTGCATTTTTATTTTTTATTAAACAGAACATTATTAATCACTTTCATAATTTTTAAATTATGTCTTTATATAATAAAAATATGATAGGTACTAAAGTTTTTGGACACTTATTACTATTAACGTGTAACGTGTTATTAAACGTAGAAAATATGTGTCATTTAACAAATTAGCAAATATTAGGTAGTTATAATAGACATAGACTATACCCAATGTAGACTAAACTTACCTACAACTTGCACAATATGATATTTAGTGTTTCTTATACTTTCATATACTATCTATCAATTAATTGATGTCTTATAAAAAAACTAGCATTACCCGCAGCATCGCCCGCGTTCAGGTGACCAATAAATAAATTCTTAGTTTGTGCATATTAGTATGCTCTTACATTACAGTTTTTGTATTTTTTCTCAAAAATGAGATATTTTCCCGTGATAAAAAGTATCCTATATGTTGACCCGGATAATCAGCTACCACCACACTAAATTTCATCAAAATCCCTACTGTGGTTTTTCTGTGATGCGGTAACAGACAGACACAAATTCTAAAAACTATAGATTCGGCCTCTGTATTGATAATAATGTCTATTTCAAAAAGATTTTCCAAAACATATCTAATGTACAGATTCGGCTTACTTACAATTTCATTATATGTATAGAATACATAATTTGATATCGTTACCAGGCACGTTGTTACTACAGAAAATAATAAAAATATAAATTGTGTTTCAAAACAGTTCAGTTTGTTTATATCCCCTGATGTCACACCAGTTGCTGATAGCGTTATCTATGTTGATATGATGCAATGCCCTTTGACATTATCCCATTAGCCTATCTTTGGCTTGTTGTTCCCACCCCAGTAAAAGGCATTCCTATCACATATTTATTAGGTGATATATAATTATCTGAAACGACAGACAACGTTCTGTCCTAAATTCAATTTTATTTGAGATCTTTAAAATTCTAGAGATAAAAGCACGTACAGTTTCTCCTGAATATCTTAATCATCCGGTGCATTTTTGCAATTGTTTGTGCAACCTAAAAATCTTATTTGATCTATGTAAATATTTTAAACACAAAATTCTCATTTTAACTATTTATGCATATTTCGATACACAACAACTGAATGTTTTTTAGAACTAAATAAATAATCTCAGTAGGTATAGTTAATAAATGCTCTATAGATTTAGCGACTAAAGTACACAGGATACATCGGACTTAGGACTCGATGTTTATGTATATAAAAACAGAACAGAGTATGTACTCCCGCAATCAATGTTGTGTTTTTTTCTATAAATACTAGAGCTTTTACATAATATATTATTATAATTTAATTAAGTTGCTATTATAATAAGTATTTTTTTAAAAGTATTTCGTTATTATTAGCAAATCAAACTAACATAGCTTCGTATTTTATATATCCATACTTCAATATTATAAATGTGAAAATGTGTTTGTTTGTTTGTCCTTGTTTCACGTCGAAACGGAGTGACGGATTGGCGTAATTTGTGTGGAGATAGTTGGAGGGTTAGAGAGTGACATATCACATAGGCTACTTTTTACCGCGGGAAATCATTTAATTCCTACGGGAAAACACGTTATAATACAATCCAAAAAAATATTTATGCTCAGAATTACTTGAAACTTGGTATTTATGTTCTTCAGTAAAATTAAATAAATGTGTTTTAGCATTTTTCGAAATTCATTATATAAGGGAGTAAAATAGAGGATGAAAGTTTGTATTAAACTACCTTTTTAGAGATTTTTTGTAGTTTTAGCGCGAGCAAAGCCGCGGGTTCTGCTAGTAAGCATATAAAATCGAAAATATAAACTATGATGCTAACACTAGAACGGTAAAATACGTAAATAAAAAATATTATACATATTACAAATCTATAACGCTCTATTTATTATTAAGAGATTACCAAAGATTTTTGTAATTATTGCTACTTTTATGAAGTTCTTATGTAACATATTACAAATGACTATATGTTTACTATATGCTTATCAAATGAATTATATTTAATTAAATGTATTTTTCGTGTGCAGAAATCAATTTTTGAAAAGAAAATGAAAAATATTTGGCGTTCACTCGTATTTATATTGTTTTTAAAAAAGCTTTATTTAACTGGGTAAAGTTATTCGATCATTTTATATTAATTTCATTTATTAAAGTGATAAAAGTTACCAGAATTAATGTTGTTATAGTTTAAAATATATTAGTACCTTAATAATTCCTATAATATTTCTTTGTCACTGTTTCCAAGTGCACATTGTACTATGAACTTTATCACCATCGACAATAATATTACTTATATCTATTATGAAAACAGAACTGGTTATAAAGTTTGAAACATTTTTCATATGCTATTAATTTCATATAAATTATATTCCTCTCCTCAGAGAAACTAAAGTCCGGTTCAAACATGACTCTCATACCCTATAATATTCAAGAAAGTATGAAAGCTCTAACTTTCTAGGCTACTTAGAAAAATATTATTTGCATGTTTACGCCTCCTTAATATAGAATATAAGTTTTATGATATTTTGTTTTCTTTAGGTTGTTAGGATTTTTGGTGTATAATTTTTGTAAGTAATTATTATTTGTCATGTTAACTGGAAACGAAAAGACCCGAAATACAAATATCGTTTAACGAAGTTCAATAATTCTTGTATGTAAATAAGAAAGGAAAAGCTTAAATATTGTCCCTCGACAAATCCTTTTATTACTTGACACATATAAGTAAATAATCTGCGCAATTAATTTTGTTTATGAATGAACTTTACATTTTGAATGATATAACTTCTATCTAAATTTTAACAGTTTTATTCGTTCACTTGTATTTAGGGCTCGGAACCGGTTATCAGAAAACGGTTTATTTCAGTACTATAATGGTTAATTAATTGCTCATTCTTTAACCGAACTAAAATAATAATGGTTCACGGTTATTCTTAGAGAAAGGTTGGATTTCGGTTTTGATACAGAAATAAACCGGTTAACCATTCACAAGTAAGAAACGTACATGCATCCTTTTACTAATCCATTCATTATTAACAAAGACACGCCAAATGTAAACGCTCAAAAACTCATTTTAACCGGCTTATTTTAATCATGGAACCTAAATTTGTCAAAAACCGCTCTCCTAGATTTAACCAATTAAAGAAAGTAACCGGAACCTTAAACTGACAAATGACCAAAACCGGTTTAAAAATTGAACGGTTTTCCGAGTCCTGTGTTTTCATTATTGTTCGTTCACTTTTAATCCAAATCGTTCACTTGTATTACAAATAATAGAATTTAATTAATGTTCATTATAACATTTAGGTATACCTACAGTGTAAATACGAGTATAAATAACGGTAAGTTTAATTGCAACACTAAGCAATAACGGAAACCTGTTCAAGTAACATAACACAGATAAAATTAGTAAAATGTTACAAAATTCTCTTACCTACTCTACTCATTACATGTAAACTTTCGGCTTTGTCACTTTTTACATAACAATTCCCATTAAAATTAAAAACTTAGAAACTTTACCTCAAATAGTTATGTAAAGATGTTTGAAAATATCTACTAGAAAATTGTTATGTTGATATTAATTTAAAAAGTTACTATTTTTATATTAATTTTCATATGATCTGCAAAAATATCTATTTGGAAATGAAATCCCTAAAGCCGATTTCTTTTAAGAATAGCGGTTAAATTTTGAGACTATAGGAAAGGTTACATACTCATAATAAAAACAATTTCGTATTATACATTATGTCATCCTATACTAAAAACGAAAAGATAGCAATGGAGGTCTAGGACAAGCGAAATGAGTAGTTGCATTTACTTATTAACCGTCGTGTTGCTCCAACCCTACAATCAACTTAAGTTACGCAAATGCATACGCGGTCTTTTAAAAACTATTATATTTATAGTAAGAGCATTCTTTGATTGTATTTAAATTTTGGACGAGAGACATTTTCCTGTTTCTGTTAGTAAGTAATTTCTCGATCAGTGTTATATAATTATAAAAAAGTTGTTATGTGTATAATAAAACCCAAATCGACAATTTGTTTTATTCTAATCTGTCGGTGACCTAAAGAGCATGTTACGTAAAAGTGTCTGAGTGATTATAATTCAGTCATTTTAATATTCTACTGTTGGGCAGGGCTCTCCCTTGATATCTAGGGGAATTGGCATTGCCGGAATTTTCCCTTGGCAATGAAAGGAAGCAAGTCTTCCAAAAACTTCTAAGGTTCTATTAGACATAACCCTACCGGGGTTTGAATCTCCTACACATTGTTTTCAATGCCAATGTACCCTAATAACCCAACACTATTTTTTACTTTTTCAAATTAAATATGCCACTATTGTTTTTTACTTTTTGCTACAATTTTCTTTATTGTACTTAATTAACTAACATTCTAACTAAATTAAACTACAAATTCGAGTGAATGAGTATGCAAACATTAAAATATTTATGTAATGAAAAACAGACTCACTAGTGCTATAGCGCTCTCTGGATACCATTTGCAGGGGCGCAAAAATATTGTGAGTAATTCATCGTCATCACCGAAATATAGATCTTTGTTTTCTTTAAGAAGCTCCCTGAGCCTTTCTAGAGCCTCGCGAACTCTTTCTGGTGTCTCTCTCAACTCCTTCTCAGCTATCGCCTTTGTTTCGTCCGATAACTCCAAATTTCTCTCGATCCTGAACTCGCTGGAACTCATTTTCGATACTTTATCTGCAAAAAAATATGTAAAAATATTTTAACTATTAAGTATTCATATACAACCATAAAAATATAAATACCAACAAGTGTAAAGAATAGCATTGTATGTAAAGTCATTTAGAAACAGACAATCAGCAACGACACAACAATATATCAAAAGAGCTTATTTTGTCAACACTGCACTGGTGCAATTTATTTCTTTTTGTCAGTTTTTTTAAGGTTCCATTTGAGTTTTAATTTTTAGGTATTACAGACCAAACGAGTTTATAGTATAGCAAAAAATTTTGTCATCATTATTTTTTGACGCCAATAAAAGTTATATAAAGTACGGTCTATGCTTACTATTGAAAATACGATGCAATATTCGCATATTGATTAAACAATGATTATTTTTTACATATAAAACGAGAAGAATATCATATAACAACGAATTTATCAAATCAACTTATACGTTGTAAACAAAAATAGTAAAGTTGTTTGCCCTACATTTAATATTTGTAAGTACCTACACTTTCCAAGTCATTAGAGTATATTGACATTAACACGTTTAATAGACATGACCAGGGTTGTCTCCAAAATTGTTTAAAGAAAAAGATTCGGAACGTTTGTTTTTTTATATGAATCTTTATTTTTAATTTAAAATATTATAAAAAAACTTTTTTTTTATTTTACATTTACTACCATTTTATTTTTTACCCGTTAACGTATAAATGCATGATAAGAATAAATTGTTGTCAAGTTCTACGCTGTTTTTCATTTTGTATGGCTTATTTATATACTGTCTGCCATTATATTATTACTTAATAGTCCCTGATATAATTTTGAGTAGGTGAGAAGTCATTAATACTCAATTTTCCTACTATAATTTTCAATGAAAAGCCGAAAATTTTACTTCACATGCTTTAGGTGCTTACTAATACTTTCCAAGATATTCTAAACTAATAAAAATTAAAGCTTAAAGCTTAGTTAAACTTGTATCGTATTCAACCCTTTTTAACAAAAAAAAATAACCTTTTTAACGTAACCACTGCTGGGCACGGGCCTCCCTTCAATACGAGGAGGATCAGGCCATAGTCCACCACGCTAGGCAAGTGCGGGTTGACGGATTTCACATGTCTATCGAAAACTTGCTAGGTTATCTTAGACATGCAGGTTTCCTCATGATGTTTTCTTTCACCGTAACACAAGTGGTAATCATGTTAGAAATGATTCGCACATGAAAATATCTGGGCTACCACTGCCTTTTTTTTAGTTAAACTTATAACTTCATAAAAGAATAATGCATGTTTTTATTTCCAAACAATACTTCCATTCACCAGTATAAAAACACTATGATATTATGTAATTCTTACTTACATCTCTAGTTAAGACCTCAATACGTAGGTACCTATCGACTTACATTCACATTACAGAATGCAAAGATAATTATGCAAGTTATTATAATTAAGATAATATAAATCCGCATAAACATGTGAATAAGAAACAATTTGATCCGTTGTCCCTTTTTAAAATCAAAACGAATATTCTAATATATTATCTAATATATAAAATTTCCATGTCACAATGTTAGTTACCGTACTCCTCCGAAACGGCTTAACCGATTTTTACCAAATTTTATATGCGTATTCAGTAGGTCTGAGAATCGGCTACTATCTATTTTCCATACCCCTAAGTGAGAAGGATAAGGGTGGTCCTCCCAGACCCCACCCCAGGGACGAACCCGAGCGAGTGAGTCGCTAGTATAATATAACTCTGAAAGTACCCAAGCATCATTTTACCTACAACGAAGAAATGAGTAGGTAACGTCTATGTTTATTGTACGTTATGTTGTTTGATTGTGTTATGTTTAAATAGCACGACTCCTTTTGTGCTTCACCATTAACGGGTTTCATCCCGTGTGAAAATTAAACCTTCAACTTCGAGTTCAGTGAAAACTCAAGAGTGTCAAGTAATATTTTTTTGCAAACTTAATATTTTAATCGAAATTATCGTTATTCGTAAAAGCTCCATAGATTTTAAAACTGATTTTTTTTTCGAATGTAACTGAATATAATCAAGTATTTAACTTATGTCAAACTGTTCCTAAAGTTTAAACCCAGTGGTTAAAAGTGATATTCAAACTTTGGGTCTAACTTAAATTTTGTTATATGTAAAATACTTAAAACTATTGTCAATTTTCACCAAATTTAACTAAATACATATATCATGAAGACATAGATGAGAGGTACATTACTAGCTTCACAATATCCATTAATATGAATGATAAAACTACCCTGTGTCGTGTATATAATAATTACATACCATGTATATAATAACTACATACCTAATGGTCTATTTAATGTAAAATGATAATCACTTCTGCAACATAAGCTACACGTTTCTAAAACAAATAATTCTGATTACGTTTGTTATTCGATTTCCAAAGCAATTTTTTTAAACTAGGTATACTTTTTAAATGATATCTAATTAGGTATATCAATTTTTAAACTTTAATTTATTTTTTTTATTTTTTTATAAAAAATAATTAACTTTAGTTAATAAATTACTAGCGACTTACCCTTGCTTTGCTAGGGTTCGTTCTTATATATGCCTTAACGGTTAGTATGGAATAGATAGACCGTATATATCATATGTATGATGAGTTGTTGTAGGTTGTGTTGTAACATGTTTTCTCGTGGGAATGAGATAATCTCCCGCGGTAAAAAGTAGCGTATGCCACTCTCCAGCCCTCCAAATATCTCCACACAAAAAGTCAGGCCAGTCTGTCACTCTGTTTTGACGTGAAAGAAGGACAAACAAACAAACACACTTTCACATTTATAATATTAAGTCTGGATCTCAGTATCTATACAGATAAATAAACTTGAAGTGTCTGTTTGTCATGTCAAAATAACAGCTTTTTACTAAATGCATATGGAATTATATACAGTATTTATAAGAAAAACAATATTTTTTTTGTCTGTCTATCTGTTCCGGCTTATCTCCGAAACGGTTGGACCGATTTAGATGGAACCTTCACTGGCAGGTAGTTGATGTTATAAGGTAAGTAGTAACTTCTACTTTTATTTCAGTAAAAGAATTAGGGTTCCACTCAAAAAAAATGCACCGAGGGACGAACACGAGCGAAGCGAGGGTGAGTCGCTAGTATGGAATAATATAGACAGAGTGTCATAGAACTAAAAATGAACCCAAAAATGTTTCAAATTAATAAATAATGTTTTAAAACCGATTACAAATATGAATAGAATATTCACTACTGTGAAAAGTACCTACGTGATAAGTAAATAAATATTAATAAATAAAAATATATATTAAATAAGTTCACATTATGTTATCTCTCTTAAAAAGAAAAAAGAACCAATGCTTAAAAAACACAAAAGATTAAAGAATATTGTATTGTATAGTATCTTTATTATTCATTATATTCATATTTTCTTATCAATAATTGTAAACTAACGACTAATAAATAATAAATAAAAAGTTTTTTAGCGGGATCCGTCTCTATAATTCTTTATTCTGAGTTATTTATTAACTAATTGTAATACAACTTGCGCAAGAGCAGCGTAACTGACAAAGACAATAATAAAATTGCTATTCAAAATGAATGTTATTTAGATAAAATATTGGTAATTCTATATAATTAATAATTCCTACCTAAATTGCACGTGAAAAATTTAAAGACAGCGGCTCTACATTTTCTCAGTCTGATTCTAGGGATTTGACATGCAGTTATTGCAAATATTATTTTATATAATTTTAATACTGGCTTCTCACTGGGCAATTTTATTAAATAATAAAATAATATTCCAATATTATTAAATAAATAAAGAGAAAAATTAAACTCAAATAGATGTAAACAAAGAATTAAGTACATAAAACTTACGCGTGTATACAAAGAAATGTAAAATATTTAAAACCACTTAAAAAAACACAACACAACCGAATTAGTTATGCTACGCTCCAGTTTGTTCACAAAATAAATAAGTGGCGGAATATTGTGAAAATCACACACTAACCTCACTCGCGCAGTAGAAATTCGCGCCAATGGAAATCACAGAGTCGGGAAATTGGTCGTGCAGTGTGAGAAATAGCGGGGCGAGTGTGCGCGCGCGCAACTTGCCTGCCGTTTTATACATGTGCAGTTTGATAACGTCGCATTGTGCTCCCGAGAGTTAGCGCCTCTTTGTGCAGAAAGGTCGCTAAGGAGCGGAAATTGTGATAACAAATGAAAACATAAAAATACTTTAAAAGTAATGTATTTATCGTTAAGTAAAGAATAGTATTCGTTAGGCTATCTGTATTCAAAGGACAATAAGGGTCAAGGACACGCATGTACAAAGTGATAATCCATAATCTATGTTACATTTCAATTCAAACGTATTTTAAAAATGTATTTAGGAATTGTTACTCTCTTTATTTTGTAATAATTTGTCTATTTCTCCTCCTGTATATTATATCCCGTATATACAACCAGTGAACTAATCATATTTAGTGTATATTTTTGAACTTAAACCGTATCTACATAGTTGAAGAATGAAAACATGACAGATAGACAAAACTATTTCGATATAAATTAGAACAATATCTTCATCAGGCTAGAGAACACACGATTTTTTTTAAATCAATATGAAAATATGCATAAAACTTTTTTTATTTAATAAATAAAGAACTAGATTAAGCCAAAATCATGAAAGTGTTTATTGTATACCTATAAGATGAATCATCAATTATTAAAATCAATCGACTAACTCATTGACTGCATCTATGTATGTACCTACATATGTATTGTGTACATAGGCCAAGAACAAAGTACGTTTATGTGTTACGTTAGGTATAAATACAGTACCTATCATCCAAAACCAAATCACTATGTTATAGCATAATATGAAGATGTTTATTATGTCCTTTGTGTTTTATAGATAACATTTGGCGTCTTAATTATTTTCTCATATTAAGGACTTTTCGCGTTATGTATCCTTTCTAAAATAGAGATAGAAATTTTAGAAGACTGGCGACTCACCATTGCTTCGCTTCGTGTTCGTCACTAAACAAAAACAAATTATCCACGGACACCGTACATTTTCCAGGATAAAAAGCCTATGTGCTATTCCAGATTGTAATCTATTAATTATCTGTGCCAAATTCATTCAGATCCGTTGAGCCGTTCTGGCGTGAAAGAGTAACAAACATCCATCCAATGATCCATCCATCCTCCCTTTCAGATTTTTAATATTACGAGTATAATATGTATAAAAAACTTTGTCATTAAGTATTACTTCAAAAATAGTCCTGTGGATTATATTTACAGTTAAATAATTTCATTACAACAAAATTTCAATGTAAGACTTTTATTTTGACGACACGTTTAACTCACTTTGTGACCCTACTTTCTATGCCAGCGGTCGCGGGTTCGAGTGGGGGCAGGGGGCATTTGTGTGATGAGCACGAATGTTTGTACTCCAATCATGGGTGTTTATAATTTAAAAGTTAAAATATATGTGTAGTATATCAACTATCCATAACACAAGTCTCGTAACTTATCATGATAGATGGCGCTGTGTTAATGTCCCAACATTTATTTATAACATATCTATTTAGTTGATCTAGTTATTATAGCCACTTTCTAAGTCTATCATCAGTTAGTACCCATAGACTTAATAGCAAGTGCCTTCGTCAAATTGTTTGCATTATTTTAGTTCACTTTATACGCAGTCAACATACTTTTATTAAATATATTTTTTTATCGATATATTAAAAATCCAAAACTATTTATTTTGTCGTTAGTACATTTATGGTCTAATATAAGCGAGGAATAATATTATTAATAATAATTCTATTTTTTTATTAGATTTCGCTTTATACTTACCATATTAGTTACTCACTTCCGACTTTTCATTTATAATATACTAGCAGAACCCGCGGCTACGCTCGCGCTAAAACTACACAAAAAACTCCAAAAAGGTAGGTTTCATACAAACTTTCGTTTTGCACCAACCCCTATCCATTCTACCCTAAGAGTTCCTTTATAGGTTTATGCGTTGCCTGGAAGAGATCACTAAGTGATAAGGCCGCCTTTACACTGAAATATTTTGTAAAGTGATGTATTTTTTTAAAATCGTACCTACTTCTTTTTTGGTATAATAAAGAATTAAATAAATAAACTTTCATCCCCTATTTTACCCCCTTATGGGATGAATTTCGAAAAATGCTAAAACACGTATTTATTTAATTATATTGAATAGCATTAATACTAAGTTTCAAGTAATTCTGATCGTAAACAATGTTTGGGTTTTATTATACCGTGTTTTCAAGTGGGAATTAGATAATCTCCCGCGGTAAAAAGTAGTAGTGGTAAAAGTAGCCTATGTCACTCTCCAGCCCTCCAACTATCTCCACACAAAAATCACGACAATCCGTCTCTCCTTTTCGATGTGAAAGAAGAACAAACAAACACACTTTCACATTTATAATATTAAGTATGGATATCGGACAAGTCAAGATAAAGTTAGGCATTGGGTTACAAGTTCGGGACGACCATCCATATGATCAACTAGCATTTTCTTGCGGCCCTGCCCGAATACATAAATTATATATTACCGTAAATTTATAAATGATAGCCTATGTGTTACTCTGATGTATAAGCTACATTACTGTAAAGTTTTATCAAAATTTGTTCAGAAGCTTTTGCGTGAAAGAGTGACAAACATACATTCATTTATCCTCACAAACTTTCGCTTTTATAATATTAGTAGGACAGGAACTTAAATCCTGCATGTACATATATCAAACCTGTGATTTCAGCAGATTGTGACAGTTGCCTCACTGTGTGGCAGTTAAATCATTAATAATATTGTACATACTAAAGTAAACCGAAAGATCTCAGGAAATTTAAATAATACACGGAAATACTTATTTTTTATTGTATATTAAGAGATAAGAGATTCATCTGCCTTAAAAACAGATATACTCGCGCTGTTACCGCCATTATCGCCACCTTCGTCTGAACTACATTCATCTCCACTGCTACCATCCTACGAGAAATAAAAGATATATACATTTTTTAAAGCAAGATTTTTCCATTTATCTATACACTAGCGGCTCACCCTCGCTTCGCTCGGGCTCGCCTCTAGACAGACAAAAACAAATCTATCCCATCGGGAACTATACATTTTTCCGGGATAAAAAGTAGTCTATTTGTTATTCTGATGTATGAACTATATTATTGTAAAGTTTCATTAAAATCCAATCAGTAGTTTTTGTGTACTAAGCTGTATAAGCTACTATAGTTTCTTAACTATCCCACGGGAACTGTTTAATTTTCCGGGATGAAAAGTATCTAAAATGTTGACCCATATAAGGTAGCACCATGCAGAATTTCATTTAAATCGGTCCAACAGTTTTGGAGATTAGCCCGTACAAACAGGCAGAGAAACAAAAAAATTGAAAATAATCTGGATTTGTTATATTTCTCTTCTTACATCCCCCTGACTCGGTTTTTAGCATTTTTTCTATGTACAGACATTCAACCTCTACAGTTTTATTATATGTTTAGATATAATAAAATTGTAACTAAGCCGAATCTGTACCTTGATGATAGCTGGTTATCGGGGATATATGGGATACTTTTTACTGCGGGAAAATATCTCATCTCTGAGAAATCTATACTAAACATTAAAACGTGTTTATTATTAAGAATTAACACAAGAAATGGAATGGATGGAATAAATGCTTGACGCTTTTAGCCTTAGATGTCTAACAGTGATCACTTTAGCACCAATGATGGCAGGTTTCATTTGTATCTATACAGACAAATAAAATTGATGTGTATTTGTAATCAAATTAACAGCTTTTTACTAAATATATATGGAAGTATAGATGGTACTTTTAATAAGAAAAAAAACTTGTGTGTGTATTTATGTACGAACGTAAGAAGTTATACTTATTTCTTTGTACTTCGTAACAGAACAAAAATAACTTAAGATTTCATCCCGTATGTCACAACTTTCTGTTGGTAATAGGAATGCGACTAACTTCATCATGTCGCTTTTTGGCTGTCGGTGTGCGCGCGCATCGTATTAATATTACTCTCATATTTTTTTTCAAACGTGCCAAAAGAAGTATAACTTCATAAAAACAATTTTCAAAATTTTTGTTTGTCTGTCTGCCCGTCTGTTTGGTCCTTCAATCTTCGAAACTGTTGAACCGATTTCGACGGGACTTTCATTGGCAGATAGCTAATCTTAGAGTAACTTAGGCTACTTTTATTTTAGAAAAAAAAAAAATTGTTACCGTGCAAAAAAATTAAAATCCATGAAACAAAAAATTATTAAAATATAATAATAATGCGAATTCTTACATCAAATTTTAGGTCAGCTTTATGCGTGGCAAGGAGCGTCTGTTTGACGTATCGGAATATATGGTCGCGACACAACTGATCGGTGTCCGGTGGGAGCCAACCGCGCTTCTCGTGGCACTTGTACCCCGCCGGAGGCTCCAGCGATAATAGCTCTTGCACCTCTGGCAATTGTACGTCACAATACTGAAACAAATAATATGTATATTTTAATATATTTTATACAAGCTACTCACCCTTGCTTCGCTAGGGTTCGTCCCTAGTGAATAACAAAAAATTTAAAAGTAAACTAAAAATATGCACAGAATACAAAATACTTTATATTACCTGATAATAGACCTGTCGTTGAGTTGGGACCATTCCAGGTTTGAAATAAACTGCTCCTTCATAAACAATGTCATCTTGAGACAGTTCATCTGCTGTGGTCTTTTTGAAATTTCGTACACGATCTGTTTTCTTGCAGTGGATGATTTGGTCGCGAGTCATTACCATCGCATGCACACCAGCTGAAAATAATTTATTATGTCACAATCTAAAATTTTCTCTTCTTTATTATAAAATTATTATAGCATTATATTTCATTTAGTTTCTTGTATTGTATTATTTAGAAAAATATTTATACATGAACCATTTATTTTCAAAAACCTTTTTTCTGCCAACAATTTCTTTAATTTTTTTCTTTACAGCATATCAAGCTATAGCAAATGAATGTTGTTTACTGTGTATATTTTAATTTATTATACAATAGAATAAAATCACATATTTACTATTTACATTTATACCTGAGTGTCTCATCCTAAAGTCTAAAGTTTGGTACATTCTTGCACTGGGTTCTTTCCGAGGATCGAAGCCAAATTTCACCCACATCATTCGCCAAGGTCCCTCTCTCATGTACAAAGCTAAACAGGGTAAGATTATTTTCAGGGATGCCATCTTAATCTTAGTTCGAAATTTAACAAGATTTAATGACCAAATAGGTCTTTCTTCGAATAGCTAAAAAAAAGGAATTAAATTTACTAATCTACTATTACATGTTCTAAATAAAGAATTTTATACTAAACATCTAGGGCCAATAATTAAATAACAAAATGTTATCTAAGTTGTATATTAAAATGTAGCTGCCTAGTAACATACATAATTAAACAAAGTAATCTAAATAAAAGTAATTTAGGTCAAGCTTGCACTCCTTATGATTAAGGTTTAACATGAAATTGAATAAAAACAATCATGCTTTATTATACTTATATTCTACTAGCAGAACCCGCTGCTTCGCTAGCGCCAAAACTACAAAAAAATCTCTAAAAAGGTAGTTTGATACAAACTTTCATTCCCTATAGGATGAATTTTGAAAAATGCTAAGACACGTATTTATTTAATTTTGTTGAAAAGCATATATACCAAGTTTCAAGTAATTCTGATAGAAAAAAATTTTTGGATTGTATTATAATGTGTTTTCCTGTGGGAAATCTCTCCAGCCCTCCAACTATCTCCACACAAAAAATCACGCCAATCCGTCACTCCGTTTCGACGTGAAAGAAGGACAAACACACTTTCACATTTATAATATTAGTATAACTTTCAATTAAATATTGGACAGTAAAATTACAGCCATGAATACCTTTTTTACAACTTCATATTCTTCTTCTAATTTTGGGTATATTGAATGTCTCGCTGTTTTTTGTTTTAAGTAGTATTCATTAGGTTCTGTAGGCAGATCATCTGACAGATTAAACACATATCGAGATATGGGCAACCCTCTGTCACTTCTACTTTTATGAACCTCATCATTTTTAATGTTTCCACTATCCTCTTTATCCATGTCTTTATTACCATATCTTTTATCTGAATAAGAGTAACTGGTAGGTTTATCTGATCTTGTAAAGACAAACGGTGTAATATAAGATGATGTTGGTTCCCTGTATAGTAAATAAAAATATAACTTAGTAAGAACCTTAACACCTCCAGGTAAATTTCTAAGATATTAATTAAATTTCTAAAAAATCTATTGTTAACTATAATGCCAGCGTGTCCGAGGTCGTTGAGGGATTAAATTCATTTACTGACATGAAATTCATATGCCATAAAATTGTACACTAGAGCTTCTAATAATGAAGGTTCATTTAATTAAGTAAATAAGGGCAAGATTTTTTAATTATTGCCTCCATAAAAGGGTAATTAAAAAATACCCTAATGAAACGAGACCTGGCTGGAGACATTTGATTAGTAAATTTTATTGAAAATGTATTGCTTTATGTAATGTGATTAAATGTTGACTATTTATTTAGCCATTTATCAAAATTGGATTTTTGCAGGCCACTAAATATTAACTAAGATAATACAGAATATACTTTTTTTTAATACTTACAATAATGAACTAAAGTGATCTACACCTGTTGGTAGAATTTGTTCTAATATACACTGTGGCTTACTGGTTTGAGAAGTATTTACCGGCATATATTGAAAATCACACATGGCTGGAAAAAAAGTACAATGTAAAAAAGTAAATGCAATTACAAAAAGTGTCTAAGCAATATTTTATACAACAAAAATTACATTCGAATTTATGAATTTGCATCACAGATCCAATAACTGATGAGGATATAACTTCTCTTTTCACTTCATTTCCAGATTTTGTTTTCTTTACTTTTAACTTAAGTAACACTCCAGAAGTAGGCTTGACGTCTGCATATATCTTTTTAATAAAAGGATTATCAGGCTGAAAAGACATTCCTAATCTCTTTTTATTAACTTGTGAATACACCTAGAAAAATATATTTACTTTATTAATACTTTGTCAAATATGTACTTGATAACAACTTAAGCCTTTAAAAATCATTATATGAAACCTGTGAAACTCCCTTGATTCCTCCCATACATTGTATAGCTTTGTCTTCATTTTTAACATTACCAGGAAATAAAACGCAAAATAATTCACGATGAAAATTTTTCGAATCGTGCTGCTGAGTTTCTTTTTGCATTGTTTACTTCAAAATACTGTCGTTAATTCTACTTTTCCTTGACTTTTATGTATACGAAGAAATTGTCTCTATATAATTTAATATGCAGAATATGCCAATGTAAAGATCAACATTAGAAGAGTCGATATCTCACACGAAAACTCTAAATAAAACTTTTATTTGTCATCCATGAATAAACATTACCTATATGACCACTTCATCGCATAACCTAAAATTAAATAACTAAGTGTCAACTGTCAGCTGTTAAGCCACAGACAATAGAGAAATACTTATACAGTGGTTTAACCATCTATTTACATTATACACATACAGTAATTTTTACTAGGACTTAAACGGATTTGACATAAAGGTTAATAGCAAATACGATAACCGCCGGTTATGAATATTTTAATGTTGCTTTTATAATGAAAGTCTAAGAATTAGGAAACAAATGGACGGACATCGTATTATGATTGCGACTTAATTATTTAATGTAAGAAATAAAAATATTTATATTTATTTTACCTATAAAGGGTTATGGATTATGCAAAATATTAAGTAATAGTATAATAAAATGTAACTTTATATGCAAATCATGTTTTATTTATAATCTTATTTTGTAACAAAACTAAAGTTAATCAATGCATGAGTATTTGCATCTGTGCTAGTTGACTGTAAGTATCTCCAGGCATTCTATAGGCAATATTCCCAGCAAATGTGTTCAGTACTTCAGCTTGCTCTCTCAGCCATTCCAATTGCTGTAACAACAAAATATTTTAAAAATAATATTTGAAATTTTCAGATTATAATATAGTTATGATTTTCCATTCTTCTATTACTGATACTGCTTACTGTACCTGCTACTGCTTTGATATAATATAATTGTATGTGTAATCATAATATAGTGTTATCTTAGTGCCACTCTAGCAAGAAAAATGCGAAAGAGAGATGTGCACTGTTCAAAGGTTTTCTTTAACAATAACTCCATACTAAATAGTAGAGAAGTGATATATGCTTTTATAACAATACACAAACCATTAAAACAATAAAATAAAAATGAAAAATGCTCCAAGAAAACATTAAATACCTTATTAGAAGTATGTGCTGGTAGCGTAGGCTGTGCGGTGCGCAGTTTCTGCCGTTGCGCGACCAGTATGTGGCAGAGCGCGCGCAGCACGGCGGGCAGCGCGCGCAGCAGCTCCCCGCGGGCGGCGCGCGCGCCCGCCACGCGCGCCTCCACCTCGCCCGCGCTCAGCGGCACCAGCTCGCACGACCGCACCGTCTGTTTGTGCATTCATATTTCCAAATTTATTTGTTTTTATAATATTAAAGTGAAATTTTTTTAGGCACGTCATGAGAAGGGAAAAGAAGGATTGGTGTTACGATTATTGTGACGGAAACGGTACCATACGGTAATGAATAATTTTTTAATTGATTAAAAATTACTTAAAGTATTAAATTAGAAACTCAAAGAATAAATTAAATAAAATAGATATTTATAAAAAAAATATCGTTTTTCATTTACTTTTAATAAGCTATGGGATCATAACAAATGAATGAATATTTTTGTTGTGTCACTTCTATCCTAATTATTTAAAACAAATTGAATTCCATATTTCATAAAAAGTACCGAAAACCTACGCGTTTTACGTTTTTTTCAAGTTTCACTTTTTGCGCGTGTATACATTGATACTTAACGCAATGGAATAGAAATATACATCAAAACTAAAAAATCGGTGATTTTTTTGCAACGAAATCGAGAAAAGTTTAAGTATTTTACTGCACAACGATTGCGGCCTCTCACTCGAGTGTGACGTCATTTTACCTGAGATCGACCACAAAATAACACTAATTTGCTCAATAATTCTTTCTAAGTCACACGTGAGCTCTCGTATTGTTCCTAGTTATTTTACGTATAACTGCTTGTTTTTTATTTATTGGTAGTGTCCTTTTTAATTTAAATTTCGGTTGTTCAGGTATTTTTTTAACTTTTTCAGTTGTTGAGATATATTAATAATTCTATAGGCAATTAAGTAAAATATAACAAAAAATGAAATTGTTGTTATATTTTATTTAATTTCTTAGAATTCATAAAAAAATTGGAATCTTCTCCATAATCAAATACCTACACTCTACCATAATTGATGATATTATAAAATGGTGGACGCTACTAACTAAAACGTTGTAAACCAACAAACAATCAATAATAAAAGAAACCTATTAAATAAGTAACAAACAGCAATACCTCAAGAGCACCCTCGTAATTCTCGGCATGGAACTGATCGAAGAAGGTCATCAGCTTGCAGAGCTTGTTGTAAGCCTCCAGCAGCGGCGCGGGCAGCGGCAGGTCGGTGGCGCGCAGCCGCCGCGACACGCGCTGCGCCAGCGAGGCCAGGCGCTCGCGCAGCCCGCCCGCGCCGCCGCCGCTGTTCACCACCTGCGCCAGCAGCACGCAAAACAGCTCCAACACTTTCTCCAAGTTCTGGAATATTATATGTATGAACTTTATGATATACTTAGATAAGTTTCAACTTAATTCTAACTATAACTAAACTATATTAAATCTTTTACTTCAAAGTGCATTTGACTTTTATTTAAAAAAATATCAAAGTAGAATATGGTAAATTTATTTTTTAAAGCTATTCAAATGTTTCTGTTTAGTTTTGGCAAAATTTTCAAAATGCTACCAAAAATATCTAATTATAAAAATATTGATTACAATCATTACTAGTTTTATTAAAATAAAACCTTATTAATTTATTTAATACATATAGTATTTAATAATTTTCATTTGATTTTTATTTAATTATTTTGATATACAATTACTTACCCCAGCAATATCATATACCATGATGGCATCTTCGAAAAGGCCTTTATTGACGAGTTGCTCAGCCAAATTTAGTGCAATTACCTGTAAAGTAAACAATATGTGTAATAAAAATTCGCATTTTCATCCAAAACTTGAGATAAAAGGCAAAAAAAAAACAATCTTACTTTACTATCAATATGAGGATTGTTGAATTGGTCTAAAAGTCCTGAACTTCTCATATTGGTCATAGGATCCAAAACACCAAATAATAAGTCATAATCACGACTCTCGAGAGCAAGGTCCGTACAACAGCACATAAAAAGATTCTTGCCACTAGGATCCTTAAGATTTCTAAAAAAAAAAGATTATTTTAAACACTGTAATATACTTAAAAAAGCGTACATTGATAATATAAATAATTAAAAATAATTCATTTTATATAACCTTAAAAAGAAGTAATAATGCAGGGCGTCCGATGGATCAGAAAGCTCAAATTTCCTTACATATAGCAGTATAAGTCTCGCTAAGTTCAACCGACGAAGAGGAATAGGATCATCTGTGTCCACAGAAACTGAAAAGCAACAAACAAGATATGCAAATTAAGTGACATATAATTCTAAAATGTTACAAGAATGCCATAAAATTATTAAAGCTATCATCATCAATCATTCATGCTAAACAAACACTATACACAAATAACAACTGAAGTCCTCCTGACCAAAATCGGTTATTGTAACCGATCTCTCTAACAAGCCATGTGTATATGCAAGCAAAACTTCGGCCTGACTGGAGAGAAATCACGAGAAAGATCAACAGCTTTACATGCTATATAAATATGTAGACCAATTAAATAGTCTTAAAAAAATACCTACACACTAACTAAAACATATTTTACTTACGTAATGGAGCTTGCACGTTACGCGGGGTTCCTAACATGTAGACGTCATGGAGAGCCAGCGCCATGTGGACGGCATGCACTTGGTACCTCGGTATCCTTGATAGGAACTCTATAGCGGGCTCAAACTGACCAGTCAGAGTCAACACTTGGAAGTAAACTAGGGGTTTCTCATATGCATGATAATGTGTTTCACCTGAAATACGACACATTTATATATATATATATATATTGAAGTATGACGGCGTCATGTCTGACCTGTAAAGGCATCACAAGATTTTCACAAAGTCGTCTATGTCATTATATAGGCTGTCAAAAATTCAATCCTCTAGGTCTACTGTCTGTATGTGCAATGATGAAACAAGCAGTACTAGTTATATGTATATTTACATATGGATTACTTTATTATTATTAGCAAATCAATACTTTCTACATAATGGGTATAGATCAAATAAGACTAGCACTTTTATAATATATTTTTGTTACCTGTCAAAAAAATTATAATCACCTTCAAACTTCATGGTAATTAAACACCACATTAAGTTATTATGACCAACAATCAAGACTATCATTTTAGTATTATATGCACATACTATTGCAGTATGAATGCTTACCATATTCTTCTAAGATCATCTTTTGTAAATCTGAATATGTAAAGGATTCAGATTCATTGTTCGTTCGTGTTTTTATAATGGACAATTTCAGCCAGAGATAGTCATCAGCAGTGCGCGCCACTTCGGAATGTTCGTCACTAACATCACAACAACCCACTACACAATAGACCTGAAATAGTATTTATTTTATAGAAATAAAAAGAAGTAAATAGAACTATATTAGTTACTTTATAACTAATATAACTATATTAGTTACTTTATCTCATAAACTATCTTTATAAAAAGTAAGTTTCATACATTCCTGAGAAATTTACAAACTAACTAAACTTACACATTTCATATTGACATTTATATGTATATTAAGATGAATGCAAATAAAATAGACACATATACATAAATATATTTTTTACACTTACAGCTCTTTTGTATGGGTCTGTAGAATTACGGACTTGAATCCTATATTGAAAGTTGATCGCTGTTTGCAATTTGTCACTTAGGGCCTTTTCTGGGTCTCTAATGTGCTCTTCTAAAGCTGCAATAAATTCTTCATGGTCCCGGCTAAAATGTATGTTAAGAATATTAATAAATAAACATCATATTATATTGTTACATGTTTACAGATCTAATATAAAAGACTAGTGACTTACCCTCGCAACGCTCGGATTCGTCCCTAAGTATGTTTTAATTTTTTTAAAGCGGAACCCTAATTCTTTTTCTAAAATAAAAGTAGCCTGTGTTACTCCCTATAACATCAGCTATCTTCCAGTGAAAATCCCGTCAAAATCAGTCCAGCTGTTTCGGAGATTATCCAAAACAAACAGAAGACAAAAATTTTAAAACATGTATTTTTCTTATAAGTACCATATATAATTTCATATGCATTTAGTAAAACGCTATTATTTTGACATTACCAACATACACTTCAATTTTATTTATCTGTATAGATATACATATATAAGAATACAAAGCTTTATTCAAATGTATTTTATTAACAAACCCAGCTTTCTTCAAGCAATGCAATGCTGCATTAGGATCCCCACTTCTCAAACAATAATAAACCATGGGCCACAAAGGACGATCCTCAATCACTCCATCAGTAAGACCTTGAATGTTTTGAGTCTGAAGTCTTAGACCAACAAAGCCTCGGACAAGGGGAAAAGTGCCAGGTTCACCACCACGCATAGCTGCTGCTGGATTTGATCTAACTACATCACTCATGTATTGTTTATATCTGAAAATAAATATGTAATAGAAATATTAAAACTTTAGTAGAGCAATACAGAGCAACAGCTTATTGATATTTTATTTATGTACCATAAAATATATGTTATACAAAATAAAGTAACAAAATGTCAAGAAAGGATAACTTATCTCTTTAAGACATTTCTTCCAGAAACCCTTCAGAAGAGAGAAAATAAGTTAATTTAGTGTGGTGTACATACTGTACAGCATTAAAGGGCATTGACTTAATATTAAAATATATTATTTATTTATATTTTCAGAATAAAGACGTATTTATTTGATTTCCAAATCAATGCATTTTATTTTAAATATAACTTCTAAACAATGATTCTAGTTTCAAATTATATAATGATGGTCAAACCTTTTTTCTAAATATTTCTTCCCTTGTGCAATAAGACAATGTTGAATGGTTGCATTTCCTCTTGCTTTGAGAGGATCTTCATCTCTGACAAGTGCAGGTATGTTGGCCATAGTTTTAATTATTTCCCACATTTCTTTCACTTTCTACAAAATAATAATTATCCTGGTATACTGAATTAATTATTATCAACATTATTTTTTATGAGAATATTTTTCTAAAGAATTAAAAGACTTACAGGGTCATTAAATTCTTCTACAACTTGTGAGAATTTTTGGTGTAATGCTGTTCTAGACTTAGCCCCTTGGAATACAAGCTTATTATATTGTTGAACTTGTCTAGCATATGCTGCTTCAATACTGTCGAGCATGGAATGACCAAACTTTTTAGGAGTATCTGCAATACTTGGGGGTTCTGGAGTGCGCTTTAAATCAAGCCAGTTTTGTGATGGTCCAATCATAGCATTCATTAACTTAATTTTCTCTTTATTCCATTCAGATAACATATGCTCCCATTTTTGATCTTCTGTAGTTTGTAAAGACTGCAATTTTCAAATTATCAGTTAATTACTAAAAAGTTATTTATATATGACTTGGATATTTTTCACATTAAATAATTATACTTACATTTTTGTTAACTTCATCTATTAAGGACAATATGGCATTTTCTCGTTCATTTTTAAGAAAACTTTCAATATCTGAGTCTGCTATAGGTTGTAGAGGTTCAAATGTTCTCTTAGATGACAATGTTTCCAACTTTTGTGAAATCTGTTGTAAATCTATACCTTTAGATCCAAATAAGAGATGACTGAAAAAGATATACTTATTAATATGCTTTCTACTAAATTACCTACTACATACATACATAATTGTAATACAATAATCCATTTGTTTACTCACGCTTGAATGTCATTTGCGCCGGACTGAATAACTCTGGAATATAATTCATGTGAGGCTTCTAAAACCTGGCCTAGAGATCGTTCAACTCTTGGCAATTCTTCATTGCCTTCAATTTCTGTTGTAAGTTGTTCTGCTTGTTGTAAAAGTTTGCTAAAGTCATCGTCTGCCATAGTTCTAAGGTTAGAATAATAATGCGGGTACGATACGAAAGAATAGAAGCTAAAATGATTTATAAAATAGCTCCGATTTCATAAAACGATTAAAGTAAAAGTTCTTAAATTAAAATATATATTTCAATTTCAAATCATATTTATTGTATCAAAAATCAAAATGTTTAGGAACGCGCCGAATTGCAATAAAAATGACTTTGACATCTGTGTCATGGATGACAAATAAAACTGTTTAATTTAAATATCAGCACAGACTATATCAGTCATAGACAATTTCTTAAATACTTAAAAATTAAAATACTATGTAGTGCTGCTCAAGTTATTCTATTTTGTCCTAATATTTAATTTTTATACTACAATTCACTGTTCATCCCAATCATGGATGACAAATAAAAATCCAAATCTCTCCAGCCGTTTCAACTTTCAACGTGAAGGAGTAAGCAACATAAAAAACTAGTCCGATTTATACGAAAAATATTATCTACATTATTTGCCATTTACTCAAGATCCATTGATATAAAAATGAAATTGTATGAAGACAACAAAGGATTAGATAAAAATGTTGCAAACATAATCAAAGAAATAAATAAAACTACTAGATTGGTACTATAAAGTTTATTATTTTTATATAACCTTACCAAATCCAATAGGCAAGCTATAAAAATGAAAATAGTGTATATAAATTATTATTTAATGAGATAATATAACAAGAGTAATAATGTTTATTTAAACTTTTTAGGTCCGAAAATAAGATCTGCATCAGGTGCTCCTTTAGGATGTTGATATTTTTGGCGAACATGCTGTCCTCTATTAGGGTTGCCACTACCTCCAGATCCACCTCCACTCTCTGCACTGTATTCTTCTTCTTCTTGCCGTTCCGATATATTTAATGTCAAACTGTAAAATATTTAATTTTTCATAAAACATCATCACAAGTTTTAAGATTAGGTCTATGAGAGTACACTATACATAATTTTTTATATTCCTTTCATTAAAAATCGGTACGTACAAATAATTATTATAACTAGGGATAATATACATTTTGTTTACACAACTAAGACAAGAGTACTGATTGGTTTAAAAGGTTCTAAAGTTTGGCTATGTATCCGTCTATGTCTATATGTGTATTCAGCCCTTTTTAACGTCCCACTGCTGGGCACGGGCCTCCCTTCAGTACGAGGGGGATCAGGCCATAGTCCACCACGCTGGCCAATTGCGGGTTGGCGGACTTCACATGTCTTTTTTGAAAACTTGCTAGGTTCTCTCAGACATGTAGGTTTCCTCACGATGTTTTTCCTTCACCGTAAGGCAAGTGGTAATCATGTTAGAAATGATTCGCACATGAAAATATCAGAGGTGCGAGACCCGGGATTTGAACCCGCTTCACTCGGTTTCCCAAGCAAGCGCGTTACCACTGGGCTACCACTGCCCTAAGTCTATATAATATGTACAGATAAATAAAATGGATGTGTCTGTAATGTTAAAATAACAGTTTTTTACTAAATATATATGAAATTATATAATAACATGGTACTTGTAAACAAACACAATTTTTAAAATTTTGTCTGTCTGTCCGTTTCTTCCGTCTAATCTCCGAAACAGCTGAACTGACTTTGACTGGTAGATAGCTAATGTTATAATGAGTATCTTAGGCTACATTTACTTTAAAAAATGAATTAAGATTACGCTTAAAAAAGTAAAAATATACCTAGGGACGCAACTAAGCGAAGCGAGTGTAAGTCGCTAGTCCTATATAAAAATGTATCACATAAAACCATCGGAATTGGTAAATTTGTGGTGTGCAATTACCTCATAAGAAGTATATTATATAATTTCATAAAAGATTAAAAATAATATATTTACCGTTTTACTCTTTCCATTTCTTGTTTGTCAGCTAAAGCCTGTTGTTGCAGGTTACTGGCTAGTTCAGGAGGTGCATTAAAAGATTTGTACTGTGGCTTAGTACCTTTTCTAACCATTAGCACAAATTCCACGCCTTCTTTGCCTTGCTATTATACAAAGGAGTTTTATATATTTATAATTTGCAAAGTTGTATATTTACATTTCTGGTGTTTACTTTTAATTACATACATTTACATATAAATTTAAAAAAAAAACTATATAAACCTACCAACAACTGCTCATAAGTTTTTTTCGTTGTTTGCCTACACGTCATCGGTACAGCAATATCCCTTTGTTGCGGCCTATTTTCTCTTTGTCTTTCAGCAATATTTTCCATTACCATTTTTTCAAATGCTGATTCAAATTCTACATCCTCCACCTTAAAATTTAAAAAAAATAATGAATATAATGTCATAGTAAAATTAAAGTCAAGAAAAGCTTAAGAGATTATGAAAAATACCGGCTTAGGTGTAGGTCTCCGCGGTTCAGTTGTTATTTCATCATTTTGAACATCGTTATCATCATTGCCAGCATTTTCTGTAATAGGATCTTCGTCTGAACTTTCTTCATGCATAGTTGGGTTGTCAGTTTCGTCATCTGTTTCAATTATAGTGTTTAAGCCATCAGCTGTACTGTCTTCACCTTGCTCATCATTGTCATACTGTTCTTCATCACCTAATTCAGGGTATAAAGTCAGTCTAATCTCTTCAATAGCATCTTTACACTGCTGCCAACTTGTAAATAAAGTTAATTTTGGTCTTAAACTTGTCAAACACTCTTGGTATATATATTTCACATATATTGGAAACTTATTGTCTTCCGTCCAAAATGGATCGGAACATTTAAACCAGTAGTAATTTTGGAAGAACACTAAGAAATAATCTAGTCTCTTTTTGCTTGATCCACTATTAAAGTATGCTCCGCACGTTTCTAGCAGCGCACAAACTAGTCTTATTCTGAACACATTGTCTGGTGGATCTAATGGGGAAACGCTGCTGTGATCATTAGTAACACCAAATGTGATGAATGAGTAAAGAACCGTAAAAACATCTCGTGAGTCTAGAAGCTTATAGTTGTAGAGCTCACCGAGATACCTCACAGTGGCAATTCTTCTCTGGTTGTATCTTGGATGGGGGTCTTCCATGGTCACCCGTATTTCTTCCAAAATGGTGTCAACGACTGCCGGCGCGACTGTTTCTTGCCACGCCGCAAGCTCAGCAGTTAAACGTGCTAAAGCTCTTCGCGCACTAGCTCTAACCCTCCATCCCCCAGCTAAATGTTGTATTGCTACAGATGAAATCTCTGGATCATCCCAATTCAATTTTCTCATTAGTCTTAATATTTTTTCTTCATTGCTTTTTTGTAAATCTTCATGGAGAATTTTTCTTATAAATTGATGCATTGGAGGTTCTTCCTCTTTGGGCTGTGCAGGAGCCTCTGGAGGGCAGACATAATAGAATGCGTTCTCAATTTGAGTTACGTATCGAGAATCTAAAGCTGAAACTGTCTGAAAAGTAAAACCAGTGTTAACATTCATTTTTAAATAATAATCAAAATACAAATAATAAAACAATAAGTAAATGTACAATAGTTCTACCTTTTTTCTCATCATTTGTTGTAAATATATCATAGTTCTTTGATGTGTGTCAGGATTGCAGTACAGGTACCGACCACAAGTTTCCAACAAGTTGCATGCCATTTCAATATGGTGATGTTTAAAATCATGTAAAAGAACTTTAAGACAAAACAATGCTTCTATTTTAGAGTAAAGGCCAAATTTTACTAATTCTCCAATAAACCTGACCACTTTAATCTGCAAATATAAAATCATTTATAGTACCTAGTAGTCGTATTCACACAGTATCTAGTAGTTTCACTAAAACAAAATAGTCAAGAAATAACAGAATTAACGAAATTAATGCACTACATTCTACTATTAAAATTAATATAAATTATTAAATAATAATCAAGCTAAAATATAAAAACAAACAAACAATAGCAATAGTTCTCCTGATCAATACTGACCATGGTTGGTCACCACTCACTGGGACTAGCCCACTGCGCACATACTATAGTGCACAAATGTGCACTATAGTATATGGCGCATATATTATAATGCACAAGTGTACAAAAAGACACAACATACAATCTCTATTCCTGTCACTTTCATTCACCAGTGGGACGTCAATTCGACACGATCGGTGAGCAATAAAGGTCACGACCAACTGCTTTACGTACTTTTCGAGGTGACGGGAGCGAAACATAGCCAACTCCAGGCTGTTACTGAGAATGTCTAGACTACTAGAGCTCAATAACTAAACTTGGCCTGACTCGGGACTCAAATCAAGCACTTTTGGATCTGCAGCCGTACATACAGTCAAAAGACCACCAAAAGAGTTTGTGTGAAAAGTACCTTAGATTCAATATTAATTTGATCCTTTTTTCTGACATGATATTTAAAATCCTGCTTCAACATTGCACAAAGATCTACACAGATGTCAGGAAGAACAGGGTACAATATAGCTGCAAATCTTGAATAAAATGGCAGTAAGTCAAGTCTTGTTCTTGCAACACTAAACAAAACTCTTGTCAATTTTTTTCGATTATTTTTTGTGTTCAGATTTAATACAAAATCTACAGCAGCATTGTCTATAAGTTCTCTGTTTATACAGTTGGGCAGTTCATTCAAAAAGGCATCAAGAGCATACCTGAAATTAAAATGAACTATAAGTTCTATATAAATTTAAAATTTTTGGATTCCATAATTATATAATAATGACACTAGGGGACTAAAACATCCATGATCACGGCTAGTGCAACCCAGTCAAAACTTCGGGAATAAGGTATTAGGCACGGGCAACGTCACGTCTTTGAGTCCCGTAGTGTCTTTACTATATAACTATAAATTCTGTTTTTACTAAGTTATAATGGCAAACTTTTAGGCTTAAAAGTTAAACATCACCTACATTGATAAATCACTGAACCTATTCATACAGAAAAATATCTTATAAAATTGTGATTTTTTAATAAACAATAAAACAATGGAGATAACCTACTTATTAGATATATTTGAAGGCTGTACTTCTTCTTGCTCCACATCAGGTACCACTGGTGGTTCTTCATTATCACTAAGTTCATCCTCCTTCAAATCTTCATCTAACATTTCTTCAGTTACAGTCTCCGTTTTACTTTTTACAGTCTACAAAAGAGAACTATTTATAAATAAAAAAGCAAATGTGTGTGTGTTAGAAGCATTAATCAAAAAACACAAAATAGCGTGCAAACTTTGTTTTGTATTTCAAATAGAAGATAAATGAATGAAAAAATATGCTTTTCATACTGTACTCTTGCCTATTTGCAAAACAAATAAATATGAACAATATTTACCTCTTTCATTTGGGAATTTGGCATGAAGACCTTCAAATCTGGCAAACTAGTATAAAATGTTCTGGTATCTTCATCTTGCCAAGGGTCAGTACCTGCTTGCATTATAAACTCTTCATTACCCCCTATAGTCACTGTGCCTTGGGTTTCAATTACTGTAAGTGACAAAGTAGGAGGCTCCCCAGCCTCCCCTAATTCTTCACCAAGAACTTCAGCAAAGTTTTGTGCTCCGGTTAACAATTTATCATAGGTTGCCTGAAATTTAAAATGACAGCTTAATCATATTTTCTATCTCATCTATAAAATAACTATAGTTTTAAAAAATATGAATCACAGTAACTGTAATGTATGGTACTCATCAAAACAAATCAACCCTAGCTTGAGCTGTAACTCACAGGTTTTAAGTTTTACCATTCATATCCTAGCTCAGTCATTAGATCAGTTTGATAGTATCAAATTATTGTATCTGGATTTCATATACTTAAAATCTACTATATATAATATGGCTTCTAAGATTTGATAACATAGTTACTATTACTGTTTACTCAGTTACAAGTGAAGTGTATTTATAATGCACCTGGTGCTGTTCTAACTGGTCTTTTCTTTCTTGAGACAATTCTCCTCTAGTATGTAAGGTCCTCTGATTAGCTGCATGAAGAGCTTGAAGTTGAGCCCTTTCAGCCAGCAAGTGTTTAGTAAGAGAGGAGAAATAATCTTTAAGCAATGATCTGACAGCAGTTTGCTTTTCTGCTGGTAAAAATGTATTCCTTGGTATAGGTACATTCAATTTCTGAAATAAAAAGTGTGTTATGTTATTAAATATAATAATAAAATAAGAAACAATCATGTTAGCTAAAAAGTTAAAACATTTTTGAAGATAAAAATAATCCTTTGTTGTATTAGTAAACATATGTGTAGCATAATATGTATAATTAAAATTATCAATGTAAATGAAGACAAAGTTGTATTTAGTTAGCTGGTATTTTACTTTATATTGTTATTTAATGCAATGGCATACCTCTGCAGTATCTTTAATCTTCTTTGGTACTAGACCAGCATAATCTTCTCCACAATGTTTACAGAATGACAATAATATTGGAATATTATTGTGTTCTTCTTTATCCATGTTTATTAGAACTGTAAGAACATTTCCAAGTAATGGAAGGCCCGTTTTATTAGTAAATATTCCTACAGCAATAAGTTCAGCATAAAATCTTAAGTCTACTCTTAATTTTGAAGAATTTGTAATTTTGTCTGTTGCTTTAAAAGTCAAAATCTTTTGCCAATTTTCAAAAAAATTTGTTGCAAATTCAGAGTAAGTTTTGTGTAAGACAGAGCAAAGGTTTATCGCTGCAGAGATATCAGACATCTTAAGCTTCGCTTCTGCTATAGCTGCTGCCACTTCTGAAATGTATTTTGTTAGATTAAGAGCCCCTAAATCCTTCAAAAGCGTATCCACTTGCGTTGCGCTAAAAGTCTTTAACTTTTTTACAAAAGTTGTATTTTTTTTCAGGCCAGAATCTAATTTAGAAAAATAATTATCCGGCGGTCGCACACAGTTTAAGTTTTGATTTCGCAATTCGGATTTTTGTTTTATTCTCATTTCTAGGTTAGATACATATTCAGAAAGCGCTACTTTCTCGTTCTCTTCAGTGTTTTCTTCAGATGTGTTATCTGGTATAGCATCCTCGTTTTTATCCATTTCTATTTCATTTGAAGACATTTCGATAAATTATTATTTTTTAAACATTGTACAAAGAAAACATAGAGGGACAATTATTGTTTACGTATTATTTACACAGTACACTTACAGATACAGATCACTACTAACGGGAAGAATTTTGCCATTTTCTCGCACCAGATGTCGCGATTACTATGGTCTTCAGAGTTCAGCATATTGTAAAGCCTCATAGTATACATATTATCTTAGAGTATACTTAAGCTATAGAGCGCGCGTCATCGCTCATTGTCCATTATGCGAAACGTAAGAAGATGTTCTATACACACCATTTATTTGTCATCCATGACAAAAACTCCCTAAAATAGCAGCACTGCTGTCAAAATTACGTCAAAAGCAATAAAAAGAATTTTGTCATACATGAATAAAATAAATAATAATGCAAAATTTGAGGCTCTATTTATAAAAGTTTGATATTTTTTTGTTTTTGAACTTATTTATTTCCTAAACTTGAAACTTCGTGAGATTGCTGTAGAAGTAGATATTAATTAATAAGTACTTTGCTCAAAAAAAATCAAGAATCTACTGCGAGTCCCGTATATATAATACGAGGCGATTTTCAAACTGTTGGATTGAAATTATTAGATTTTACAAAATAAATTTTTTTAATACAATGTGCGGAATTTTTTGTGAAATAAGATACAATAAACATACAATAACAACGGTGAATTAATTATACTTTTAAAGTGAAACTAAGCACTAAATATTAAATTTTAATGCTATAAAATTTACTTTTTAGGACAATAAAGTTTTAGAAAGATTAAGAAACAGAGGTCCTGATAGTACAAACAACTTCGAGTTTGTTGTAAATAATGATATTACTCTTTATTTCTCTGCTTATATATTATGGATGCAAGGTATGAAGTTAACTCCACAACCAGTAGAAGATGAAAACGGTATTCTGCTATTTAATGGTGATATTTTTGACGACACTTGGGATAAGAAATTTAGTGACACATATGTTTTAATGAGAAAATTAGTAACTGTAAGTATATAAAATTTTGTAGTAAAATTCAAATAGAATTTGTTAGAAATAATTTACTATACAGTTTTGTTAATTTCTCATTTAATGTTTAGCATATTACTTTTCTTCAGTGTAATTCATCAGAGCAAATTATTTCACAAATGAAAACTCTTAAAGGGCCTTTTAGCTTAATTTACTACAATAAACTAAAAAATAAGCTTTTTTTCCTACGAGACAGAATTGGACGAAATTCTTTACTATTTTGTAAGTCAAGCAATTCTTATGTCATAAGCAGTGTTTTAGGTAAGCTTATTTTTATTAAAACCTAATTAACTTATTTGCTAAACATATGTTGAAAATTATGACAAAAGTTGAAAATTTTGTTTGGTTTTGGTTGATTAATATGTGCAACTTAAAATAAGAAACTCAATAAAGAATTCTTCTTTTTAAGGTAGAAAATATTCTTGTATTGAAATACCAGCCACCTATATTTATGAATTCAATATAAATGAGCAAAAGCTGCAATTACACTCTTGGAATGATTCTCTTGAATTAGTAAATACTCTATCAATTGAGAATTGGTTACAAGTTATTAAAGAACAGCAAAGTCAGCCAGATGATGAATTCATAGTTGATTTTGATAACACATCAAGTAATTTAAGTGAAGAAGTATGTAAAAACAAAACTAATAACTATTCATATTTTTTTATTAGGTGGTGAGTGGTAGGTAGTTTTTTAATAGCACAGGTGACTTTATCGTCATTGTTTATTCATTTTATGTAATAAATATTCATATTATTTCCATACACATTTCACCTTCTATTGTTGACTTAATATATATATATATATATATATATATATATATATATATATATATATATATATATATATATATGTATAATTTGATTTTTCTTTCTTCCTCTTGAGACTACACTGATAGCGGTTTTAGTAATATTTTGTGAATATTTCAGGATGATGTTGTCCAGCAAATAGAAAAATTATCTCAAAAGTATGAGAACAAACTCGTAATATTAAAACATCTGTTGGACAATTCAATCATATTCAAAACTGTTATGAAAATAGTAGAACTGTTAGAGAAAAGTGTAAAAGTTAGGGTTGAGACACAGCCAAGTAAATGTAAGGACTGCATAAAAACTGAAATAAAATGCAACCATTGTACCACAGGAATATTATTCTCGGGTGGCTTAGATTGTACCATTTTAGCATTTCTAGCTGATAAATATGTACCTAAAGACCAACCTATAGACCTGATAAATGTTGCATTTGAAACAAAAAATAATGATTCTTATGATGTCCCAGATAGAATAACTGGCAGGGAATCTTTTGAAGAACTAAAAAGAACCTGTGGTTCAAGGTAAATAAATTAAATTCAGTTACTTTAATTAGGTACTCATTGTATAAAAATATTTTAGTTCTTAATTTTAAGGCAGTGGGTCTTTCGAGAAGTAAATGTGTCAAGAGTAAAGCTAGCTGAGTACCAATCGTCAATTATTGGGGACTTAGTGTATCCAAGACGCACCATATTGGATGAAAGTCTTGGATCAGCTTTGTGGTTTGCTGCTCAAGGACAGAGTGATGAGGATGAAACCAGTTGTAGGGTAAGAATTTAGCTCCTAATTATCTTTTCTCCAAAATCAACTTATTAATATACAACTGCAATATTATGATTATAATTATTATTTTTCGTTTTTAATAAAAATGCTACATTTTGAAAATATTATGTTTCTTGTTTAGGTTTTATTACTAGGATCAGGAGCTGATGAACTGTTTGGTGGTTATGTGAGACATAGAAATGCTTTCAAACGTCAAGGTTGGCCAGGCTTAGCCAAAGAACTATTATTAGATTGGAAAAGAATATCATTCAGAAATCTTGCAAGAGATAACAGAGTTATTTCTGATCATGGCCGACAGCCTAGATTGCCTTATCTGGATGAAGATTTTACTGAGTTTGTTTTAAATTTGAAACCATGGCTTAAGTATATATTTTTTTGTTCTTTGTAACTTTCCTTATCATTCAGTATTATAAAAAATACTAAAAAGGAATTTTATTTCCAGATGTTTCCCTAGCAGTAAATTAGAATGTGGGATTGGGGATAAACTAATATTGAGACTTGTTGCGTTTTATCTTGGACTTAATAATGTTACTATTCTGCCTAAAAGGGCTCTGCAGTTTGGATCAAGGATTGCTAATAAAAAAGAAAAAGGAAATGACATATCTAAAACTTTCCAAGACATTAAATTTATATAAATATTATTTATTTGGTTTAAATTTGCCTGTTCCCAAATCAAGACTGAACAAAACATATAATATTCACAATTAATTAAATTAATTGTAAAAGTACAGTAATTGTTCTTCATTGTTAGAATGAAAATCTATCTCTTCATTTCAAAAAAATGTTTAGAAGAAAGATGTGACTGCATAATATGTTAATGTTAAATTTATAAAAAATTAAATTTAAAATTGTTATATTTATAATATGTATGTATTTAAAGTTATATATGTGTAGTGTATCAACTATCTGGTATCCATAACACAAGTCTCGTAGCTTACCATGGAACTAGATGGCGCTGTGTGTTAATGTCCCAATTTTTATTTGTCATCCATGGTCCCAATATATTAAAAAAAAATGTCTGTGTGTGCGTGCTGGCCTTAAAATTTATATAAATTGCCATATATATAATTATCTTTTTAACTGGCACTAAAAAGAAACAGAAAGGAAAAAGTGATATGGAGGGTGGAGGCAAAGAGTAAATATTATATACACTGGTGGTGGTAAGGAGAACCGTCCGTATCGTATATCGGAAACAAGTCTAATAAGTTTCCAGTGTACTAGTATAGTATTATATTATCTGTGCCAGTGGTAAGCAGCAAATTGGAATTCAGAGACTCACCGATATAGCGCTAGCGTAGCAAGAAGAAGTGATATGAACTTAGGAATTATTATAAATTTATTATTGAACTAGCATTGCCCGCGGCTCCGCCCGCGTTCAGATGACCAAAAACCAAATTCTTAGGTTTTACATATTAGTATACTCTTACATTGCAGATTTTGTATTTTTTGTAAAAAGTATCCTCATATGTTGACCCGGATAACCAGCTATCACCATTCCAAATGTCAACAAAATCCCACCAGTGGTTTTTATGTGATGCGGTAACAGACAGGCAGACAGACACAAAAATTCTAATAACTATAAATTCGGCCTCTGTGTCGATAAAAATGTTTATTTCAATAAGATTTTCCAAAAAATATCAAATGTACAGATTCGGCTTAGTTACAATTTTATTATATGTATAGATTATTTATATGAATTTTTCATTTCTTGGGAATTCATTCTTCACGAAATCACTATTTCTTCAGAAGTTTATCAATTTTTTTTTTTAAACTTAATATCAAATAATAATTAGATATTTGAAAATAATATGTAATTATAGTCTATATCGGTGTTTGCCTTGTTTCATTTACCACCTTAATCTTATGGCTTTTGGCGCTGTTTTGAAGTCATTTACTTGATTTTTGTGACGCCATCAATGTGATGCTTGTCAGCGGTTACTTTTTTATACACAGAGATAGTTCTCCTTCCTTTTACCCTCCAATCCCTCCATAAAAAGATAGGTAGAAAGATTGACAGTTAAGACAGTTATCTGTTACCATAGAGTAGAGAAAAAGTACATACAAAGAAATTGTATTTTTACTATTTTACATCGAAAATGGCTGCAAGCCGTCGCAAACAAGATGACAAAAATTTAGAAACTTTACGTGAACTCATATCTTTGAATGGGAATAAATACTGCTTAGACTGTAATCAAAGAGGTCCCACATATGTTAATACCACAATTGGCTCTTTCGTGTGTTCAAAATGTTCGGGAATGTTGTAAGTAGTTTTCTACGTTATTTCCTATTAATTTATAACAACAAACAGATGCTACTTACGTCTCAAATTTCAGGCGTGGTCTTACACCTCCACATCGAGTAAAATCTATCTCCATGGCTACATTTACGCCAGAAGAAATAGAATTCATAAAAGTAAGAGGAAACGATTATTGCAGACGCGTGTGGCTAGGCCTTTATGAGGGTGAAAGTGTAAACTTTACTGATGAACAAAGCGTAAAAGATTTTATGTCCGATAAGTATGAAAAGAAACGATATTACCTGGAGTCGTCGCTTAACACTACTGTTACGAATGGTAGCGCACTGGGAAAAAATAAAATTAAAACCAAATCTGCTATTAGTAATATTGGTACCACACCTCTAATATCTATTTCACCCCAAGCCTCTAAATCACCTAATAATAATAATGTGATCAATACAGCAAAAGTAGTAAGCAATGTTTCAGTTAATGAAACAAACCATAAGCTGCCCAGGCCTGTGAATAACTTCACTCAGTCATCACTGAATAAAGTAATAAGTATTCCAGCCACTTCAAACCCAGTCCCTGTACCTGAGTAAGTTTGTTATGTATTTCACATTTTGGTAGATTTTATTTATATCATATTTTCATTGCCTTATATTTTTTACTTCCAGTTTTCCTGTAGATTTTTCTACTGCAAACATTTTTAATAGTGCCCAGTACAACAACAGCATTAATAATAATATTAACAACAATGTAATGGTTCAGCCAATATCCACCACCAGTACTCCAGCCTTCAATGCATTCAATTCTTCTACAGCTTCAAGTAAGAATTTTATTATTGTTTTAGTTGTTCTAAAACACAATAGTAGTATTTTAATAATAAATAAATAATAAGTAATTAAACTAAAAAAAAACTAATTTTCAGATGACCGATATGCCGCATTAGCTGATTTAGATCTTGCTTTACGACAACAAAAAATGAAAAATATGGGTAAGTTAAAATTTGTATTCATATAATTTCATTTCTTTTTCATCAGTAAACCGAGAGACAAACAAACTAATAAAACTTTTTAAATAATTCACTGTATTTACGGTGTATGAACTAGTGTTCATACTAGTGTATCTACTAATGTTCACCAAGTGGTCAAAATTTGACTATTATCATTATTGAAATTGATGATTTTGTTTAGTGAAATTACAAAACTTTATATTGATAACACTTTAGCTCAGCAATAGCTATTAAAAAAAAAATGCTTAACAAACTGAGGAGAAACTGGTACTGAAGTGATTTTTTTTTTGCCTATTTTTATATAGATTTTACAATCAAATATAAATAACATTTTAGTAAAATAAATATTTTAGTAAACTTTGATTTTAACTATAACATACTTTCAATATCTATTATATAATTAATTTAATATTTTACAGAGGATAATAACAGTGTTAACAAAAATCCTTTTCAAAGTCCATCAAGCAATGACTTGTTTACAAACAAAAATCCCTTCTTTAATGGAGGCTGGAGCACTGTTGCAACACCTGTTCCTGTTAATCCTTTTAAGGTAAATAAATAATTTGACAAATATAATATTTCATATATGTAATATAGTTTAGAAAATATACATCCATTCAACCGAGTCAAAATTGATAGAACCATTATCGGACATTATTTTAAATATCATATTTAGGAGAAGTACAATGATTCATGTATAAAAAGTTTTCAGAGATAACATATCTATGTGTGTTAAAATAAAATGTTGTTTTCTAGCCAGCGAACAATGGAGCCTTTGTGAATTCCAAGAATCCCTTCCTCTGATAACATCTACACATCCATGCATGAGTCAAGAATAAAGAGAAATTAATGCAACAAAAAGCACAAACAATGCTACATTTAATAATGATGTCTATATTATTGTAAAATAGATTATTATATAAGTATTTACATTTCGCCATAGTGTTAAATTAATGTGCTTATAACGGTTGTTAAATTAAGTGCCTCAATCTGCCTTACATTAAATGAAAATTCTTAAAATGATATATTCTTATATGCGCTGTTGATGTTTAAAAAAATATTTAAATCATTGAATGGACTTGAAGGAAATTGAACTGTGAATGTATGAGTATTTATTATTTAATATGCTGGTCTTAGCTTTATTAATTATAATGAAATAGTATTTAGTTTTTTAAACTTCGGCCTTAAGATAAATTGTCATGACAATTTTTAATTGTTATTTTATATTTGGCGTACAAATAATCACCATTGAGTCTTATTGTGATGCTCAAAATTTATGTAGTTGTAGGTGTGATTCTGATTGTGAGTCAGTATATTAGCATTGGACGCCATTATGTCATCGCGTCTATAAACTGCGGAATATGAATTATAAAGGCAGATACACACATTCACCTTGACCTTATTAGAGATAAAATTATTTGTTTGCTAACACGTGAATACAAGTGCCGAGTTAATAACACTGTTAGCTTTATCCTAATATTTGTTAGCTTGTCTTAATAATATATATTATTTTACCTGCAGCATTTGTCGACAAATAATGTTATTTTTTGTTTGCTGCTTATACTGATATTTATGTTGAAGTAACGTGTGGGGAGCTGTCTTTAGAGCAAGGGTACAAACCATTTTCTAATCATGACATTAGTCGCAAATAGCACGAATATAAATAATATGATATATATTACGAGAGGCTAGTAATAAATAAATATTTACATCAATTCAATTCCTCGTATCACGTTATATCAGAGGCATATGGAGATTGTGAATAGTAAATCGGAAACCTTTGCTTTTAGAAAGTAGCAAATTATATCTGGTCTTCATTTTAAAACTGGCGCAAATTATACTAGAGTAAGTCTTAAGCCGTCCACATGATACCAAAAATGTATATCGCACAAATAACACACGAGACTGTCTTATTTAGTTTGCGTCTGTTTTATGAGTTCGATAAAGCTCAATTACGTGCTTCATCTGTGATTTTATCATTAGTTTATAATTTCACGCATACATTTTGAACAATTTATTTCTTTTAAATCAATGCACTTGACTATTTATTGAATAATTTTAATGTAACTATGAATTATTTTTACTCTTTGAGCACTGAGATCTGTTAATTTGTATAAAATATTAAAAATAAATCGATGTTTTTATTAACATGAAGTTGTTCCCTATTATAAAATCCTCTTCCACCTGCTAATTTATACTCGTGATATCTATAGAGATAAATAAAATTGAAGTAACCATTTGTAATGTCAAAATTACAGCGTTTTACTAAATCCATATGAAATTATATAAGGTACTTATATGAAAAACACATTTTTTTTAATTTTTGTCTGTCTGTTTATTCCGGATAATCTCTGAAACGGCTGGATTGATTTTGACGGGACTTTCACTGCAAGATAGCTGATGTTATATGTAACATGGGCTACTTTTATTTTAGAAAAAGAATTATAGTTCTGCTCAAAAAAATAATACTTACCATACACATACAATCACTGTATGAAAATGAAACACTATGTTGTTTTGAAGATAGTCATGAATCATAATTACATTTGCACTCAAGGTGACTATTTTTAATAATAAATTAATATTAAAAAAAACATTTCTAAAAACAAGCTTTTATATCATATAAATTGTGTCATGTCATTAATGGGTTTGATATAATTTAAAGTTTATTTTTAAGGTATTTATTCGTATTCTTCTCAGCAAGCTCTTTCATTTGATACCCATAACATGGGTGTGCATAATAAACATAGTCATCTTAGCCATCTTGCATTTAGAATTACATCACTAGGCCAAGTAATCTATAGGGTCATAGGGTCAGTGTAAAAATGACCATGTGATTTTCTTACCTCAATAGGTATAAATGTATGTACCTCTGCCATATTTCATTTAAATCGTTTAAAGGTTTCTGCATAATCTTCCCCTTTTACATGTCTCCACAAAGTTTCACACTTAATACTAACAAGTTTTGAGCTTGATCGATGAGTTTAGATTACTAGTGGCGCTATTTGTCGTTGTTTCTTTCAGTAGTGTTTTTTTAGATGCAGGAGTACTTGATCAGGTCCTGCGTTCGAGTCCCGGGTTTGGCGAAAGTATTTGCGTTACAAAGCCATTAATATTGTTAATATAATATATTAAGTCTTGTGGTTAAAAATAAAAAAAAAGATTAGTAGTAAAATCGGTAATTTTATTTTACATTTTGCAATTGGTTTGTACCATATGTCACATTTTGTATTTACTGTCTTTCCTTGAAGACATTGGACTGTGAAAGAGACATTTGCTAATTTGATTTAATGTCGAACTTGAGGATACATTATTGATGGATTCAGGCAAATCAGCCGGAAGGGTGGGCGGTTGCGACGATGATGCGGCTAGACGCTGTTCTGATATTGTTTTTAAAATGTTCTTCCCAGCTTCTTTTGTCTGTAATGAATAAATTTAATAAATATAAGCAATAACGGAGAGACTAATGTTAAAAGTTAATGTTTAATACCTACATTCTACGCCTAATACAGTGAAGTTACAAATATAATTAAAATATAAAATTGAAAATATATCTATATAGTATAATAGTCTTTAGATGACTATCTTAATACACACCAATTTTATTTAAATAGCCATTTTTAAAAAACCCAAGATGTAAAAAGTTTACACTTTCATGCTAACCGCAGTTAAAAAAAGACTGGTTAAGTGCGAGTCGGACTCGAAAACGAGGTGTTCCATATGTACCAGCATACAAGATCTAACCTAACCGATTTATTTTAATTGGCATGGCGGCTATTTTGAAATTTGTCATCTTGCCTTTTTATTATTTGTTTTTATAGCAGCAATAGAAATATACACTGACATTATTTCAATTGCCTACTAATAGGTAGAGAAACGGTTCTTAAGAAACAGCTCGCTGATAGATAGAAAAACAGCGGAAGCTTAATAATAGGGTCCGGTTGGCACCCTTCGGGTACAGAATCCGAGAAACTAAGACATAAAGAGCTTACGCTTTCATGCTCCAAGCACTTGTACGCGTAGTGCGAGGCGTGGTCTAGCAGAGAGAAGCGCAGGTAGTAGTCGGCGAGATAGCGCAACGCAGCCGGCAGCTCCTTGCTACACGCGTTCGCGGGCTCCTGCACCGCCGCCGTGTATGCCGCCGCCGCACTGTTCGGCATACTCGACTTCTCGTACAACCTGAACGATGATATTATGTATTTAATAACATTTATTTTATGTATGTACGTATTTATATATACTATTCTTTATTGCACTTAAAAATCAATACAGTAATTTAAATACATTTTTGTTTGCAAAGGTGGATTTATCTCTAGAAGAGATCTCTTTCAGCCAACCTATGGTAGTGAGAAATAGTGTTATAAAATAAAGTATTTAGTACTTTTTAATGTTCACATGGGCCTCCTGTCAATGCGACATTGTCCACCACGCTGGTCAAGAGTGGTTTAGTGGACTTTACATATCTTATGATTTGATAGGTTTGTTAGGATATGATTTGCTCTTTGAGACCTTGTGTATAAGTCGCAGGGTTATTTGTAAAATCGGAAAATATACAAGCTGAATTGCAGTAATAAGTATACTCTTGTAACTGTAGTATACTATTACCACAATGTACTAATTCATACATTAGTCTTAATAAAAGCATCTAGACAGAACAATCGTGTAAAGGGCGAGGTGCTCCCGACTGTCGTACATAGTTTTATATGACAGTCAGGAAACCGTTTTATTATTAAATGGTAAATTGACAAGAGATATCACTACAGTGCTTGTACTTCGAAGCCATTTGCCATACATACTGCAACATTTGCCTAATACAACCTGGATTATGGCTGGATTTTTATACCGTGCTAGAACTGCATATTGCATACTCACTTTGCCAATTTAAATAAGGCCATGCCTTCAATATCTCCTGTGCTGTGAGCTTTGTAGTAACATTTAAGTGCATTAGGAATTTTATCCATTTTTTCATAAGCTTCTCCAAGTGACACTAACATTCTCGAGTCATCCGGCTTAAGTTGTGCCGCTCTTGAGTAATAGTATATACAGTAACCATTCAGACCTAATATTTCATATGCTTGACCAAGACCATTCCATGCTCTATAGTCATTTCTGTTCACATCTGTAATAAGTTGATTAAAAATTAATTAAACATTATAGAAGTTAAAAAACATCTTTATTATATTACACAAGCTGTACAGTGTACACTCTCTTTGAGTTACTCTGATACATATTAAATGTGAAACTTGCTAGTAGTCGCTTCTCTTTTGTCTCGATTTGTGCGCCCGTGCCTAAGAGTCTCAGCCAGTGTATCACTGTACACTCTTGCACTTAAGTTTAGCTTAACATTCTACATAAGGCAGACGTGACGAAGTACGTATATATTGTAAATAAAGCAATCGAATAACATTTTAAGTATATCGTATGGTATATATACATGTAATAACTGACGGCTCAATATTATGTTATACCTAGTTACTTCTATCAAGTCAATTTTCTTGTCATTCACAACCATAATTAAACAACCAAGTGGTTAAAGTTGCACATATGTATAGTGCTTGGATGGGAGTGTACAGCCTTTCAGGGCTTAATAATTAAAATTAATAATAAATTCATTAAAATGTATAAAACGTTTATTCAGTAATACTTTTTTAAATACCTCAGTTCTTTATGATTATATAAAAATATATAAATCAAAATAATAAAAAATATGGAGATACAAGTTTGTATGGGGAATCAACCTAGGGACGAATCTGAGCGAAGCGATAGTGAGTCGCTAGTCTATATATATCTTTATATATATAATTCTTCTGTGAGTGTGTATGTCACTGAACTTCTTTCAAACGACTGGACCGATTTTGATGAAATTTTTTGTGTGTGTTCAAGGGGATCTGGGAATGGTTTAGATTCACAATTTGAATAATAATTTTCATCAAATAAATTATTAAAAAAAGTTTGAAATTTTCAAATTAAAGACGTGTAGACAGGACAACGTCTGTCGGGTCCGCTAGTATATAATAAAACAGTAACTTTGCAAAATCGATATGCGCGTTTCACGCAAAAAGTACTGAATCAGTTTTAATTTAATTTTGTGTAATGATAACTTATTATTCGGATCAACATTTAGGATACTTTTTAGTACAAAAAATCTTTCATTCCTACGGGAAAACACAATAACTGGTTCTATTGAGTCATTATTAAAAATTTACATGGCTAATGCTGGCTAAACCCTGAGAGATACATAAAAACAAAGTTATAATAAATTGTAGAGCCTTAATAAGGCCTACAGAAAAATCAGCAATAGAATATGTCTTTCTCCTAAGGTATGTTATTTTCTATTTAAAACACACCATGAGACGCAACCGAGCAAAGCAAGGGTAACTCACTAGTATCATATAAAATATAAAGGAAAGTTATACCAATTGCTTGTCTGTAGCACTGTATGGCGGCATTGGAATTTTGTAGTTCAATAAATTCATGTCCCATTAAAATCCAAGCTGATAAGTATTGTGGGTCCAATGACAAGGCCCTCTGGAAATATAACACTGCTTTCTGATGTTCACTCCTAAGGCTATAGTAATTACCTAAAAATAAATAATAAGAAATCATATCAATAACACAGCATATAATAATAGTGTTGAACTGGCCACAAGTTTGTATGCCTATATAAAAAGTAGTCTATATGTCAATCTCGAGTATACAATCTCCACTCCAAATTTCACTTTATTTGTTGAACCATTACAACAAAAAGGAGTCACAAAAACACACATTCATTCACATGCACATTGATATCATTTATCATTCCACAACTATAGTATGGCAAACAACCTAGCATACTAATAAATGTGAAAGTTTAGACTTTAGATGGATGTTTGAATATTTGTCACTCAATCATGCCAGAATGGTAGAACATATCTGGATGAAATTTGACATGGAGATAGATTATAGTCTGGAATAGCACATTTTTGCACTTTTTATCCCATAAAAATTTACAGTTTCCGTGGGATAATTTGTTTTTGCTTTTCTGGAGGTGAACCTGAGTGACACGGGGTGAGCCTCTAGTATAATATAATTTTGTTATTTGGAGCTTATCTCCAAACAACATAAATAAAACATCAATTATAATAACTTGTAAAAATTGACAACTCACCTATAACACAACATGTTTCCACCCTATATTTATCAATTGAAACTGCTTTTTGTGCTAGATTTGCTAGTTCCATTCGTTTTTCTTTAAGATACAACAGGTGAGAGTAAACATCCCAGTTGTCTAACCGGTAAGGATCACTTTGATATAAGTTTCTAAATAAACATAATGATGAGTCAACATCTGTAACAAATTATTATATTTTTAAAATGACTTTTAGTTACATACAATAATATATAATAAAGGTTTAGTAAAAAATAACCTCTTCTGTCATGATGAGCAATAGCCATTTGGGCTGTAATATAAGTACTTTTTTCAAATCCAGCTGCAGTTAAAACAGTATATGCTTCAAGAGCTTGCTCAGATAACTTAAGCTCAACAAAGGCATGCGCAGCAAAAAAATACATCATCCAATGTTTAGGTAGTTGTAGGGAATCTAAGGCTTCATATTCATTAGCAAGGCCTGCCAATTCTACCCAAGCAGCCCATAGGGTAGGAGCAGCAGCCACTGCAGCTTGAAGCACTGTGACTGCCTGACTTCTTAAATCCAATTTTTTTAAAACTACACCTTCTAAATATAAAAGATATCCATCAAGACTATTACGATTTGCCTGTAATTGTTAATGGTAAATTATATTTCACTTGTCAAAAATAATTATTCAAAAAAAAAAATTTTAGTTCTTATCTAAGTTAAACTAAATTAGTAAATTAATGAATTTTTAATATTCATATTTTTCTTATTTAAATGCTATGCTTTAACTTTGAATTGTGTATTATATTTCAAATTGTATATTATTTATTATTATACATATGTATTAGTTTTAGGTATGTGTTTAAATGAGTTATTAAAATTACTACTTGAAATTTATATAATCTCACCTTAAAAAATGACAAAAGATCTAAAAGTACTTGGGTTGATTCCATATTTTCAGTACCAGTATCAGTAGCATTGTCTAATCTCTTCTTTTCACTAGACATATATTGTGAATATCTGAGTAAAAACACGCATTTTGGACTTGTACAGTTTTCTATAAAGTGTGCTGCTCTATCATACTCTTGACAATCAAAATAGCTCTTTGCTAAAGTGTATGCTTCTTTTTCTTCTGCTATAATTCCATCTTCAGGTTTATTGGACTCATCGATATGTGGTAATTTATGCTCTTTTAATGCAAAATTTAATTCGGCTAACCATTTTGAAGTTTGTTGCAATCCACGATCGTTACACTCTCGAATACCATGCAAAATATCTGTTCTCACTTGATTTAAATCTATTTGTATGTCACCTTTTGTATTTAGGAGTGGTTGCATGATTTTAGATTACACTATTCCTGTATGAATACCAAATTCAAAAAGTGAATTTGTATTTAACATCTCCTCATCGTAGTAAAAATCATGAGCTTTGTTATGATGATAACTAATAATGCTTCATCGGTCTGCCCTCATCGACCGAATCATATATAATAATTGTTTAAAAGAATTAGATTTTAAAATACAAGTACGGTACCTTTAATCTATAAGCTATGGATGACAAATAGTTAATAAACTTTATGCATTTAGAAGTTTGACATTTGACATTTACAAATAAACAAAATCATAGACTATACAAAAAATTTTTTAACAATTTGAAAAATAATTTTTGCACATAAACGCTATGCTACATTTACACGCTTGCCGAGGCTTGGCAAATGTCTACTTCAAGCTCCAAGCCATTACAAACGCTTGGATGCCATATACACGCTTGCGAATATATATTTAGTGTATTCCGGACAGGCAAGCTTTGCAGACGTGGACGTTGAAGTTGTGTCGACTATTGCGTTTGGCTTGACATATTTTTACCTCTACATATAATAAAATTGTAACTAAGCTGAATCTGTTCATTAAATATTTTTTTGAAAATCTTATCGCTTATACACTAATGAGCGAAAGCAACACTAAACACGCACCAACGTGTAAAAGCTTCTCTTGATCTGTATTCAAAGACCGACACTAGCCCGGATCGTGATAAGCTCACGCAAGCTAAGCCAAGCACCCCGTTCACACGCTTGTGTTTGTGGACACTTGTCGAGACTTGCCAAGCGTGTAGATGTAGCGTGACATTGGCAAAGTCAGAGACATAGAATATGGTCTGAGAAATACTGTCATGAAATTGACCATTCTCTAGAAATAGAGAAAGCGAACGTGCAGCCAATACCTGTCTTTTATTCCAAATTGATTTTATAAATAGAAAATAAAAGAATTATAATATTATTGAACATTATAATGATAGATAACGGTATGTAAAATGATTATAAATACAGAATTTCAATTAATACGGAAGATGCATAGCATTTCTATATAGTTTTTAAGAAGACTTCTTTTTTTTCTTTCTTTAGTGGCTTAAAATTGCGTTATTAAACGCAATACATTCCACCAGTGTCATGTTTTGTGAGAAAGACACGAATAAGTTTTAGGTGTAAATTTTGAAATTTAGTAGTTATAACGTTGAATTAAAAGAGAAGACTTATGGTTGTATATTCCTTTTGTCTTTGTCACTTTTCAACCATTTTTAGCCGACGGCTGACAAAGAAACACTCACCCTACTGGCTCCACACTCTCTCCAAAACGGCACTCTTAGGATTTAGTGAACAGAAGAATTGAATTGAATAATCACTTTTAATAGTCACAAAAATAATGAATAAGAGATTTTCCAATTTTTATTATTTACTGGCAACATACCCTCGTTTTGCTCGGGTGCATCCCAAGGTACGTTTTAAAAGTAAATAGTGCGAATGAAACTTAGGAGATAGACTCCATGCCTGATATTGCGGACTTTACTGTAAACCTTGTTAAACCTAACATGCTAAGTCAGATAGAACTCAACAGACACAGTACTAGAACAGGCTCGATAGAACCAATTATTTTGTCTTGCCGTGGGAATGAAAGATTTTGCTGTAGTAAAAGGTATCCTAACTGTTGACTTGAGTAATAAGTTATCAGTACATAAAATTATGCTACCTTGGTAGCATAATCACTTCTGGTGGCGGTGCGGAGGCAGATGTAGAGAGCAGGATTAAAAAAGCCAAAGCTGCTTTTGCAACCCTGAGAGCAGTTTGGCAGTCAAATGTCCTAACGAGACGGATAAAGATCTCTCTGTTTGACTCTCTGGTAAAGTCAGTCCTTTTATACGGGTGTGAAACATGGAAGACAACCAAGTCGCTAATCCACAGGATTCAGGTCTTCCTCAATAAGTGTTTTAGGGTTATTCTCCGTATCCACTGGCCTAACACTATCAGAAACAAAGATCTGTGGGAAGTATGCCATCAACTCCCAGTATGCAAGGAGATAGGTCTAAGGCGATGGCGCTGGGTCGGGCATATCTTGCGAAGAGAGGAAGGGAATACTGCACAAGTAGCATTCCAATGGCAGCCTGCCGGTAGAAGAAGACCTGGTCGACCAACTAACACCTGGAGGAGGTCCATTGAGGCGGACCTAAGAAGGGTAGGAATCTCGTGGAACCATGTTCAAGCAGTAGCTAAGGATAGAAGGGCATGGAAAACTACTGCTGCAGCCCTAAGTTCCACGAGGGAATAATAGGACAACATCAACATCACATAAAATTTAGTTAAAATCGGTTTAGTGATTTTTGCGTGAAACGCATACAGACCTTCAGACAAAGAGACAAAAATTTTAATAACTATTGTTTTAGGCTTTTTATTCTGCACAGTGCAAATAATGTGGTAAAGTCATTATTTAAAAAAAAAAACATGTACAGATTTCACTAATCGTGTTTCAATTAATAGTCTCTGTCGGTTTTCCGTCATCTTCGGCTGACGGCTGGCAAAGAAACACACAGTCCACTCTATATGATAGGTTATTTTCACAAATACAATACACATTATTGGTTCATGGTTTACACTATGGCTAATGGCACTGTCACATTGATTTATTGTCTATGACAACAGATTGCAAATGTCAGACTGAAATCTCAATTCTCAAATCATCTGTCATTCTATCCAAATAACCTGTAGAAGTACCACTGTACAACACAAATTATTGTACTATTTCAGTAGAGTGCTGAATAGGTAGACTGACTTTAACATTATTAAAATATAATCCTAATGTATGAAATAGACAACAATTATTAATTAGTTCAGTATAACCGGATAACAAGTAGACTAGTTAAATCAATTTTATTTGAAAAATTATATGTAAACAATATTTTTTTCAGGGTCTGGGGATTTACACCATTTTATTGAAAGTATTTTAGAGCCTAAGAAGATTAATATTTAGTAATCTATTATAATGGCCGAACAGAATGCAGAACCCGTAACGACCGATGTAGAGAGTAATTATACTGCAACAGCTAATGATCCAAAAAATATGCATGAAGTAACGCAATATGTAAGTATACATAGTTTTTGTTACAAATACCATGTACACGCAATATTTTTATAAACTTTATTGTTTTTCAGGTTCAGTCTTTACTACAAAATATGCAAGACAAATTTCAGAGCATGTCAGATCAAATTATAAATAGAATAGATGAAATGGGTTCGAGAGTTGATGAACTAGAAAAAAATGTTACAGATCTTATGACACAGGCAGGTGTAGAAAATGAAAAGTAGGGAAGGCTTATATATATTTGGTTTGTTCTATGCTTAATTTTATAGCCACTAAAAATAATTTTGTGCCTGAAATAGAATTATTAACCAGATGAAATTGCTGATAAAATCATATACAGTGAATTAAATTAGATTATAGCACGAAAATCACTTAGTGTACTTATGTGTATTAATTTTTGGTGCATATATGTAATTACAAAATACAATGGCCCTTTTTGGTTTTTTTGTAAAAGATTTTGTTAGAAATAGAATTGGGACAATATAATAATCACTTTACATGTGACTCCAATTAAGTAAGTTTTCATCATGTGAATAACTATCACTACTAACATTCCAAGTTATGACTTATGAGAGTCAATTATATGACTGTAAACACCAGAACTAGCCTTACATTGTGATTAAGACAAGATTTTCATACTTATTATAGGATTAAAATAAGCAATATTAATAGAAATAGATAAATGAAAATGTAAAGTTGGATATTCACATCTTTTATTAATATTTGAGTAACTTCTACCACTTATTGTAATTATTTTTGTGTTCTACACATAAGTTGTTAGCACATATCACTGTGATTTTAACTTATTTTGTATGTTATAAGCATACATAAAACCATATATCCATATCTTAATTTGTAAGTTGGTTAATTCCATTTTAGTGTACTTTTTAGGGGGCACTAAAATTGCAATATTTTAATAATATTATGAATTCAAAAACATTTAAAAATAATATAAAAATATCATTTTTAAAAAACTCTCCTTTGCGCTTCTTCGCAGTCAGGTAAAAAAGGATATATTTATTTTCCCAATTCATAATAAGCATTATTAAAATTTTACATAATAAGTGTTTTTCAATTATTTTGGTAGCCTTTGAAAAGTTGATAGAGATGCAGTTAGCTAACTTTCAAATTAAGCTAATCAATATTACTTTTTCAATATTCAGTTTTGCTTTACATTTGTGAAATTCTAAAGAAAAAGGTTATGTTGTAATTTATAAATATTACACCTTGTGATTGATGGGTTTCTCATTTAGATGAGGTAAAATTCAAGTTTCTTGCTATTACAAGTTATATAAAATAATAAAGGCATTATTCATATTCTAACTACTAAGTTTTGCACAATGTTTATACCATGTATAGTTTTTTGTTTTTTGTCTATATATATATTAGAATGATTTTAAATTTAATTTTTGGTAAAATTATTTAATATCTTTTTGAAAGCTACAAAAGAAGTACCTAATTGTAAGTGATTGAGTAAATTTTTCTCTGTAAATAATGTGGCAATGACATAATTGATTTTAAAGCCTCACATTTCTCCTATATTATAAATGTTGAATCTTTTTTTTCACAATTGTAGTTCTTTTCATTCAGTGTATAAGAAAGACTTGTTTGTACTTTTGTTTATTATATAAATAAATTATACCTTATATTAGAATATTCTTAAAGCTTCTTCTTTATTTTTGTTTTATTTGTCATATACATAACTTATATTATGATAGATATAGATGATTAACATAGATTTGAACCCCAAGCTGGTACTGACTGGTACTATAAAGTTACTATTTCAAATCGATATTTGGTATAAGCACGTGACAGGCTCCATAACAACCCACATAAAATGAAAACATGTATAAAATGTTTAACCGACTTCTAATAAGGAGGAGGTTCTCAATTCGTCAGGTTTTTTTGTATATGTTCACCGATTACTCTAAGACGCCTGAACCGATTTGGAAAATTTTCGTTTTGTTTTGAAGGATATACTTTCCAGGTAGTCTCTTTAAATTTTATCGAAATCGGTCGAGCATCGGCAAATCGGTGGCACAGACTTCGAAAATGTCTGATTAGGTATCTATTCTAAATGAAAGCCCCGTTTAGTTATTTTTTTACATTTTAGTGCCTGGAAGTCGGTTTTTAAAGGTTTTATACTTTAAAGTGTTAAAATTATAGATTTATATATGAAAATGAAAATATAATACGTCTATAATTTGTTATACTATTTATATCTTTAATTTGTTTTCATTCGACTTTTTACAATAATCTAATTTCAAGGGTTCCACTTGGCACTTGATGTGTTCAGGTTAATTCTGGCCACATTAGTAAACTCCTTTTTGGAAGCCGGTTAAAAACTATACTTATCTCTATATAAAAAAACGCGTCGACCCATTGATATTAGCAAGAATGACAAACCAACAAACACATATTTCCTAATTAGCAAGGATACTATTTTTAAAATTTGGTTTTCATAATAAATTGTTTCTCTTGTTTATTATTATAATAAAACCTTAGTTAGAAATAATATCAACTTATAGAATAAATATAATATTACATATTTTTACATTTTCGTCCTATAATTTTTATGATAATAAGGAAAAAGGAAAACTTCGTCAAATTTCAAATATTTTATTGCTGAAAAATCTAAATTTTTAAACTTATGGTATAATTTAAAAAAATTGAACATAATGCACTTAACTTTGACTTCAAGTTCATAGTTGTACTTGTACTTCAAAGTTCAAACATAGTTCCTTAGATAATAGGTAGTACTTCAACGTGATTCTGTATCATCTGTTGTACTTTGCTCTTCAGATCCATCAGATTCCTGTTTAAAAAAAATAAAACCATTTTACTATATGTAGCTGTATCTACAGTATTATGCATGATTTAAGCTTTCCATTTGTCTTTATAATAATCAAGTTTTTTTTTTATATTATTACCCGACTGCGCGACGCAAAGAAGGGTAATATGTTTATCAGTCTATATTTGAACGTATGTATGTTTGTTTGTTCCTATGTGGCGTTCTAGAGAACAAATGCGTAGGCCGATTTTGATGATTCATACGAGTATGTCGTTAGATTTGTCTTGATAACGTGAGTGTCATAGGATTTTTTAAAAATATTTAAAAATTAAAATGGCGGATTTCAAGAAAAACGAAAAATATATACAACTATAAAAATATATAAAAAAATGTTAAATATAACTTTAAATGTCTAATTGGCAAAATCTAAAAAGCTGTACCTAAATAAAAAAAATACATATATTGTAAAAATAAAAACCCGACTGCATAAAAGCTAACTAAAAGCTTTTATGCATACGGGTTTTTTATATTTATAATATATTTTTAGTAAAATTATAATACATAATGTGTAGATAGATACCGATGTTTCCTCTTCGTCTTTAGTAGGGGAGTGATTTATTAAAGCTGCTAGCGAGTTCGATCGTGCCTTACTCGACAATTTTTTCTCTGGAGATCGCACTCTTTCCAAACTCTGTATGTAAATTTAATATTACTTACAATAATTCAATTAACAAATGAGAAAAATTGAGACATATGTATGTGCAATGTAAAGATGAAATATTTAGAACAATAAATAACATAACTATGTACTACCACGGTAATGTAAAGCATAAATATTACCGTGGTACTACTACTATGGAACAATTAGTTAAGCACGTAGCTGATAAATATATATATATATATATATATATATATATATATATATATATATATTCCTGTCTTGTCTGTCCGTTTGTATGCTCATAACTTGCGAATGATTCGGTCAATTTTACATAATTCCTGCTTTAGTTTGGGAATGCGACATACGGCTAGATTTTAGTAGAATACATTATAAGTAGTACATTTAGTAATACTTTCTTACCGCAGAATCTTCATCAACTCTAGTTGGAGACTGTGGATTCATGAGAGACGCCAAAGAAGATGATCTAACAGATATTCCTGTGCTCACTTGTTTTTCCGGAGATCGTAGTTTTCTTTTAAAATTCTATAGATATGTGAAAATATAATACACATGATTATAATAATCTATTTCAACGATAAACATATAAGAAGCTACTTATATATGAGTTGTATTTACCGTGTCATCCTCATGATCTGAAAGACCTGTTACCAAAAGCTTAAAGGAAAATTCGTAATTAAAAAATAATTTTCCATTTAAAATATGTAAGTTTTGGACGCCTTTGTAGAATATTGGAATTTAAAAGATTGCAGAATCAAGAAATTCGCAAAAGAGCGATAGAGAGTGCACTCGTGTTTGCGCGAAAGTATGCACGCAAACAACTGAACCGATTTCAGTATGATTGGCCGCCATGGCCGAAATCGTACTTAATCGTAATTTGTTGTTAATTTGTTTAATATAATTTATTTAAATAATATGTAGATTGTAGCTATTCATATCTATACAGAACTAAATTTTAATTTATTTATTTGTAAAAGCACACTTACAACTTACTTATTATAGAATTTACAATTTAATTATTATAAAGTTAGCCTCACCTCCAAATCAGCCTTGTCGTTGATGTTAGCAATTTGTTGGTAAGCGACAGTGAGCAGTTCCACAGCTTTAGCATGGAATGTCATTTCAATCATCACAAAGTCCGACAGGAGCGTTTTTAGTTGTAGTAATTTGCGTTTTTCAAAAAATTCTGTTTGTTCACTCAAACCTTTTGCAGTTCTGGACATTTCTGCTGATGCTTTCAATAATTCTGATTCCGCGTAAGTCTAATCAGTGAAATGTAAGGGATCTAAGTTAGTTGCTTTCAATTGAGTGAGTACCTTGCAAATAGGTAGGTATATAGTTTTTATATACCTAGATACTAGCCGACACACCATCGCTTCGCTCGGGTTCGTCACTATCTCCACACAAAAAATTACGCTTTCACGAAAGAGAGTGATGGCACTCTCTTTCGTGAAAGAAGGACAAACAAACACACTTTTACATTTATGATATTAAATATATTAGTATATATGTAGGTATAGCGCAGTACGGTAGATATGTAAATATTTTTATTATACCGATTGATAATTATACCCATCTATTAAGCTTTAGGTCGTAGAATAGAACCTATTACGTAAAAGCTGGTCTCAAAAATGTTTCTCCTATTATTGTTTGTTAAGCTCATATTGTACAAAATTTTCTTGATCAAGCATTTTGTAATACAAAGACCTATAATACCTAGTTTTAAGTATAGGAATACTTTATAGATATTAATAAAAGGCAAGATAGTATGAAAAGCTTTTGTACAATTATCATCAGTTACGTTTCTTATTACGGCATAATACATACTTCTTTTGGTTTTTATAAAAATTAAGATGTACGTATATACTAAGTAGATATATACGTACTGATTTTTAGCGAATTAAATAAGTATTATAGTTAAGAGGTATTCCTAAACATACAACTTGTTGCCTGTTGAATGGTTGCCGCTCCCTGGCTTTGTCTAATACCTTCTTTCTAGCCATTTCCTTTTCTCTTACGTGCATAGTATGTTTGAGTTCTTCCCTTGCGTGCTTACAGATACTTTCATATTGACAAAGCTCCCCTATAACCTGTGAATAATTATCATGATCGTACCATCGCGTACAAGTACATAAAGTGTATCGATTTCGAAACGAACCAAAATTTTTGTTTCAATATCTTACAGTACCATTTTTTTCCTTTACTTTCAATTATGTACATAGAATAAAGGTTGATATGCTTTGTAAAATATTATCAATGGGTCTAGAAACACTACCATAATTCTAAAATACATAGATCAAGAGGTCTTGAAGTTAAGAACCCAGTTTTTTACGCATAAAGTACCTACCTACCAATTATAAAAAAACTGAAACAAGGACTATGTAATCAGTATTATCAGGCAAGATGCTTAAGATTTTTATGCGAGATATTTATGATTCTATGAGGATAAAATTATTTATAGTCATTACAATTTAAAATTATTAATATTATAATATAAGTGTTGCCTACACCTGAATCGAACCTTTGGCAATGCTATCACTTTTTTTAGAATTTTGCTCTTAAGTTACATTACCAATCCTATATGCCATGTTTTATGGCTAAAGATAGGGAGACACATCTCCGAAATATGTTATCAACCGACTTCAAAAAGGAGGAGGTTCTCAATTCGACTGTATATTTTTTTTATGTTTGTTATCTTAGAACTCCGTCATTTATTAGCCGATTTGGACAATTTTTGTGTTGTTTGAAAGTGTATACTTCCAGATAGGTCCCATTTAAATTTCAAAAAAAAAAATACCACCCCTAAGGGTGGAAAAATAGCTAATGATGAATTTAACCTACTTCTAATTGTCATATTGACTTGAAACTTTGCAAGTGTTTCTATTTCCGTTGATAGTGCAGTGGTTCGGTATTGTTGACCTGATCTGATGGTAAGGCCAGAAGGTGGATAGGTGGAACTCTTCAACGGCTAATAGTAGATACTTTGAGTTTGGGCTTATTTTGTTTGATTTGACAAGCCTAACACGTTAGAATTCTTACTTTGCTACTACTGTCTACACTAAAAAGGGAAAATAAAAACTTTTTAACAAAAAAATAAAAACCGACTTCAAACAAAAGCACTAAAAAGTAAAAAACAACTGATTGGTAGTTTTCATTTACTATACATACCTAATCAAATATTTTCGAAGTGCTTTTGTTTGAAGTCGGTTTTTATTTTTTTGTTAAAAAGTTTTTATTAGTGCTTTTTTTTGAAGTCGGTTTTTATTATTTTGTTAAAAAGTTTTTATTTTTCTACTAAACAACAAATAATGTACCTACATTGCGACGCGTACAAAACTATTTCTCTACGTTTAAGTACCTTCTTCGTAGAATAAATATTAAAAATTAATATATTATCATATTATTGCATTAATGATATCTAGTTATAACCTTAGCCTCTAAGCGTTGCACTTCACAGTTTCTATATTCCTCTATAGCCATTAGAGTTACGGACAAATTGTCGAGACCAGCACTTAATGATTTGTTAACTATTTCATTATTGGCATATTCTTTTAATATTTTGGCCAGATCATCTCCCATGTCTCGTAATCTGTAATGATGAAATAATTTTATACTTGTTTTTTTCCAGTTTAAGTCATTAAAAATTATACAGAAAAGTTATATTGACAATTATAAGTTATAATTTATAAAAAAAAGGAAAAATAAAATGGAAGTATATCGCTTTAAAGCAAGGATCGTGTTCCATTCACAATTAATGCGATGTTTGATTATATAAGCTGCCTAATAAGTTTTGTCGAGTACCTTTAACTAGTACTACATAAATCATTAGAAAGAGGACAAAGAAGTTATATAGTGACAATCAAAATAATCTTTACGGGCGAATTGAGAGCTTCTTTCTTTTTGTTGAAGTCGGTTAGAAATACTTCATTGAAATTTGACATTGATTCAAGAATTCTACGCGACATTGGCGAAGTAATTTGTACCCAATTGGTACTCCTGGAAGCCACTAAACAAAAGAATAGAATAGAAGATTCAAGAAATATCTTTGAAAAAATAGCTTATGAACCTGGCAGTTTTTCTTGTATAGTCACCAAATCCAACACATAATTCACCAAAATTTTTTTCTACATTAGAAATACGATCTTGAATAAATTTAGCCTGTTGTTCATAGCTCAATGAATGCGAATTTTCTCCCCTAAACATCGTATTTGGTTTTGTAAATATTTTTAGTTTATAATATTATTTTTCTTTTCTCTAATAGTTTAGAAATAATATTATTTCATTAACAGCGTACTTGTTTTGGTTTTTATATATGTAGCAATATACTCTATGTTTTGGTTACTGTAACCTAGGTAACAATATAGATTAATAAATTTTCTGCACAGGTAGGCACGGTATTAAAAATTAATCGAAAATTTGTATTCATTAAAAAAAAAAAACTAGTTTATATCACCTAAATATTATACAAATTTGATTCGCAATCATAAAACATAATAATATATATATAATCTGTATTTGTTTTTGCACTAAAAATCATGGATGACTGACTATGGAGGGTAGAAGACATATCAAGTAAGGAGAACCGTCTTTTATCGGAAACAAGTTGAAAAAGTGTCCAGTGATAAGCAGCAAATTGTAATTCAGTAATTCACCGATATAGCGCTAGCGTAGCAAGTAGAAGTGAATATTATGAATTTAGCAGTTTCAAACGGAGTGAAGTGTGCTGAATTTAAAAATTTAATATCTCTGCTGACCAGTGTAGATAATAAAACTGCATACAAATTAAATAATAATAAATTTAATTAATGTATTAATAATTTAATATTAAATAATAATTAGATACTTGGAAAGAACCTGTAATTATATTCTATATCGGTTTTTGGCTATGTTAGAACCATGGGTGACAAATAAAGTAAGAACTATTTTAAAAAGGGCGCACCAACAAAGTGGAAATCTTTCTTTCTTTGATTAATTCAACATCTTCTTATGGCTTTTGGGGCTGTTTCAAATTCACCTACTTGTTTTCTGTTGCGCCACCAATATTATGCTTGTCAGCGGTCACTTTTTATACCCAAAGATAGTTCTCCTTACCTCTACACTTCATGGATGACAATTTAAAGTAGGTAAAAACATTGTAAAAAATTTATTTGTCATCCCTGGTAAAAACAGCGTTTGTCAATTTGACAAGCGACATTGACATAGTCAAGTTAAAGTCAATGTCATTCACAGCTGTTGTCTGTTTGTTAGCTTAGTTTATCAATAAAAATTAGACATTGGGAAAAATGAATGAAGAAATAGATGAGTACGATATTTATCATCAGGATTTTACAACTGCTTCAGAATGGGAAGTATTAATAGCACGTATAGAGGAAATGATTACTGAGTGGCATTTATCTAAATCTAAAGTGCAGAAAAAATGCTCAGATTATACAAAGAAATGGGTTACGAAATCGGAGGAAATAAAATATCGAAGTTTAACCCTTACATTTTCATTCCATGCATTAGAACCTATAAAGTGTCAAGATGATGAAAACGAGTCTGATGACCAATCTTTACTAAACGATGTTCAGGAAGGCTTATGGAATGCCACTGCAAATTTTTTGGACGATGTGGATGGTAGTCCTTTTCCAGTATCACATTGGTTTGGTCTAAAAAGATATTTAATGTTGTATTCTAAAACACCTCTTGTTGATGGAAGCCTAATCAAGCTTATCATGAGTGCTGTAAACATTGCATTTGCCAATATGGATTGTGGTATTCCACTTTTTGTAAAAATTAGAGAGCATTGGCAGAATACTTACTTGGGATTTTATGAAGATATTGATCATAAAATAAGTTATGACACAATTCATTTAAAGAGAATATCAAATCAATGTTCTCATCTTAGTGGCCTTGTAAGCCTATTTAAATCTAAAATATCATCACCCGTTCCCCTTGATGCTGTTGTAATATCTACAAAATTTTCATATGAACTAAAGGATTCTGATTCTTTTGCTTGGAGAAAAAGGAGTAATTCAAATGAGTTTTTATCAATTGACGGCTTTAATGTTAAAAAACTAATTGAGTTGCCTTTTGGCTCTGAAGATAATCCCTTGCACAGTGCACTTCTTAATGCAATATGGCCTCATTTTCGAGAAAGTGCTATAGTAGATTCTTCAACATTTTCTGACATTGATCCCATGATGGCACCTACATGGACTATCACATTAAAATTAAAAAATAATTTGAACTGTCAACTCTCAGATATTATTGGAAAAGTTATGGGATTGTTAGAGAATAATAATTTACTAATGGATATATTGGGGCTGAGTAGGAGTTTAGGTCTGGTAAATCCATTAAACAAAATAACAGAAGCACCTATTACAATATCAAAATTAGTTAAGGCTGCTGTGGGTCGAAATACTCATATTTCAGAATTCAAAGGACCTATAACTGATGATTTACTGATGCCTTTATTATACTATGTTTTTCCTGATGCAATTGAAGAAAATACATTCCCTTACTCTGATAGACTTGATGTTGACAATAAAAAGGTAAATATTTTTATTTTATTGCATTTATTAAGTATTTATATTCGGTGTTTGTACTTTGTGTTATCCAATAATATCCCAGTTTGGTAAAGGGCAGCATTGGCCATTTAACAATCATACAAAATTCAAGCCATTGAATATAAAGTTTTGATTATGATTAGAAATACTAATAAACATGAATAGTATATTTTGTTGTTAAAACGAGTATGTCACCTTTGTCTACTCTGCAATTTTTTCATCTAAGGTTTGATTAGTATAAAGTAAATAACACGAAAATATTCTTGGTTGTCACATACTTACATACCAATTATCATGGCAATCAACGGATCCAGTGAATGGTAAAGATATGAGTAAAAATTTTATAACAGTTGACAATGTTTGGAAATTTCAAATAAGTTATTTTGCACAAACAAACATCTACCTTTAGAGTGTTATTGTTATCTACCACATACTATTAATGTAACTTTATTATATATAAGTAATTGTAATTTTATTATATATAAGTAATTGTAATTTTATTATATATAAGTAAATGTATTTTGTTCTTAAGAAGTTATAATATGATTAATTTTTTTTTCAATTTTCAGGATGGAGTAGATTTGAAACTATGTAGTTATGTGAAGACAAGTCCGGTAGATGGTTTGGCTTGGAGATTGTCAGTAACATCAGCTCGATTAATGGATGCAGGTGGACTCCCATATCTTGCTCACTTTTGGTATGAATTTACACAAGAACTTCAATACCGTTGGGAGCACAGAATAATTGTGCCTGGGTAAGTAATAAAAATATAAAAGATAATTGTAAATATAATGTAAGAAAAGATAAACAAAGACTATGCATTTAGTTCAGTTTGTAGTGAGCCTACTTGCTGTGCCAGCGGTCGCGCGTTCGAGTCCCACTGGGGGTATTCATTTGTGTGATGACTGTGAATGTTTGTACTCCAGTCATGGGTTTTTATATATATTTATAATTATTATGTCTGTATTTAAAAGTTATATATGTGTAGTTTATCAACTATCTGGTACCTATCCATAACACAAATTTCATAGCTTACTATGGAACTAGATGCTGGATGCTGGAACATATTTATTTAATAAAAAAAGGAAAGCCTATCATTTTTGAGTTTATTGGTAAGAAGAATTTATATAGCCTAGTTATTGTTTTCTAATTCTAATAAAAATAAAATTCAATAAAGTCTTGTACATTGATGACGCTCTGTTATATCCAAAAATAAAACATATTTAACTGTTGATTTTTGTGTATTCATATTAGATTTTACATTATTATTTACAACTTATATTATTAAATATTGGTATAAGAATAATCGAATAGCACCATTTGGATTGAGCTCCAATTTGTCTAATTTTTCAAATGGTATAAATATATACAACAAACGATTTCTTTATATTATCTATGTGCTTAATCAATATTATTATTTTTAATTTATATAAAATCATAACTTCTCACAACAAAAGTTCTTGTATATATGTCATTCTTTGACATATTCACATTTGGTTAAATAATCCAGTCATTATTTATTATCAATCAATGTAAGAACAATATTTCCAATTTTTTATGGTTTTATAATAGTTGCATTTTTATTTCTCTTATTTGCTATTATTGCTATATATTATCGAAAACTTTTGCGACTACCTAATGTCTCTTGCTTCGAATGTTTTCGGTTATGATAGTAAATATGGTGACAAGAGCAGATTTGAACCCTATGTTCACACCATGACATTTTATTACAATTTTCAGGTGGTAAGCAATGTTTGTTTTTGCTCTCCACCATATTTCTCGCACGCTATAACGGCACCAAACCACCTCTTGTAGTAGCATTACGTGCCATGTATATGTCCATATCGTGATCTGTCCAGTTATCAGAAGTATCGCAGTAGCCTAGGGAACCAACGCTGTATCTACTGGCAGGCCTTGACCTAGATCTCGGTCTCCTTCTTGAACTAGCATTCCCACTGGTAGCGCCTCCAGCTGCTCCGCTTAGAGACAAACGTGACGCTCGTTCCGAAGCCGCACCTAATGATTGTCGGGATTGTCTCAGATCTAAAAAATAAATATCGTTATATGACATACCTATAGGTAGGTTTTAAATTAGGAAAAGTATAATTAAAAAATGTTATATTTACCAGTCCTTGATCCTAATAAACTTCCAGCATATCCAGGAGGTCCATAACGGCTTGAATGTGGGTAGCTATGTTGTGACTGACCGTCAGCCAAAGATCGGGCTCGTCCAGGGCGGCCTGGCAACGGCTCAGGGGCAGCTGGTTCAGTATAAGAGCGTGCACGCGGTATTGATCGCGCGCTGTATGATGATACTTGATCCCATTCTCTTTGTTTTCCAAAAGCACCAAGCGTAGTTAGTGATGACAAAGGTCCGGTTGGGCTTGGTGTCCCTGTAAGTCCTCCACAGCAAGGATTTGAAATTTTATCGGGCAACTGAGTATGCAATCGATGTACAGTTCGTGATCGACGACGAGATGCTGCTGCAAACACGAGCACTGCGACCACGATAGTACCACATATTGCTGCACTCGCTGCGATGGTGATTTTATCCATATTGGTAGCAGCTGCAGATACTGTTCGTACTTCTCGGCACTGTGAATATGGTACAGTTTCTGGACTCACATGAATTTCTTCTAAAGAAATCACGCAAACAACTATACATTCCTGAAAAAGATATATTTTGTTACTAACATATTCATATTAATCGTTAAGGAGTATATATAATCAAATTGTATTTGGTATACCTGGGACGGAACATTTTTTATTTTAAATTCTCTTTCACTTGCTTCAAGAGGTGGCCCTTGTTTAAAACTTTTATCTCCAAAAAGACGATATACTACGCGAAATCCAAGTATATTAGCAACATCCGAGTCCCACTGAATAATTACTGAATTATCTTGTCTGTAAGCATTTTTAACTATAACTTCGTTTGAGTCATCTATACTTGGTTTTGGTTGAGGAAAGTTCATTATTAATGGTGGCCTTTGATTTGGAGCATGTCGCCAAGTGGGTGCAGCAGGACGAACGGATGGAATTCGATTTGTTTGGCTTGGAAGAGACGTTGTTGAAGAGGTCGTAGTAAATTTAGGAGTTGTTGTTTCACTTATGTTATTGATCATAGGACTTGATGATGTTATAGAAGTAAAGGTCGTGGATTGTGTCGTGGTTGTCGAACTTGACGATGTTGTACTTTGTGTCGTACTAAAATTATCAATAACAGTCGTTTGTGTCTCTAAGTTTATGTCATTTGCACAGACAAGCTCACTAGGTTCAAAACTGTAAAATCCACGTTCGCGAAAGTGTGGAGGACTACCGCAAAATTGAGGATTCCTCTCCCTAGATGTAACTTGCAATTCACCATTACGAATCCATTCAATTATCCATCGAAGACGACAGTCGCAATTTAAAAATCTCCCACCAAGACTCAGACCTCTAAGCGAATGATTAAGATGAGCTAATGCTTTTTCTGGTACGGTGGGTAATGGATTTCCGTCTAAAGCAAGAAGTGTTATTGAAGGATTCTTTAAGAAGGCTTCTGAAGGTAAATTATTTAATAAATTAAATCCTATATCTAAAACTCTTAGATCTGATAACGTTGCTATTGCTTCAGTAGGAAATTCTGGTAAAAGATTATTTAAAAGACTTAATGAGCTCAGTGTACTTCTTATTCCATAGAATGCGTCTTTTTTCAAATTAACTAGTAAATTTCTTTCTAAGTTGAGGGCTGTTAAAGAATCTAATCCTTCAAAAGTAAGTGCGCCATCAGGCCCTGGAAGTTCCCTTATACTGTTTTGTGAAAGGTCGAGGAAAGCAAGGCTACGCAATCCTCTTATACATTCTGGTACATTTTTTTGTTTAGTCCCTTTAAGATTAAGGTTCTTTAGAGAATTCTCTAAACCAGATAGGGCGCGTGGCTCTAACGTTACGTTATTATCTGATAATTTTAAAGTTGCCAATTCTTGCAAAGTTGTAAACGAATAATCTCCAATATACGTTATTTTATTTTTGGATATATCTAAAAGTGATAAACTACTTAAAACTCTGAGAGCCTTAACAGGGACCTCGGTCAATTCATTGTCTTGTAAATTTAAGTTTTTTAAAAACTGTCCTTGGCCTTTAAATGCATTGTCTTCTATCTTTTTAACTTTGCAGCCAGATATTTGCAGATTGTGTATTGCTAAGTTTGCGAACATTTCATTGCTTATTATAGGAATTGTTGAATTGTTTACATATAGAAGGTCTATGGAGGTTTTTCTTGTATTTACATTCAATGTGGATAACAACATGGGGAAATCAACCTGAAAAAATATGATATGAATTATTTATGAATTAAACGAGAAAAATGTATTATAAATTAATAGTAGATGATAGTTGTTACCTGATCACATTGCACCGATAATTGCCTGGCTAGATTTAAGGCACACACACAGCTAGCCTGTAAATCAGGGAAATCTTTCCATGGGCATTGTCCTTGTGTGAAATGGACAATAGTCAAAAGCACTGTCACCATTAACAGGTGGAAATGAATACATAAATATTTAATCTGTAAATAAAAAGAAATGTTTTGTTTTTAAAAAATTTAAATCCATACTAATATTATAAATGTGAATGTGTGTTTTTTGTTTGTTTGTCCTTCTTCTTCGAAATGGAGTAACGGATTGGCGTGATTTTGTACGGAGATAGTTGGAGAGCTGGAGAGTGACATGGGCCACTTTTTATCGCGGGAGATTATCTCATTCCCATGAAAAAACACGAAAAAAGACGTTACAATACAATCTAAAAAAATATTTATGATCAGAATTACTTGAAACTTTGTATTAATACTCTTCAATACAATTAAGTTATATGCTTATATGCTTTGTGTTTTAGCATTTTTCAAAATTCATCCCATAAAAGGCTAAAATAGGGCATGAAAGTTTGATGAAACCTACCTACCTATATCTACCTTACCTTTAAAATAATACGTAGGTATATCAGATTTTTAGTGCGAGCGAAGCCGTGGGTTAGCCGTGGTTCTAGTATTTAATATTTAATTGTATTAGGTACAAACGAAATGCGATTGTCGCATCATTTCCTGGGTCGATAATATTCATCAAAAGAAAATAACGGAGCGAAAACGAGACAAACAAATAAATTTCCCAATATCGTCAAGGTTTGATGATGAAAAAAAAAGAATATTAGATTGATATTAGAAATTATATTAAACATTGTATAGCAATATATGTAAAAATGTTAATATAATAATAAACAAACGTGCGTTAACTTGTTATTATCGATGATTATATTAGCCTTTAATACTGATGGATAATAAATAATAGCTCGTTACGTGAGGGTTTAACATTGTAACTTGTAAGAGAAGTTGTTGAATGACGTACACTAATCAAACCGTGCACGGACCGTTGCAAAGAGAAGTGCATAGCAGCCGCTCCGAGCTACTAGCCCGGAAAACTGGCTTTCCCTGCACGAGTAATGTTATAGTACGTGATATTGTGTACCCGACCAAAACAGCTACTTTTAATAAAAATACCATTGCCCTTAACAGTTCTCCACTCAATTTTAACTACTAAAATATATATACATACGAGTATATTTAATACAATATTTCACAACCTGTGTAAATATGTGTCTTACGCATTTTTTACATTGACTGACTTTATTCTAAGTTCACGTTTACAATATTATGGGCCACGGTACATGTAATAAATGTTGGCATTAATTATAGTTTCCATCTTTTCAAACATAGGCCCAAGCATTAAATAGAGATAAACTTTCGAAAGTGCTTTATTAAAAATTGTACCGTTTTGTTCGTAATTGAAACACTAATCTGGGAATTATTTTATTCTCAGCTGTTCTTTATTATACGGGCTTGCTTGATGTTTTTTAATTTAAATTAGCATACAAATTATTTAAGCAAGTTGCTCTAACGTTTACGATTGGACGGTAAAGGTGTACCACTAGCCTATTTAGATGATTCAACTGCCGGCTACCATCCGATTTCGCCGATAACGGTACTCGCGCAGAGGTGACTGTGCACTGTGAGAGAGCCAGATGTTGACGATTCACTTTCTTGAACCAACTAAAGTTGAGGCGTCAATTCTTTGAAAGCGATGTCGTTTTGACATTTGTCTATATAGAAAGTTACTTTATTTTTTTTTATCGGTGGCATGTTTATTCTGATTGTATTACGTTCTTAATTCTTGAACTTATTTTTGAATTTCAAAATAATATATTTTAAAATTGTTATTATATTTTACTTGTTTCTGTTGTTTCGAACACGGAGTTTTGTATTATAAACTGTGTTACCGCTAGTCGATCGTAAACTGAATTGCCTAGTATGTTTATAAATTGTTTAAACTGATAAGCTAGTTTGTAAGAAACGCGTGGGCGTGAAAAACGTTTGTGTATTCTTAGCTGGTAAATGTTTTATGCAGCTAGAAGTTACATAGAACTGGTTAAATACAAGTTGTACGAATAAATAAAATAAGATTTATATTGAGTAGCAATTAAAACTTAAAAGTTAAAACTCTTTGCGAGACCCACTCATGTAAGCTAGGGCTAGGTTTTTATTTTATAACTAGCGACTCGCTTTCGCTCCGTACGTACGTACGTACGTTTTAACGATTAGTATGGATTTCTCAGAGATGAGATATAGAATGTACAGATTCGGCTCAGAATTTTATTATATGTATGTATAGAAGAGTAGCGACTCACTCTTGCTTCGCTCGGGTTCGTCCCTAGTTCTGAAGGTGATTCTATAAATTAAAATAACTTTTGTATGTATGAACCGATAGACATACGACAATACCCTAAATATTAAGTGGTTTCCGCAATACATTAGTGAAAGCCGCACCCATATCGGTAAAGCCGTTTCTGAGAATAACGAGCACAAACGCACAGACGAACAGATAAAACATATAAAAATCATTGTTTTGCGTTCTTTTGCGTTAATAAAGACGCCTCCCCCCTCCAATAGTTTTTTCAAATATCTTCCATGTACAGACAGCGATAAGTTACACTTTTATTATATGTATAGATGTTATTTAATATTAGAACTCTAAAGTTAAAAAAATGTTATAAAAAAACGAGCCTCTTTTTAAAGTCTTTGTTAATGCATAAAATCTGATGTTAGTATGTAGAACCGTTTTCAGGATAGAACAATAAAATGAAAATGTTATAATGTATGTATTCTATATTTATTTTTTCTTGCATTTTACTATAATTTTTTTGCAAACGTTTTTTTTAAATGTTCCGTAACATTACAGCTGTATATTTGTAACGGTGTAAAATGTAGAGCTCTTTAAAAATATGGTGGCTTAGGCTTAGCAATAGAGTTGCGATATTTTAACTACGGGACTAAAAATAGACATATAATATAATTTTATGTGCATTCAATTTAATTTTTTACATTACTATTATTATTTATTATTAATAATAATTAAGATTGTAATATGCGTCGAAATATCAACGTTTATTACCTTCATGTAGCATGATGTATATAAAAGCATAGAAAAAACAACAACTTACGGAACTTTTGGCATGTAAAAATGCAAAATTTAAATAATAATGAAAATAGAAAACTAGAAAATAAAAAAGTATAAAAGACAGAAATTTTAATATTAAAGCAGTCGTTGATCACATTATTATGTGCGTTATGTGCAAATAAACTTATTAATTCTTTGTAGTATATATTATTTACTATAAAAATATACTTAAATAATTTATTATTATTAATGTAAAATACAAAGCATGATATTATACAAAATATAATAGATACGATAACAATTGAGCGAAATAGTTCCTTTATTTCAAGATAGATGGCGTTACATGTCTTCTGAATCGCGCTATGGTTTGGTTCAGCTGAATATTACAAGATAGGAAATATTAAAAGTAAAAGTTGATCTTTCTAAAGGTTAAACGGGGGATGATGATCTGGATAATCACGCGTCTGCGCGAAGTCCGCCGCCGATTTGTTACGCAATTCAGGCGGGCTAAAATCCTTCTGACCCCTAATGAAAGATCCTTTTAAATTATTATTAAAACTAGCATTGCCCGCGGCTACGTCCGCGTTCAGATGACCAAAAATCTTAAATCAAATTCTGAGGTTTTACATATTAGTAATTAGTATACTCTTACATTGCAGTTTTTGTATTTTTTCTCAGAAATGAGATATTTTCCCGCGGTAAAAAGTATCCTATATGTTGACCCGGATAACCAGCTATCACCATACCAAATTTCATCAAAATCCTTCCAGTGGTTTTTCCGTGATGCGGTAACAGACAGACAGACAAAAATCTAAAAACTATAGATTCGGTCTCTGTATCGATATTAATGTCTATTTCAATAAGATTTTCCAAAAAATATTCAATGTACAGATTCGGCTTAGTTACAATTTTATTATATGTATAGACGAGTATACTATAGGCTCATAGAGCGATCAGCGAACGCTCTCATTTATCAGTGCCTACTCTGCATACTGAGAGTAGGGAACTAACCGTTGCTCGTATACATTACATTTTAATTGCATTGTTAGGGATATTAACTTCATAATTTTATTACCCGACTGCGCGACGCAAAGGGGGGTATAATGTGTTTGCAGTCTATGTATATGTATGTAGAGTATATGTATGTAGGTATGTTTATTCCTATGTGGCTTCAAACGAGAGTCGTTATTAAAGTTCTTGTTTGGGTTAATTATTTATTTCGTAGAATGGTGCAAGTGGCTAAATTGATACTCACTGAGTATCAATTATTCAATTAAATTATTAGAAAATAATTTTTAGTTTTGTATAAAATCTTTCATAATTTTGTTAGGTCTAACTTTGATTATTTAGCAGTCGCTAAAGGGGCCAATAAAGAAAGTCGTAATACAGTTTTATTCTAAAACTATTCACGAATTTTCTCCAAAATTCACCCTGACAATTTTTTTGCTGTAAATAACTTTGACAATGCTTTTGCATAAACAAGAAAAATGACTTCAGTGTCTTCTAACGGCCTTTACAGATGATAAAATATCTTGTCCTTCTTATACATTTAACATTAATCAAAATAAAAAAAAAATCGTTTGATCGATCGATTGCGTTAATTTTTTGGATATTATCTATTATTAGAATAGTATTTTCTTTATTAGATACATATTATGTGTTCTCAGAGTATGATTTAAAATGGGCTATTTTTTATAATCGTTCAATTGAAGACAAATCGAAATTATTCTTGGTTGCAAACACGTCATGGAATGTAGCAATTTAGAAGAAATAATAATAACATATTATATTACATAATTTATTAGTGTTCCTGTTAGTATCTCACATCGCAGTGTGCACACGCGAACGTTTCAAATTACACTTTCTACTTAAGTTAAATCGTTTATTTTGGAATTCATTGCTATAGCTGGATGTATTAATCTAATCGAAATTACAGCTATTAATCTATACGAAATTAGGTACTTCGAGTTAGTAAAGGTCTAGTTGTACGTACCTGTACGTTTTTTGTGATTATTTATTTATTTATGTA